AACAGACTTGAACTTCTAAAAGTTGCCACGGTTCTAAAATGGGTTTAATCACTTGATGCGGATATTGTACATTTTTTTAAGTGAATGGTTACTCTTATACATTTATTATATACAAGAAACAATACATAAATTAGAAATAAATTATCCAAAATAATCGCAATTGTATACAAATACAGATATATACTAGATATTTTTTTATTATATACAACCCCCTATTAATGTCCTACCCAACCTACTGTTTTGAGATTTGGGGCAATACATATAAGACTAATACAAATCCAATCTTTACCTTGCAAAATAATAAGTGTCATCACATCATTAACTTAATAATAAATCAACCAATACATTATTTATAAACCTTCAAACTCTGAAGTTTTACAATTTAGTTGACCTTTACACTTTGAAAATCATGTTCAAAGTAAACAACAATCTCTTGTCAAAATCATTACAGAATATGTTCAAAATCCAAAGTAGCCAATATGAGCTCAGAGGTACGGCCACGTTTATCAAAATCTGAACAAACATTATGAAATATTGTATATCTGTTAAAGGAGTGGACCTCTGGAACAACTGTACAGAAGACCTAAAATTGTGCACCACTCTCTTCCATTTTATAACGAAGTTTAAATGTTTAACTCTGGGCAGATACATGAATTACAATACTTAGTTTGTGCTATAGTACTTTGTTGTACTGTTACTGATTTGTTTGTTTACTCTTGCTGTATTTATGAAGATGATCTGGTGTCAAGATGATACTCTGATAAAGAAATAAAGGGTAAAAAGGTATAATAAGTTCAAGCTTCAGCCTACACCTTTTTGTCTGTCTGTCAGTGTATGTTAAATATGACTGTCTGTGAAACAATGTCAGAATATACCTGTGACTAAGTAACTTAATCAATCATAAACAAAAAGTATACTCTGATACACCATTTAATAAGTCTGATAACTATATGATGATAAAATGTGGACTACTATAGTCTCAGTAGGAAACGCTGTCAGCCCTGATCCTGTGTGATCCTCTACTTATTAAGAACAGGAGCTGGTTTGGTATTTAAGTGTGTGGTGTTGCAGTAATGACATTGACTGTTGACAGGGGCATATGGCGGCAGTAGCAGACCCCAGACGAGCGCCCTTTCATGGGGCTGATCAAACCGTGCTGCTCCCTTTGAACCGTGTGACTTTACTACCTCAGTAATGACACACCAGACGCTCGTGTCGCACTTCCGCCGCTCCGCGCTCTTTAATGACAGACGACCTGCGCGTTGTGTGGGTTTAAAGGCACTGTGCGTACCCATGTGCCACCCTCCAGATTTCACTTCCTCAACAAAAACCCAAATATAGCACTCAGCAACCTGTAACCACTCCACTTCTACTACTAGGGTCTATAATGGGTCCTGACGCAATTAAAGGATTTCCACTGGACAGTGGTGGGAAGTTGTGACATTTACTTTGGTAATTAACTTACATCCGAGTCTATTTTTAAGCATTTGAGTGACTTTTAAGAAAATTAAAGACCAAGATTCCCACGGCTTTTTGACTAATGTTTTAAAATGTCCTAATTAGTAATTATTTAGTGTCTTTAATGTAAAGTTAAGTAGTTTTAATAGTGTTGATGTTACAGGTTTTTGTGCTTTTGAACTAGTGGTATGGTGATTTGAAAAGCCCATTTGTGCTAAGGCAGGATTCAAACTGGACATAACCTGGATTTTACGGTGTACAAATGCTTCACCCACTACACCTCTGTTACCCCCCCAGTAGAAGTTAAAATATAGTCAGTAGTCCACAGTACTGTGAAGACTGAATGAAGTAACAATAATGTCACTTAAGTAAAAGCAGAAAAAAAGCAGAACAATACTTTTTAGGGGTGTAATGTTACATGTATTTGTGCGTTTAGGTGTTAGGTTGGTGCAGGGCTGTGCACAAGTGAGTTTGTGCAATTAGTGTGTGTTTACTTTCTGCCACCACATGGGCATCTACATGGAAGGCTCAGCTCTTTAATATTCACAAGGGAACTCGTCCGTGATTGGAGTGGCAGTGTTTCCCGCAGTGCTTTATATTTAGTGCGACTGCCTTGACAATGTCCCTCTGAACCATGTGAATCCTTGCAAAACCACGGTCGTCATGCATCAGTCCTCATTTTCGCCTTTCGTCGGCATGGAATCTCTGCCCCTGCCCCCCTTTCCTGCCAGCAGATCTGCACTTACTTGCAGACAATGTGGACAAGTTGTTTTTTCTAGTCAAAAATATGAAGCTTGAGTAAAACTTCATGCTGGAACTGTTAGTGTTGTGCTTTACTTTTTGAAGGTTTGTTTACTGTTTATATTTGTTTACTGTTGATACATTTGTTGCTTATTTGAGAATATTTTATTTAACTTATTAGTATTAGCAAGCTGCACTTTGCACTTATTTTATTTTCCAGTTTGTATAATGTTAAAACAAATACTTGGTTTAATAAAAACACAAATAGACAACAAGCAAATGGTTTTCCATTTTGTTCCCATACTATACCGACTATGAACCGAACCATGACCTCAAAACCAAGGTACATTCTGAACTGTGATTTTTGTGTACCGTTACACCCCTAATACTTTTTCTCCATCACTGAAATTATGTTTTTGGTGATTAGTACTTCCAAATATGCTTAATGTGACCCTGGCCTTGTTCACATGCATACCAAAATCTGAAAATAATCTAATTTCTGGACCTTTAAAATAACTTAAATGACATTGAAACTGCAAAATCTGATGAGTAATCAGAGGGCTCATGATCGTGGAACCACAGCCAATTATAGAGGGTAAAGCATTTGTCAATAAACTAAAGAGTAACTGGTTCAATTCCCACCCAAGCACATGCTGTTGTTGTGTGTCCCTGGGTAAGACACTTAACCCCCATTGCTCACTCCGGTCACAGTAATTTGGCTCTCTAATCTACCTAATCACCATGCAACTGGTTTGTTTTGGCAACCGCTGACAAAAACGTTGAATGAAAAATCTTCAAATTCTTCTTGAGTATGTTAAGTTAAAATAGCAGATCATTTTCTTCAATATAAAACCACTTTTTCCACTTCTGAAAGCCCCATATGTTAACCTGTATTTTTGTGTCATGTTTGCATAACGGGAGTGGGGCCAAAGGGAAATAATTCGTTAAAACATCTCATTTATCTCCTCAATACAGAAACAAAGCCTATGTAATAGATGGTGGCTGCATGCTATGGAAAAAGAGGTTGTAAAAGTGGTTTCGCATGCCTTCTAGTTTTCCAGTGGACTTTTTAGATGGGAACTCTCCTGGGCATACACTGTTTCACACATATTAAAAATCTCCTCTGGACGCCGGGCTAAGAGCATGTTGGGGTAATATTTTGTAAAATCAGAAGTCAGAGGTGCGTGGAAAAGTCGGTAGGTGGTGTAACGCATAGGCTCGCTGCGTGTAATTAGATTGAAGGTTTGCTTTGTCTGCGCTGTTAGAAGGATCTGGTTTGGGCTCGGGTATCTGGCAGACTGTGAACATAAGGATAATCTATTATTTAGCTGTTTCTTGAGTAATATAAATCTCCAGAGAATGGACAAAGCATCGGTACGTTGGCGCTGATTCCTACACGCTTTCTTCTTGATGACTTTAACAGACAAAGGGAGGGTTCGAGAAATGTTTTGAGACGGTAATACGAAGTGTTGTGTAGCGGAGGAGTAGAGGAATGAGCAAAGAAGCTGATTGGAACATTTGTTTAGTAACTTTTCATCTTTTTTACCTAGGCATGTAATGATAATGAGCTTTTTCAGTCGCATAATTGATGCTGATACAAGTGGTTTTGAGTAGCTGCCATCAACTGCTGCAAACTCTGAAACTGATCTTAAAAGCTCCCAATGTAACTTTTCTACTTGAGTTTCCTCCACCGGCTTTTCTCATGGAGATGTTACAGTTTTGCCTAGACTGACCCCCATAGTTTGACTTTAAACCTATCTATGTACATTTAAACAAGCAAGTGATGCCACCAGGTCTAGCCAGATCTGTGGAGAGGTGACCATATTCATAATAAGAATGTTTTGTGGGGATTTATTTTTTATTTCATTTTTTAAAGGGACATTGCAGACTAAACAACTTCAAAATTGTATCTGATTTCAGCTAAACTGCAATCAGTAAATCGATAATACCTTTTCCAGATGTGAAGAAAACACTACTTCCAGGTAAAGCAACAACATCTCCATGGAGACAAGCTGGTGGAAAAAGTTACATGTTGACCCTTAATATACAAATTCTACATTATCATACTTTTGGCACATTTTGATCAGAAATAATGTCATAATACAAACTAAAGTGCCTCATGAGATCTTCGTTGTCAACAGTGATTGGTAAAATGTTTAAATAGATGAACTGTTTGGCCTGACTCTTAACAAATACCCAACACAATGGGCCTCATTCATGAGCCTTTTCTTTAAAAATTTTTTTAACTTTTACTTTAGGAAGATGCTGAGAGAACTCTACCTCAGATTCAGTATTGAGTCCAGAACACTGACCAGGCGCAGGGCTGTGACAGTGGCCCATAGGGAGAGGACTGCAGTCTGTATTAAGTCTGTTAGACCCAATAGGCCACATGCTCCATAAAACTATGTAATCAGATTATGTTTATAGGAAATAATTTATGAAAATATGTAACTTATAATCATGGAGGAATTTGAATTTTTAGTTGAAGAGTGATAATATTCTTAAACAATGACATTTTTGTGTGACTTGAGTGCTCCTGACTGTTCGTAGGATTTGTTCATCCAGAAGAACATTTTCAGGAAAGAAAAAGTTTCATGAATGCCAAAAATGTTGTAAGAAGGCCTTAAGTACAAATTTGTTCATAAGAATGTTTAATGAATGAGGCCCAATATTTTCTTTTCCAAGTGTTTTTTGCATTTGTTTGTCTATTTTTGCATTTGAGCACAAAGACTCTATGTGTATCATGTGAAATATGTGATATAACTGAACATAGTAACAGTAGTTGTTGTGGTAGTATTTACCAGGATACTGATTCTTGTCCAGATCCTGTCCTCCTCGTAAAGTGAACCCGAACCCAGGTAGGCCTCCACTGTGGATTCTGGACTTCAGCTCTTGGCTCATAGTCAGACCTTGAGATGCAGCGTCTTTATTCCCGTTGAAGATAAAAACTCGTCCTCCTCGGTCGTCTCCGCCAAAGGGACATCCCACCGCCACGTCTGGAGGAAGAGAGAGAGAGCGAGATGGTTTGGACATCAGACGGTTAAGGTCCCGTAGAGGCAGAAGCAGGAAGCAACAGGCAGCAGCAGTCACACAAGATGGGAAAGAACTTGACCTTTATGTACAACGACTCTGGGGAGGAACATTTTGGTCCGTCATCTGTTTCATTTGTTTTGTAAATCATCTTTGTCACTGCCAGTATGACATATGTGTTCATTACTGTTTAACTTCAAAATATTGTACGTTACCAATGGACACCACAGAGAAGTTTCTAATTTTAAAACATGATTAAAAGCTTTCCAACTAAAACCGGTTTTGAAATAGTTTTGTCGGTCTTGAGCTTCCTGGACAATGGTTTCATAAAGCTTTTTTGTGACTCATGTATGCATATAAGGCTATACCTTATGTTAATAATAATATCCACTGATAATATAACTTTTGGTTAACCAAGTCTCCATCTAAACACATGCATGCTTTGAATGACAGGTAGAAAAACAACACAAACCAATGAAAAGCCAAAACAATGTTAACAAATAGTTTTGGACTTGGAGATTTAACCTACAACCCACTATGACTAACCTCTATTCTACTCACTATTTCTGATGCAAAATGATTGTGATAATGGGGCTAGTTGTCCAAATCAGCTCTCAACAGTCGACTCTGGAAAAACTGCTTTGGTTAATGTCCACATAAACAGTACCCACACGCACAATGAGTCACGGACAACACGACTACAGTGAAATACATCACCTGCCACTATATGAAGCAACGCACTCCCATCATACAATGAGCGTATTTATTTAGCTGTTTACGATCTCATATCCGAGCGCCACACTGTGCTATATCACGTTTTTGTGCTTCAGGACTGCATCTCTACAAACACCTCTAGACATCCTGTTTGTCCCGGGACCCCGTCTCTCTGGGTCCAAACAACTGGTTCCACATGAAGCAGATTGAGGGGTAGAGAGAGGATAACTGCAACCATGTGTCTCTACAAGTGTATACAAGAGCCGATGAGCTAGACCGACTTATGTGTGGGGATGTAGAGGTAAAAAAACATCTTCAAATAATGTGAAAGTCACGGCTAACAACTACCTACGTAATACAAGTGCATGGGATCACCCACTGTGACTAACCAGGAACAGTAACTCCACAATTCTGGATTTTTTTTGCAACTTTTCTAACCAGTACTGCAATTGAGATTAGATTTGCAATTAACATGAGCATTTAGATCACAATGCATTTAGTAAACAGATAAATATGCACATATCTTCATTTAGAGGCATCCAGGAGCATTAACCAATACAAGTATCCTGTGCATTTCATAACATATTTGTAGAGGTCTAAACACAAGAGCGAGCTGGTTTGATACATTTATTAATTACAGCTATTCAAATTAGGGCTGGACAAAAACAATTTATTTATTTGAGTTTGATGCTCTAAATGTAATTTTGTTTTGTTTTTTTCTATGACAATGGCAATAAAAGCTTGAATCTTGAATTTTCATAGATCACAATTAGATCTTATAATCTATTCCATTAAAAACTAATAGCTTTTAATATTAATTTAATGAACAAAGACAAGACAAACTTTTTAACACAAAAAGTGTCCAGATGTCTCCTACAAAGTCTAAACTCTGCTCTAAATCATACAGTGCGCTTACAGTGATTGGATTGGCTGTAAGCCTGTTGATAAAAAACAATAAGCAAATTGAAATTATGGAACAATATTTCTTGATTTGTTTATTATTTGATTAAGTGTACTGCTCTCATTTAAACTTCAAATTTTTTAGCAGTTAATCTTGCAGACGACTACTACTCCACTCACAAGACAAAAGGCAGAGGCTGATTAAAGTTTAAGCATAAAAGGAGCCATGTGCCGAATTAAATAAATCATCTTAAGTGACAGGAGGCTCAGCTGACAGTCAATACAAAGATGAAGCAGAGGAAATGGGCTTTTGCTTTGAGGATATTTTTGAGCTGGAGGTGATGACACAGACGAGAGCGGTTCAGTGTCATCACATAGAGTTGTGTCTGTCAGCGATGGTTCCTGGACTCAAAGAATGAGCAGATATTTAAAAAACTGCTGAAAAGTCAAAGTCCATTGCTGCAAAGGTGACCTCATGCGCTGTAGGAGAGGTGCATGCATTCATTTAAACACAATAGCTACAGCATGAAGAAAATCTGGCATACATCTGCACTAGGGCTGGGGAATATGGCAAAAATAGAATCACATTTTAATCCAATTTTAATTTTCCTTATTAAAAACCTATGGAAATGGCTTCTAATGTAAATACATGCATTTCCGAAAGTAACTTTATCAGTGCCTTTCAACATTATATTTATTCATCCAAAGTGTGAACTGTGCTCCAAAACACATATTTTAACTGAAAAACTGACTCACTAGAGGTGTTCAAAAATATCAAATGTCATTTAATGTGATGATACAGTATTAGTATCATGAGGTGCTGTATCAATCTATTACCAAGAGTATTTTTTGGTATATTTTACTAAGTTATTTTGTTACTATGATACAGTTTTTTTGCTTGTTAAGAGGAAGGAAACCCTTTGACATTTTCACTGTTTTGAGGATTAACATGGGCGTGTTTTATATCAACTTTGCACAAGAAGTGGTTTAACAAAGACTTTTAGTATCACAGTCTTTTTTAGCCTTTATTTTCATAGAACTGAATCGAACTGATACAATACACTGTATCAAATCAAAAGTGCACTGTATGTATTGTATCGGCAACTTCTTGATGATACCCAGCCCTAGGACTGACCATAAAAAATAACAATCATATAATTTGCATTTGAATTAATTGAATCTAGATTTGATTAAAATGCCCCTCATGATTCGATTCAAAACTCAGTACATGGCCCACGATACGATAATATCACAATCTGGCAATACATGTGACAATTGATATATTGCAACTGACATTCTGTAATTTATCACTATTTTTAAGAACCAAATACATTTTAACAACAGTTTTAATTTGTTAAACCACTTCTTGTGCAACGTCAATGGGGAATAAATTGTTTGTAACCATTAAAACAATGATATATCAAGTTTATTGCATAAACAAGTTTGCTTTCTCTGAGCAAACATTAAAAGTGTAGCGCTGTCACAAATTAATTTATAAAAAAATATAAACCAATATATCGATACAGCAGTCACCGATAACGATACTGTATCACCAAATTTAATATCACGATGTATCAATATTTTATCATACCTCTACTTTGAATGCTAGAAACTTGCTGTTGTAAGTATTCTGAAATAACTAATCTGGTTTAGTAGATTTTGTTAATTATTACTCAGGATGTTTTCATGGTTAATTTGGTAGTCATGATCAGAAAAGTTGAGGAACTCCTGTCTTAGATCACAACCTTAGCCAAAAACCTTTGTAGACTTACTGTTTATTTGTGGTTTGGGTATAAACTCTTTAAAGAACAGCAAATCCTAAGAGACATGCTACTTCTCTGACAGCTTCACACTGAGATGATTGATGCTTTTGTCCTTAAAGAGCCTAACTATTGATCCAATGGTTATTGATTATACGATTAAATCCTTTAACGAGGTGAGACACAACACATGACAACACCCAGTCCATTAAAAAATAATAAATCGATTGGTCAAAAGATCACCAGATGTGCACTGACCTAAAGAAGTCATTTATTTTTAACTCCGCGGAGCATTTGTCTGGCAGGATGCAGTTTGTCGACATATGTGCGTGTCCATTCTTCCAATCAATTGAGAAAAATACAAACAGAGAAATGAAGTCAGGCTGCAGGCTCCCAGATGATTTTATCTTGGCCCACATCTGGTTAGTTAAAAATAACTCACAGCACAGAGCACATGTGGCCTTAAACCCGGTGATCACAGGAGGAAGAGGAGTTCACACAGACAGCGCTTTCATCGCCGCACTTCCTGATTGGCTGAAAAGGGTTAGCGTTTTTCAGCGCAGGAGCATCTGATAGGATTTCCTCAACCCAAGACAAAACAGACGCCGGCATCGCAGGAAACATGCCCAAAGATTAGTCTCTCGTCAGTTCAAAACACTATCCATGTGGCCACAGTCATTTACATGGAGCTCTTTCTCATCTGTAATCATTTTAACTAATTTCCCAATGGATGATAATTAAGGATTTCTTTGTTTACATGTCTAAAAGTGTCTGCCTTCAGCTTGTCACTGAGTCATTACTGTTAGTAGGATCATCTCTCCACAGATCAGACCTGTAACTTGGCCTAAAGGCATGGAGAAAGATACGTTTAATTCCATGCGTTTATGGAACATTCCAGCCAAACAAAAGCTTTTCTTTCGAGACAAGCTGATGATGCACCAGAAAAGTTACATATACTTTATTGTTAACTTAGATGTTGTGCATAATAGTGAAGATTTCTGTTTGCAACTGATTAATAATTGTGCCTGTCCTGAAATGTACTGTTTTGAAATGTTTTTAAGTGTTGATGTATTGTCTTAAAAAGGGAAAAGGGGACAGATAATATAAGATGACTCTTCTTTCTGCTCCTTTTCATTCATTTCTTGTATGCTTGATGTTGTGACACTGTCTTTTTATACTTTATGAATGAAATAAATAAACAAAATAAATAAAAAATAAATAAAAACTAAGCCAGTCACAAATCTGAGTGAAACAGGGATAAAAAGTAGGGAGAGACATTCAGCCAGGAATCAATCTCACAATGCCAAAGTCGGCGCAAAGAAGCCCAATTAGTCTCTTTTTAATTGTGATTTAAAAGGGGCTCCAAGTAATTACAGAAAAAAATAACATTTGCTAATATTAACTTATTGACAATACATAAATGTTCAAAATAATGACGACATTTGGGTAACTTACCATTGTATCCATCCTGGTTCACGTCTGCCATGGGAGCTATAGCCGTGCCAAAGCGCCCAAACGTGTATGTCCCCGTGAGGGCGACAGGGTTGGTGAACGTGAGAGGGCCCAGTTGCAGATACAGGTAGACTCGGCCAACCTCTCTGGGTTTACTCTCCATCTCTCGCTCCATGTACAGAGGTGCTCCCACTAACACATCATCCATCCTGAGAAGAAACAAAGACAAAGCTCAGAGCACAAGACCAGTCCTTAGCGGAGGGAGAACAGACAAAGATGGTACTTCATGGTAAGTTTATATGATGACTGTCTGAACAGAAGACGCAAAAGTGGGGTCACGTCTTCACTTTTTATTCCGTGTTTAGTTGGGTATGTATGCCAGGCGGCTAGGTGGTGATGTATGTGACGTAAACTTGTACGTGATGTGAGCAGATCTGACCAGAGTTTTGTGTCTTGAGCAGTGTAGATGGAAAAGCTACGGCAGAGCGTATTCAACTTTTGTCGTTTTTACCCACAAGCGTTCTCGTGTAAACAAGCCCAACGTATGAGAACTGTTACTTTAAGATAATGTTACTCAAGTAGAAGTACAACATATTGGTATAACAAATTACTCAAGAAAGTATTTGGGGAATCTATTCAAGTAAGAGAAATTGCAATAGCAAGACACTATAATAGATTATAGAGGAGCAATTCAAGAAAAAGTTGGTGCTTTTTAAAAATGAAATAGCCTTGATTAGAGAAAGGCTTTTTAACTTTGTTGTCTGCTTTTTTCCGCATCATGTTTTAACATTTAACAAAAAGCACTTTCAAGCATAACAGACATAAATACATTTCCCATTTTTATTGAACAAGTGTATTTACATAGAGATGTGTGAGACTTACCCATCTGCATTGAGATCAGTGACAGCCACAGAATAACCAAAATAAGATGCCATCTGAAAACAGAAAGAAAGTAAAACGTTTACACATAAACTTCTTGAAGTGAAATAGCACCACCAGTAACTGTGTCCCTTGAAAAAAAATTTTTTTCATCTTCAGAAAACATTTTGTGTTATTTCTTTTAGATATATTCTACCATACAGGTATTTTTCAGTGAAACTAAAGTTGTATCGATTAGACTGAAAATACAACTAAGAGTAACTTTACATGTGTTATCAAGTACACCATAAAATGTATTGTTCAGAAGTACGACTCTAAATATTTCCAAAATCATCACAATCATAGGCAATTGAGTAAAGCTCTAGTTGATGTTGAAAAAATTATGTTTATAAAAATTCATGCCAATTTTTCTCACGCCAGAATATAAAGTCATTTATAGAGGTCGTGGCTGCAGCCTTGGCCTGCTACCAGTCCTTCAGTCTAAATACGCTTAATTACGTACCTGTTCCCCAGAGAAGTTCATGAGGAAGGTCATGTTGGAAGAGTTAATCATGGCCACCTACAACAAGCAGATACAGACTTCTGATCATTCACAGCACAAAGCAAATTCAATTAATTTGAAAGGCTGTGTACTTCAAAAAATCTGACAAACAGGCGCTCAAAGAATGCTCAAAAAATAAACCAAACCGCACATGAAATTTTATCCAACTGAATCTTTTTCAATAGCCTCCCCCATCGGCATACACTCTGGGTCTTTTAACGTTTTCCCGTCATCCCCCCATCCTAACCCGGGTCTGGGGGGGGAGATGGGGATATGGAGAGAGGGGGAGAGAGGGAGAGAGAGGGAGAGAGAGGGGGGAGGCTGAGAATTCCTTCATAAGACCTAAAATAACAACCACATGGAGACAGCCGCGGGCTACATGCTAACACACACACACATGTATGCTGACCTGTTCACAGATGTCTTGAAGAAGCACTAAATAGGGATAGACTTACAAACACAGATGCTTGAAGATGTGTAAACATGAATATTAAATCACTTGCTTAAATGTTAACTTTTCTGCACTTGGAGTTGTCAGATGGGTCACAGACGAAACCCGATCAGACTTGACAGGACAATCCAGCCTCGCTATTGTGACGTATGTGCTGCATGGTGGCAACTAAAGTGGAAGTAGCAGTCCGATTGAAAGCTAAGCAATCATGGATAAACACTGATTTGCATTTTTTTTCTGAAAAGTATAGGATTGCGATAAGATTTGCGTGTTAGAATCAAGATTTAGTGCACTGTGCACATTGAAAACATGTCCAGGGAGATTGGGAATAAAAAGAGTTATTAAAAATCAATTTCTAAACATGTGTTATTGTGGTATACATGCTTATGGTTTTGTTTCATTTAAGATTTGGTTTACTTAAAATTGTGTCCTGATTAAGTCCAGATTTAGATCTGGTGGTACTCGGAAAGGCAAATATTATCTTAGGTGGTACTTGTTGTGAAATGTTTGAGGACAACTGTTGAGTAACACTAATACAACAACACAAACTAATGCATTTCAGAAGTGAAGCAAGGTTTACTGTAAACTACACAGTCAGCAGGTCCATACATAATAAGACCTCATGGAGACAGGATGCCTTGTTGTTCTAGAGGAGATGGCACCATTTATCAATATATGTTTATTCATCAATATAACTGCAGCTTTTGTGCTTTACCCATTGTAATCATTCAAATTACGGTACATCTTTGATCCAATTACAGTGAAACTTTCAGTCATAGTCCACATTATGAAATATATGTGTGACATTGCAGTCCCGGTGTTGAGAGAGTGGTAGGGGTCACTGTGTTTGGAGAGGGTTAGGGGAGGTCGGGGGGGTCAGTGGCCTCCACATGCGGCGGAAGCTGTGTGTCAGTTAAGTGGATTGACACAGGCCGCCCTGGGGACATGTTCCCAAGAAGAGAACAGCACAGATAAACCAGAGCACACACAGGAGCTCAGACTGTAGCCACCTCCAGGTATAAGGCTTTGCAACGTATTTGGACAAGTGTTTGGGGTCAGTGCATGTTTCTTTAGGATAGTGCACTAACATCCTTTAGTACTTAGGTACTACTTAGAATTTACAGGGTCACAAACTTTTTCACTTGAACTTTTTGGCAGTACCCAGTTATATTTAACAATGATGACAACACAAATTCTTAATGCTTCACAGTGTGCATATACAAGCTTCATGTATGGAAAACTCATTTTACAGTGTAATTCCCTGGAATTAATTCAAACAAACTGCAACTTTAATCTCTTTAGATTGCTGTAATTGTATTTTTAGACAACTAATTCAACTAATGCATTCCATTTAAATTTGAGCAACTGTGAAATGTTTCATGCATTTTATATTTTATTGCATCTTGGACTCTCTTATAAATGAGATTCAAATCTCAATGACACTTCTAAAGTAGAATAAATTGGATGCTACCAAAAGTCTGTGTTACAAACAGATGATCACAAAGCTTATCTGTGTACAATGTTCACCAAATTATTTTTGCATGACATATATGATTTGATAAAGTAGTAAATGTATTGCTGTAACAATCAGACTTGGGTGACAGCATGCAGCCTTACATAATTACAATTTATAATATAGGTATTGGTCTACCACTTGCGATATTGTTACTTTGTTTGTTTAAAATGCACTCACATATCCAAAATTCTGTGCTCCTCTCGGGACTCCAGCAATCAGCTCTAAAAACACAAAAAAGAGCAAGTTCACACTGTATGTATACATGGGAACATTTGAGATAAAACATGTCAACACTGCACTGACACAAACTGAATCCCAGTGCAGAGCCTGAGCCCACCCTGTCAGCCTGGAGCAGTGCTAGTGACAACGCACAGAGTGATCAACTTGGCATGGGACTGATTGATGAGTGCAGCGCTGAGAACATTTAGGACGACGATCTAAGGGTCCCACCCAGAGAGAAGAAGACATGGTAGCCCCTCTATTCTCACTGCACATAGTCTAACCAATGCACTCGCCACAAATAATGCCTTATAGCTCGAACTTTAATCACAGTTACAGCCAGTCCTTTGAGCTTTGAGGAACAAGACCACAACAAGCTCTGCACCACAACACAACTCATCAAGTGGCATGTGTAAGCTCTTAAGTCCTTGTTTAAGACTATCTGACATTGGGGGCAAGGGCCTTTGTTGGGTTTGTCTGAGGGTATGTCTAGGTTAACTCGTTAAGATGCAATTAAAGAGGAATTAGCAAGGAAAAGCTGTCAGGGTTACGGTAACAGTAAGAGGTAGGGTGTTTGTATAATCCCTCAGTCATCCAGGCGTGTTTATGCCATAATAACAAAGGTTTCAAAAAGTAGTTCCCAAAACCTCTAAGTGGAACTTAACTTGACTAGATCTCAGTTCAAATCCCTTCCCCCTTTGCAGTATAAAGTCAGCTCCCAGTGTTTTCAGAGGTTCTTGGATGGGAGTTAAAAACATCTTCAAAAGGGCTAATCAATTTATCTGTTGATTCGTTCACCATTTGACTAGCCATTTCACCCATTTTGGCACAGTGGAAGAAACTCTATTGCGTATACTACTAATAATAAAGCCTTAATGTGCCATTCTTGTGGTTAGCTACCTGTAGCCACAGCTGCCATGGGGCAAATTGACAGATGTGAGGCTACCAATCTGTAGCCTGATTCATCAGTCAGTTTCACTTTGTAGAAACCGTCTGACCTCGCAGCATTAGAATTCGTTCGCTCGACGGTAGGTGGGTACTTTTTTAAATTTAACCAATCACTGCTATGTGGTTGTGAAGTATGTAATGTACCGCTAACAGGGCTAACTGGTATATTAAGCTTTTCCCAAATCCAGTAGGAAGTAGGGCAATAACACTTTTCCCCTTGACAAAATTCACCAAACATTCTCTTTGTTCCGACTTTAAATCCTCGATCTCGGGAATTGTTGCAAACACAAAATGTCTGGCTCTTCTCTGATTGGCCAGTGCCTGAACTCGCACTTCCGGAGTTTTTGCAAACCGTCTAGTGCATTCCGATTCCTGACCTAGTCTCTGGAGAGAAATTCATTTGAGCAGAGGCACTAGGTGGTGCCAGCCTGGCTAACCAATCCGCGCCCATCCGACCAACACTCACAAACACACACCTACCCCACTTTCGTACTGGGCAATGTGGGTGAAGTGTCTTGCCTAGGGACACAACGACAGAACTTGATCCAAATGGGAATCAATCCTCTGACTTTTAATTTGAAGGACCACTGCCACTGCCACCCCAACTTAATACTTAGAAATATTTTTCCTCCAAAACATAAATTTACTCAGCATTGCATGTTTGACTTTGTGTATTGTCCACATATTCCAATATTACAGTAATTAACTATAATTTAAGTCACTTAGTTATGATTATTCCATTAATTAACTGAACAAAAAACATTGTAAGTAAGACATGGACTTGAGTCAAATTAAATAAAAAGAAAATGTTAAACAGTAAAATGAGCAATGACTTGAGCTTGAGGAGGAAGCAATAAAGCTGGTTAAAAGTGAGGGCAGCATGACTGTGGTGGGAACACATTTTGTTTTGGTATTCTGTATTTTAAATAAAAGAACAGTGTTTTGTTAAAAGTGCTTATGTGTTTCATTTGTGGTCCTGAAAACTGATGGCTTGTCACACATGCTTTTCATTGGACTTCAGAGCTCAGCCCGAAAGCACTCGAAGATTGGAAACAAAGCACACCAGACTAAAATGGCAAGTCACCAGCGTGCATAAAATATAACCAATGTAAATGCAATAATCTGTATTTTATTTGTTTTATTTTGGCCTATTTGGATCTTACTGAGTTTCTCCAGACAAAAGGGAACTCAGTACCACTCTTGTCCACCTGCATGTGATGTTTTTCAGTTCAGATTTGTTTAAACCACCTAATATTTCATGTCTACAGACTTGACTATACCTAGAGAAGCCAAAGGAGTCTGCCACTAATCATTATCATTGAAAACACAGGACAGGAACTTCCTTTATCAGTCGCTCCTGACGTGCTGTCCCTTTAAGGTCATGACCTCACCCCACAAAGATGGTTTTCATTATAACGTTTAGGCCTATGTCTGAACCCGGCACCCCAGATGTGCACCCTCTGTCCTCACCCGGCCCGTTCAAAGACTGGGAAACGGTGGTTATGTCTTCTCACCTTGTATCGAGTCCCCGGTGAACTCTCCCACTGCCACGGAGTAACCTGAAGGTGAAAGAAGAATATTATGCAAAGCTCTGGGTCAACTGTAATAATGATGCATAAACATAGCGTGCAAAAACTTCGGTTAATCACGATTAGAAACAGTTGTATTTCCATTTCCAAATTCACAAACAAGAGATTGGCTACGGCAATATGGTACAACAAAAAACAATGAATAATAAATAAAGGCCTAAAATAAAAATAGACTGAAGTTGACTGAACATATAAAGTGTAGAAAATAGGTGATCATAAAGCATGTTTAAGACTACATACATATATTTTATTGTGTTTAAGATGACATCATGGCATATTATAGGCCTGTAGTGTTAAATGGGAATCAGAGAAAGCCATTATTGTTGATGTAAATATTTTTATGGTTTGGGATCAATACAATGGGATAATAGGTCTTGTCTTTAATATAAATGTGTAGTTTCTGTAGTTTAAGATGCAAAGAATATGATGGCATTCTTGAATCTGAAACAACCAATTTTAATTAATTAATAGATTCTTCGTAGGGATGTAACAATATCCAAATCTCTCAGTACGATATTATCACGATATGCATCTCATGGTACGATATTTATTGCGATATTTTAAAGAAGCTAATATAATTAGCTATAATAATAAAAGGACACTTTTTTTGCTTTCAAAATACCTTGACAAGATTTTGGTGTGAATTATTTGTGTTACAATCCTAAAAATTCAAGTAAAAAACATATTTCTTCATGTTGTTTGCACTACAATGAATCATGGGATATGTAGTTCGCTACTATAAAACAAGGAAGTAAGCAAAGGAACTTGTAATTTGATATAATGTGACAGCCCACGATATTATTGTGAGACTTTTTTTTACAATATCAGGATATTTCGGTTATTGTTATCCCTGATTCGTTGCCATGATTTTTTGTAATATATGTTACTACTGGACCAAGAACAAAAACTATTTGGTCCATTTTGAGTTATCAACTCACTACAAGTATGAAACGTTTTTGTAAAATTGGTTTTGCATTGTGACATAGCACATAAGGGTTTTGTAATGGCAACAATTCACTTCAAGCTATGATTTTACATGAGTCTGGGGACTACAGTATGTTTGTATGGTGAGACTGGGCTATTATCTTGTTTTTTTATGCTTCTAGTAGTTTTACATTTTAATTTGGATTTATTTACTCAGACCTTCTCACACTGATGTGGACTCTTTGTTAGTATATTCCCTTTGCTAGACCTACCTGTCAAGATTTTGCACAGTTTTATATATAGAGAGATACTTTATTGACCCTGAGGGAAATACACATAGTCACTGGTCTATCATGTGAATGCAGATTACCCAGATAGCTGTCGTCATGGGTTTCCTCCACGGCCCGAGTGGTCTTCTCTCCGGCTACCCGCCTGAGCACTGCCTTCAGTGAGTAGCCGTTCAGTATCTCAGCTATCCCAGCTGTCATCACCTGACCTGCGCACCAGATACAGACCGAACAAACAAACATGAGCGAAACACATCTGGATATGAACAATGGCTGCTGCTCGGACACACTGTTTCCCAAGACACTTAGTATACAAAAAAAAAAGTGACTCTACAGGCCCCACACAGCGTATTCATGCATTATCTTTAACATACAGTAATGTGTAAAATGGTTAAAAGTAATTTCTAATTGCCAATGATCAGGGGATTTTTAATTAAGAAGCCTATAGCCAATCCTCTGACAGTAAAAGCATGTGGTTCAGATTTTGGAGAAAGCAATGTGACCTTTGTTTTTAAATGTTTTAAATGAAAGTTTATGTTCAGGAAATTAATCTAGAAAGTTGTTGTTCTGTGTTTAATGAGACAGAATAACCCTGAATCAAAGACTGTTCAATTGCTGAGGAAAAATACTGTGATAATTTTTTTGTCATGTCACCCAGTCCTCCTTACATGTGGGCCTGGATTAAATTATTATCTAGAATTACAGAATAACAATGTTCATGAATTGAACTGAATACTAATTGAACTGTCATTTTTACAACTGATGGGAGTAACTTTGTGTTCTCCCAGGACCCAAAAGGCTTCACATGAAAAAATGGTTTGTCAGAAATAGTTTTGGAAAATATTTCTTCTCTCTGTTGTATTTAAACATTTTCTTTTCTTTTATTTGGAACCACAGTTGTACCTTTTATCAGTACTGAACTCTATAGTAAAAGTCGTCGACTCTGGGCATCTCTTGACCGGTTCAAACATGCAAGTGCCCGACAGCGCGTCCAATTTCTCCCAGAGGAAAGCTAAAACACATCGTTACCAGAGGAATAACTGGAAAAATACTCCAAAGAAAATATCCGTGTCCTTTCCAGAGAGCTTTGTGAAATACAGCTGCGCCCTCACGCTGACACACAAACAACAGTAATCCTCTGCTGTTGAACAGGGGGTCAAACAAACAAATGATTTTATCAGCCAACTGCCTCAACCTTCGATAAATTCTCCTTTATGTGCGAACGCATGTGTAGACTGACAGGGAGGGAAACGCGCCCTCAAAAAGCCCCCCTCAACTCTGCCCCAAACTCTGCTCTTGTCTCCAACTCGAGTCGTGACTTATCTCTGCAATAATAGATCACCATACGAAGCCTGTATCTGATAAATGAGACCCACTGTCCCAGAGTGTGGCTGCAGATGCATCATTCAAAGCTGTGTCTAATTTGAATGTATTTTTCACTGTGCGATAACAAGTTATAGGGGATTTCTCAACAAGATTCCCACAGATAATTTTGTGTACTAGAGCTTGTAAAGTCCAGTCAAAGTGCCTTTAAAACATCCAGGGAAGTGTTTTAACGGGGGGCTTGGAGACCGAATGTGCATTAGACTGTCTGGGGCACTCTTCTAACCCTAAGCAAAAGAGCTGATATTGTGCAAAATGTAAATAAAAACAGGATGCAAGGACTGTATCCAATTAAGTGGTTAGGACAAGGGAAAGAAAATGCTTGAAAATAGTATCTATGCAACTATTGCAACATTTAAAGAAGACATACTGAGCTTTTGTCTGCTGTTTAGTTGTAATATATGAGACTTATGGTCCTGGATAATTATGTTGTGGCAAACTGAAATAGCTGTCAAACCTATGACTGATTATTTGTTGTAGTCCTATTGTGAATCATTTAACAACTTTTATCATATCTCTCAGTTAGGGCAGCACTAATACAGATTCATTACAGTTCTATTTGCAGCTTGATATCAATACAATTTTGAAGTTTTAAGCCCCACAATGGACCATATGTGTCCTTGATTTCCACCTATCAATCACATCCATCTGAAAACGGGCAGACCAGAGTCACATCTTCGTAAAGTATTGGAGAAGTGTGTATTCTGAATCCCAGGTAAACTCTTTTCACTAACCGGCCAATAACAGAGCCTTTTCATCAATCCGTGGGAGACTAGAATGAATAAGAAACTGGCAGCCCAGACAGACTCATATACTTTTAGCCCGTCTGGCTGGTGAAGTTAGATGGCAAAACTTCAGCAAAATGACATAAAAGCAACAGGATCTCTATTATTAGCTGAGGATGTACGTGTGCTCTTGATCTTCAGACCCTTAAGAAACATAGTCTGACAAACATGCATCATTGTGTACAAAGTAAAATAAGCTTTATCCTGGTCCTTTGTTTTTTGCTTTTTTATCTTCTACATCGGAACAATATGGGCATTGTGAGGGCTATAACAAACATCTCACAGAATTGAAATAGCAGGTTTAGCAACATCTGGATTATGACTTTTTGCACAGTGGAAGAAGCAGCATCACTTTAGCCATCTTTAAATGTAATCTTCTTTGGTTTGTTTTGAAGTTTGAGTCTACAATCTGCCAATAGGCCAGGCCGTAATTAGACAAATAAGGCATGAAGGCAGGTATGATTAAATAGGTTTGAATGATTTTGGAAAATAACATTGTGATGTTTTGGTAAATGATTACATTTCCAGTTCAGTTGAAACATTTGAGACAAGACAGAAATACAAACTGCTAAACAAATACAAGAATCACAAATTTATGAATTTTGTATGGATTCAATTAGCGCACAATCCAACGTTTTCTGTTCCAATATCGGTGTCGATACTTTGGCTTTAAGTATCTGCCATTAACTGCTATCAACCGATACTACGGCAGAGACTGAGATATAATTTCTTTTAAACACAAACAGTAGGGATGTAATAATAACCAAAATATCATGATATCGTATTATTAAAAGTCTCACAATAATATTGTGGGCTGTCACAACATATCAATTCACAAGTTCCTTTGCTTAAATACATTGCTTTATAGTAGCAATACTTAATAAACATCAGGAACTACATATCCCATGATTCATTTCAGCGCAGACAACATGAAGATATATGTTTTTTTACTGGAATCCTCGGGATTATGACAGAAATAAATCACACCATAATCTTGTCAGGGTATTTTAAAAGCCAAAAAGTATCCCATCTACAATTATATTAAACTCTCCAAAATATCACAATAAATATCATACCATGAGATTTGGATATCATTACATCCCTGTAACCATTACATAACTGTATATGGTCAAAAAAATGATCCACATGTCTTTTGTAATGTAATTTATCACTTAAAGCATTTGCAGAACAGTTTTGTAAAATACAATTTTAATACAATATGAGTTTAGGGCCAACAGTGGTCACTGGTTAATCATCTTATTACACCAGTTTAGAGACCAAAATGGAATATACTGACTGAACCGATATCTGAAAATATCTGACGAAGGCTTTTTTGCCGAAACGTTATTTAAAAATAAAAACGCCTTTGGACATCAGCCATCTGAAGTGCGCTATGCATTTTTTTCACTTTTCACTGGTCCTTGAATTTGCACCTCTAAAAGAACATTGGTGTGCGTTTTCTGTATCTTTTGGTTCTGATATCCAATATCAAGTTAAAAGTTCCCACTGAAATGAGATATGAGACCTTATACTACCTAAATGAATTACACCTTTGGAATTTCCTAATAATATGCCTTGATTGTGATAAATATTCCAGAGTTAGTATTAGAAGTGATAACTCAAACTTGTTTCTACACTAAACCTAAACTTAGCCATTTTCTTAACCCAGTCACAGCAGAGCGTCCCTCCAGAGGATACTATCTAGCACTAACTTGAAGCCTTAGTAGCAATCACACAACCTTACATTTCTGCTGTCCTCTCTAATGAACTGGCAAAGATTAACATAAATTGCAAACATGGCACAAATATCTTCAATGAAAGCTGTTTCCAAGCTAACCCAGCTGTTGTAGAGATTGTGGTTTTAAATCACACTAGTCTACCTTTACACCGAATCGGGGGAGTTAAAATCCTTGTCTTGACCAGCTGAATCCTCGCTATGCCTACATTTATTAAGTCACTTAAATGTCCAGTGCACAGAGCAAACCAGCCAAACTGAGTGCAGTTTTTATCAAGCAGCACATCCATCTTATTGTCTTTATCTCAAACGTACCTCTTCAACTTTTGATCCCTGACTTGGCTAACCTGCTTTGAAATCTCAATCATTTCAAGCTGTCTGCATTGTCCTGTGTGTTTTCTTTACCTATTTATATGTGACCTTTTTTTTTTAGCAACTTTCCTAACATTTGAGAACTTTTTCTTTCTCTTTCCAAGCCGCTCTGTGCTCTGTCGTACAGGGGCAGAGGGGCAGTTCCTCTCCACTCCATTACCCCCTGATCAGTTCATTACCGAGCCCAAACACTGGCTTCCTGCTTCACTGTTACACAGAGCAAAAAGTATGAAGTCAAGACCAAAGTTGGGGGCCTCTTAAACTTAACTTCTCCTACCATGTTATCATGCTGTTAAATGTATCTTGTATTTGAACATTTTCCAATGAAATCACTGTGACATGCATAAAAGATATGGATTTAATATAGCATCATTACCTTGCCAGTAAAAGCTCCCAGGTCCTCCCACTACCAGAGTTCCTTCCTGAAATAAATAACAAGGTAAAGTTATTGATGTACATTTGATGCTTAAAGGTCCTATATCATACTAAATGTACGTTTTTGCAATCTCATAATGTGTTTCCTATTCATAATCAAAACCATACAGAGTTGTAAATTCATCCATGCTTCACAAATCCTGCATTTAGGAGATCTCCCTCTCCCGAACTCAAAACCCTTTGATCCGCTGTGTGAATCATCAGGTGGAAATCACATCGTATTTAAGTAATCCTATTTTGTAATGTAATTGAGACTTGAGTGCTTCACCTATTCCCTCTCCTCGCCCTTTTCCCTGTACTTAAGTTACAATTATTCAAAAAATTTTGGACTTTCAGAACATACATGGACAAAAATGTTTTAAAAAATAAACATGTGCAAATATAAAATCTGCGGCTGGCTTCAGTGAAGTACCGCTAGGAGGTCAATGGACATCTTTAGATTAGGTATTTTAAGATCAATATTGAGGTTTTCAGTGAATTGCAATTAAAAATAACGATTTGCATACGTGTTTATCACTAAATATAAGAAACACAAAACAACAACACATAATTGAAACTAAAACAAATGGCATACACATACATAGAAGTGAAGTAAATGTACAAAGATAGACAACATATAATTTTGACAATGGATATTTGTAATTTAATGCATTGATCTTGTTCAAAGTGGTGTTCATGTTTATGTATAAGTGTGTATACAGTTTAGCTTGTTACCATCCTGAGAAGAAGGAGCGTTTCCTGTACACAAGGGCAAAGTTGGATTTGGGGTTCAGAGGCCAAAGGTGAGAGCGAGCGTACAGTGAAAGAATGCGTTTCACGTGAATGTGTCTCTTCTCTATTGTGTTTTCAGTCGATGGGTCATGTCAGAAAAGGAGGGGTCTCAGGGGACAAACTCTGTCATCCTGAGGTGGTCCATAAATCTCAAAAGGGAGGATTGTGTGTGCACTTAAGAGAGGACATGTGTGCTGTGGTCTTGCAGGAAAATGGATTTGACAAAGTGTTTGTTTCATGTTTACCTTTGTGAAGTCCACGCTGAAGCCGGCCTGGCAAAAACCCTGTCCCTCTGGATCTGGGTCACCTGAAAAAAAAAAAAAACACACACACACACACACAAAATCTGAGTTTAAGTTGAGTAAGTGCAACTAAAGTCTCATGTATTAATATTATTATCTATATTTTACTTAAATAAAACCTCATCTCAATTATTTCTGCCTGGCTAGATTCAAAGATATACCACATGATTTTACAAAGATGTGTGGGTCAAATCTTCTCTCCCCAATTTCCAATGGCCGTGAAGCAAAGCACTAAACTCTTATTTATCTGAGGTAAAATAAGTTATAATCACGTCAATGCCTTATCTGCCACGTGGTATTAAAGGTTTTTAATGATTTTGTACTTTTTGAGTGTCTCAGCTTTTTCAACGTTGTATTTGAGACTGGTCCCTACATTGAAGAGCACCAAAAGGACAACTTTGCACAATCGCTGCACATCCAAGTAGCACTCCTGCCCCCTAAAGTTTTAAAATGAGTTATATTTGTTTGAGTGATAAGAGAATATTCAACAGAGGTTACAAAGTGGTGGCTTTGGCTGGACCTTCCCAAATATGGACGACAGTTTGATGCTCTTTAAGGTCTTTTCCAGATCCACCTGCTTTTGAACGTAAGGTAGAAGACTGGCCAGGCCGGGGATTATTAATAACTAGGTATGTTTTCTACACATATAAACCACATTATCTTTAACAGTGTATTTCCAGCAGCTGTTGTGATGGATTAGCTGTGATATAACCAGAAAAATGTCAGCCTCTGTTTGGGGCAAGTGTCAAGTGTGCAGGGATAAACAGTGCCAAAGCTGATGACTGATGCCACTGCTGCCTCCATAACTGTCCAATCACAGTCAAGAGTCATTCACCAATCAGGACTGAGATGTTAAATATTTGCAACATGTGATTTCCAGTCAAAGTACCATAAACGTGTAATGAAAAGCAGTTAAAAAGCAAGATTAAAACGTTCCTAATGAGCTCTGAAACTAAAAGTGTGTTTCATATTAACTTTAATATCCCAATTGTCTTTGACACCTAACAAAACAAGCTTTACACCAAATGTGCTTAGGTGTGTTTCTGTTTAAATGACTTCATCTGACTGTACAGCTCTTTGCAAACACTGGCTGGTCTCTGGTGTTGTCTGAGAGCCAGCCCGAGGTGAGGCTTAATGATGCGCGTGACTCGATATATGCATACATAAACACAGTTAGGAGCTACAGCGTGTATTCTCTGTAGGTTTAACCAAGATTTTCACAGCAAATGACCATACATGTGGTAAGTGCTGTGTTAAGATCTGTGGAAAGGTACATTGCCCTTGAGTAGACCTGTCACAATAATTTAAATATGGACTAATTGTAAAAAATATTTAAGATCCACATTTGTGAGGGATCATCTTTACTGTGTAGCTACTATTTCCACAGTTTATTACAAGTGCTCTATGAAACTTTTCCAGTGAAGGGTCAGTTATTTCTTTGCCTAGAATGTTCCTTAAACTCCCTGTGTGCCACCAACACCGCTAATTACAAGTCAGATCTGTGGAGAGGCAAGCCCAATCATGGAATACATGCTTTTGAGTATTTCTAGCATTAAAACAAAACACATATAAATCAAACAAACACAATACTCAGGGTTCCCACAGTCATGGAAATCCTGGGCAAGTCATGGAAATTGAAAATGTCATTTTCTGGGTCTGGAAAAGTCATGAAATTTTGTAAATTCAATGAAAATTTTGGAAAAGTCATGGAATTTTAATATCTCTGTCACGCAACTACAGCGTTCTGTTAAGTTCTCATTAGGCTATTATGATTATTTCCGAATGAATGCATGTTCTGTTTAAAAGAGACGACAATAAATGCACTGACAGTATTTTAAATGTTAAAAAAGTATAATACAAAACCATAAGGTGAGTGGAAAGTGTTAACATTTCATATTTAGCCCTAAAAGTATGATCAATTCTACATATGTAGGTGCCGTAAAGTCATAAAAAGTCATGAAAAAGTCATGGAAACGTTTTTAAATTTTGTCAGTGAAAAAGAGTGGGAACCCTATACTGTGGAACATACAAACAAAGCAGCAACATCTCCATGGAGACAAGTAGGTGGTGGGCCCATCACCAGAAAAGTCGCATAGTGTGTCTTTATCATGCTGTATGCAGTGTCATAAAATTGTGAAATTATGGGCATAATAATATTACTTAAAGGCCAAAGGTGTTATAATGTTGTTACCTCATCAAAAGCAAATCTGGAGTTGTTTTTTGCTTCATTCACACATGCTTCAGTAATCCTTTATTATTTGTCTGTCTACATCTCCAGAGATCAAAAAGCTTTGTTCCACCTTGTGATGTCATGAAGAAGCAGTTTTCAAGTTAACAGCTACCTTTTAGCTTTTGTTCAGTAGAGATTGTCGATTACAGGGCTGAAATCATCCAAATGATTCTAGTGAAGATGTGTGCGGAGTTTAAGAACACAGCGGAGTGTTTTCTGTTTAAGAGAAGATCTAAATATGCAGCGTTTGTGTTAAACGTGAATGAAAACAAAACATAACTCCAGATACGTTTGTGACGAGGAAACAGCGTTATAACATGGATCATAAAATAGCGTAATATGGGCCCTTTAATCCAACAACAACAGTTTTAACTTTATACTGTAGCTCACAGTGTTATTATGTCAGGCAGTCCATACCCCTGAGAACAATCCAGTTTACAACTCAATTACTCTTGTCTTGATTAGTCCGCACTGACATAAACACTTTTATAATGTCTGGAGTGAGTGTATTTGGGCAGTAGGGGATTTTTGGCTCAAAGTAGACCATAGTTTAAACTATAATTCCCTGTCTTTTGAAGTGCCGTTTATGATGTGCAAGTTGATAACACACATTTTCCCTTATCTCACTTTTGGAGGAATCCCTGTATCAGCGGCAGGGGTGAGAGGGGTCGAGGAAAGAGAGAGAGAAAGATAAAAATCAGAGAGAGAAAAAAAGGGGTCCTCTTTAGAGAACTGATGACAACATGAAGAGGACCATAGAGGGGAAGAGATAAAGTGTCAGACTGACAAATTATCCCACAGCTGCCATAGCAACGCATGACACCGGGCAGCGAAATACAACGTCAACGCCAACTAAAATAAAATACTCTAACAGTTTATGATATAAGCTTATAAAATCAATTCCCCTGTAAACAGTATGGAGGGAAGGTAAACTATTTAGTCGACTCTTTCAAACTCCAAACTAGTGCTTTTACATAAATATTTACTGAATGGTATGTGTAGAAATATAGTTGGAGACAGTTATAGAGGTTGTAACAGTACTGAAAATAATGCAGTTTTTAAATGCACCCTCAACTTTTTTCATTAATCACAGTTTAGAGTTTCTATAACAGACTCGTTGTTGATAAAGGTTGTAAATGTATGTCAAATATACAAGACTGTAAATGAAAACATCCTTTGCAAATGAGTTAATTTGGTAACAAGTGGACTATATTGGAGTCACAAGAACATAACAAGAAGAGACGGGATGTGCATGAGGCTGTAATTAAACAAGAAAGTATAAGAGATAATGAATAATGTAGATTACTTTCAGAAAATGTGTTAAGAATAATGATTTGTGTTCACAGTATTTTCTGATCGACATTATAATGTTGTACCTGGAATTGAGTTTTATTTAATTTCATTCCCACATGTTTAACAAATCCTGCATATTTAGTTTTTCTCTCTCTCCATCTGTTCTACCTTGTCATGTCAATACAGAAAGTGCTCCACTGAGTTTTTAAACTCCATACACCTTCACTTGAATCATTTGGATGATTTCAGCCATGGAATTGCTCATCTCTACTGAAAGGTACTGCAGCTGTTAACTCAAAACCTACCACTTCATTACATAACAAGGTGGAACGGAGCATTTTGAGCTTTAGAGATGTAGGGCCTGTTTACACGAGAATGCCTGCGGGTAAAAACAACAGAATATTTAATCACAAATGCCTTTCGTTTAGACAGTGATGGTGTTTTTGGGGCTTAAAAACGCAAAAGGCTGAAACCACCCTCCAGAGTGGAAGGGTTGAGTACACTCCGCCGTAGCATTTCTGTCTACACTGCCCAAGATGCAAAACTCTGACCACATCTGCTCACGTCGCATACATGTTTGCGTCACATACATACAGTACACAGAAACAAACATGTTGCATCATTTCCATGCATCAGACCTTCAAGCTGCTATGGCAGCTCTATTAAACTTACAGGAGGCATCGCAACAAATGTACAGAATATGCAGAGATACTATTAGTGAACAGAGAAGGATCTGCAGTCACCTCTATCAAATTCTGGATGCACCAGTTCATCGCAGGCGAGTCAGACGGCTATGAACGAGACCTAAGAGAACCAGTCGATGGTGGGACAACTTTGTGGAAGGAATAGCTGATGAAAATGCGTGGTGTGAAAACTTCCTTATGTCCAAAGATGCCCTTGTTGCTTTAAGTATAAACACACCCAATCGAATTCCACATACTTTCGCGTCACCGTATGCATGTAGATTTCCTCCCGAAAACGCTCGTCTAAATGAGAAATAAAAAGTGAAGACACAATGCCACTTTTGTGTCTTCTGTTCAGACAGTCGTCATATAAATGCAGTCATAGACAGCGTAATAATAAAGGATTACTCAAACATGTGTGAATGAAACAAAACACAATTGCAGGTATGTTTTTGAGGGGGTAACAGCATTTTAAGATGTCGTAAAGCTGTTATGACCTTTAAAGATGAAATATAGAATCAAAGAATGAACAAATCTATGAGTCATTACTGATTCTAAGTACATATGACTTTTATTATTACTATATACTTTGTTTGAATAGGATTTGGGGGCTTAGGTAGGTGTATTGCATAATTCAGGCTGAGAGATGGTATTTGCAGCTGAGGATAGAGAGGAAAGGGGGCAGAGAATTTGAGACGAGGCAGACGTAGACTGACTGGTTCTGCAGGGGGAGTATTCTGCGTAGGCGCTGAAGTTCTGCACTGCCACATAACAGGTCCCCACCGGGTCCTGCTCCCCGCCCAGCTTCACCGTGCGCCAGTGGTACAGAGGGGCACACGCCTAGACACAGAAAACACACAAAACACACAATGTATTTAGTATAAATCCGTGTATCATTCGTTCATTCGTTTTTCAATATAAAACCAAAAATAAGAAAACGAAAAAACAACTGTTTTCTTCGTTATTTGTCTCCAAAACCAAAATGAAAAAATGGATAACGATTCGTTTTTTCAGTTTTCGATTTTGTGTTTAAATGAAGAATGGAAAAAACGGATAACGGCCGTTTCCCGTTTACGTGACTTCCGTGACTGCGATGCCGGACTTTTGCACCGGGTACGGACTGAACTAGGACTGATCCAGGTCCGAGACCAGAGCGGGACTGAGACCGGGACCAGACCGGGACCAGGGCGGACTCCGAGCTTTGACTCCGGGCCTCCACGGGGTCCGAGCCTCAGCTTCGAGCTCCGGCCCTGCCGTGGGCTCTGAGCCTCCGGTCTGGTCCCGGTCTGGTCCTGGTCTTGTCTCGGTCTCGGTCTCAGGGCCGCTCTGGTCCCGGTCTGGTCCCAGTCTCACCGCATACGGACTGAATCAGGACGGATCCAGGTCCAAGACCAGACCGAGACCAGAGCAGGACTGAGACCGGGACAGAGCGGCTCTCTGGTCCTCCGCGCTCAAGAACCGCGGCTGGTTACCGAGGTGGTGCAAAGCCATCCGACTGACGCATTCAGACCAATGAAAATGAATCGAACTAAGAGCTTTTGGTTCAAATGGACCAGGTCCGGGACCAGACCGGGACCAGACCGGGACCAGAGCGCTACTGAGACTGGGCCGTTCGAAAACTGAAAAAACGAATAGTTATCCGTTTTTTCATTTTGGTTTTGGAGACAAATAACGAAGAAAACAGTTGTTTTTTCGTTTTCTTATTTTTGGTTTTATATTGAAAAACGAATGAACGAATGATACACGGATTAGTATATCACTGTAGCAGAGAGTTAAACAGCCAGGCAGTAACTGGTCGTATGTTTAAAAGGATAAGAATCAAAATAATGTTTTTTTTATAGTTTTAATCTATAAAAACATACAAAGCTATTCATGGATTTCAAACTATGGCTATCAAAATATTATCTTTTCAGTGGGGAAAGGACCTCCTCACAAATACCTTCAAAATAGGAAGGAATTATTTGCCTGAAATTAACAGAAAATTCTACAGCAGACTAAAATAAAAAAGTAAACTACATCCAATCTATGCAAGATTAATACATTAACATTTTTTTTTTTTTCAGTTTTGGCAGATAAATGGAGGGTATGACTCATCTGTTATAATGCTGGTCCACAAAACATTCAAAAATGATTTTCAGCTTGAAGTTCAGTTAACGATTAGCGATGATTAAAATACGATTATGATATTTTAAGAGTGAACTTGTCACAATTATTCAGATTAATCGATGCAACACTGGATTCAGTGCTGTAGCTTTGCCTCTGTCATATTGTAATTGAGTGACAGGTGGATTCAGCAATCATGGAGTGAACTTTCAGAATAAGTTACCATTTGAAGACAACACAAAGGTACTTGAAAGGTAATATAATTTAAATAGTGACCTAGAATAACTGTAATGTGATATCCAAATCTACTCACCACTACTTTCTCTCTGTGCGTCCTGACCGAAGCCCCAAACCACTGATGAGACTTGAATTCCAGTGGCTCCCGAGTGCCGTTTACCTTTATCATTCGGTTATCTGCAGACACACAGAGCGGAAACGAGCACAATAAAACCAGACCAGAGCAAAAGACATTTCATAATAGAGCCTATAAAAGCTGATATTGACTGTGGCCTGGAGGAGAGACCGAGCAGTTTAGATGGAAAACAGTTGTCCCCGATAAGGCATAGCAAAACATCTTTAAAGAGGTCTGTGTGCAACAAACATCAAAACAACATATGCCCCCCAGAGACAGGCATTTGCTGGGGATACGAGTTTTGGAACTTTCTCATAAAATAGAACAACACTAAACCTAAAAGAGCCTGCAGCATTAAACCTTTCCAGCATCCAACGCACACATGAAGTTCATATCCACAAACACTCCACAATAAAGTGTCACGTTTGGCCTGGTTCAATGTGTCTTCACTTTGTTGGAGAGATTTTCCAGTGTCTTTAAATCCTAGACGGACGATGTTATTGCTACAGAGAGCGTTCACCAATAAACACTTAATTTGCACAAATCGACTCACTTCCTGTTGGACTTGTAGTAATAAACTTTTGCATTATGGAGTATGTATTCTGATTTCATTATTTAGGAGAGTGGGGGAAACTGGCCAAAGTGGTCAAAAGAAGGAGGCCGACTCAGAAAACATCCCATTTAAGACCAAATTTATAAGGTCACTGTGGTACAATATTATATCTATTATAAAAAAATGAACTATGTAAAAGACCCAATGTCAAAGTGCATGTTTCGGGGCGCTCTCCTCATAAATGCCTTAGTAGATCTATGCAAAAAATTTACACTACTGGTCAAATATTTTAGAACACCACGTTTACTGTTGACCAAAACATATTCTAAACTTTTGATTCATGAAAGTGTCCACCTTTGGCAGATATAACAGCTGAACACACTCATGGCTTGTTTTGTTTTTTTACAATAGAAATCAAATATTCTTCAGAAAGTTCTTCCCAAGTTTGTTGCAGAAGTTCCCATAAATGTGTGGCACTTGTAGGGTGCTTGGCTTTCACTCTTCTGTCTAGTTCATCCCAAACCAGCTCGATGGGGTTTTCGTCTGGAGACTGTGTTGGACACTCCGTGTTTTCAAGCTCACCATCTTGTTCTTTTTTCCTGAGGTAGTTTTGGCAGAGCTTGGACTTGTGTTTTGTTATCTTTTATCTTTTTTCTTAACCTCTGGCTGTTCAGTTCTTACCTTCGTACCATTTCAAGCTCTTCATTGGACTTGCACGACTTGAATTGCAATAAATGACTGGAAAAATCAGGTTGTTCTAAAACTTTTACACCGGTAATGTATATGCAAAATTTAATAACTGATTTGTATTTTTCAGATGGTTATTTTGTACGTAAAGCTATTTGTAGCCGGTCACAGCGTACTCTTAGTTAGGATAAAGATGTGTCGATAAATGTAGAGGGACACAAGTGAAAGGGAAACACTGCTCACTAAAAAGCACATAAAAGAATCAGAAAACAACAGATCAACACTGGTATGTATGTGTGCCTTTGAGCAACACACTCCACCTGTGTCACTCAAGGATCTGAATACACCAGTATAACACTATAAACCATTTATTGAAAGCAGCTAAGTCAGAATGTACAACACAAGCCTCAGATCTCTCTATGACCCATGTGAAATCTATCTGGCCCCTTTTTGGAGGTGTGACCGTTTATACCCCTCCCCCACCCCCAGCAGCTCAGAGTGGCGTGGCTTCTGCCTAACGTCACTGTGGCCGCGCACCCCTCAGGTACGCCAGCTCACATAATTGGACCCACGTGAAGCTGACGCATGCAGTGGAGGCACTACAGTAACAGTACGCACAGATGGTCACCAGTCCTGCACATTTTTACAACAATGAATACATCTACCTGTTTTAATGGCTCCGTGAAACTGTAGACAAAACCAGCGTGGCCACTATCATCAATCATCCAGCACCTCCCGCGCTTTCCATTCTCACATCTTTAGTGTTTAGTCCTTGGTCTACTAAAACTGCCAATATAGTATGAGCACTTTACATCAAGAGAGAAAGTAAAAAAGGAAAGAGAAACTGGTCAAAGTTAGGAATAATTGGTGACACTACTTTGACCTTGATGCTCTGGATTCAATATTAAAGAAACTATTCCAGGAGAGGGTCTGGCACCTGTTGTCCCCATTGAGATAAGTCCCATCGTTTTTTATTAATTGTGTGTTTATAATGCCTTGAAAAATGTGCCTTCTTAATGTGATGCTTGTCTCCCTGCAGATCTGAACTACTTGTTCAAACAATCACATCTTCATGGACACAAACAGTTAGCCTGGGTTCATCAGCCGGTCTCACTTCACAGCATTAGGATTTGTTCGCTCGACGATAGGAGGGTACCATTTAATTTAACCAATTGCTGCTATTTGGTCATGATGTATGTAATGCACCGCTAACGGGGCTAACTGGTATATTAGGCTTTTCCCAAATCCCGTAGGAAGAAGGACCCCCCCCCCCCCCCTGATAAAATTCACCAAATATTCTCTTTGTTCTGGCTTTAAATCCTCGATTTTGGGAATCTTTGTCAACAGAGAATGTATGGCTCTTCGCTGATTGGCTGGTGCCCGAACTTGCACTTCCGGGGTTTTTGCAAACCGTCTAGTGTATTCTGATTCCTGACCTAGTCGCTGAAGAGAAATTAAATTGAGCGGAGGCACTAGGTGGCACCAGCCTGGCTAATAAAAGGTGGAAAACAGAAAAATAACAGCGCACCTTTAACTTTAAGCTAACTAACTTTGTATTTCAACACAGCGCAACAGAGCATCTGATGTAAAAAGAAAAGTAAATCAATATGTAAATCATCGTACACAAGGGGCAGATGATTTGTCGTTACGACTTTAAGAAACATCTCTGAAGAAGTTACATATAAAAACTAAACACCTTGACTTACATGTTTCAAATACTTACTGGCTACTGTTGCCACCAGAGTCTGCTACCATAGCAAATTCAACATCTGAAACCTGTTCCTACTATTCTACACATATCTGATTTATTGGCGTTTACTGACAATATGTCGCCAATATGTTTTCCTGGCAGACTACTAAGGTTCCCATCAGAGAGCGAAGACAGTTCTGTCAACTAACAACAAACAACAAACAACATGACAACATATAGTACCGAGAAAGTTTTAATCTAAAAAGCCTATAGAAAATGATAAAAATAGAAAGATGGAGAACAGAGAAAGAAAAAGAGACACAGATGCATTTTGCAGCATCTAATAAAAAGCAGACCTCACCCCTTTTTCATCTAAAGGGGACTAAATTCCCATGTGCATACAGTTACCCCCCTTCTGGTCTCACATTGTCTCCCTACTCTCTCTCTCTCTCTCCCTCTGTCTCTCTTTCTCTCTCCCCCTCTATCTCCCTCTCCCTCTATCTCATGCACACACTTACATGGAAAGGAGTGCGTGAGAGACACTGATGATAATAAATAGACAGGCGTAATCAACACAAAACTAAGCACCTTTTTATGAGATGAAGTTAAAGAGCCCCATATGTTTTATCTCAATCATTGTGTCTGCCAACTTTACATGATACTAGTATTAACATATATACTTGAACATACCAGACAGACATTTTGGGCATGATCCATCCTTGGAGTTTATAGACCAAAACCAAGCGTAAACCAATAAAATTTTATGGCTACTTTTCCAATAAAGCTCTCAAATCTGTTATATATTGCTAAACTATTATATCCAGGTGATAGAAGACCAAAGACTGGCCAAAATAAAAAGAAGCCAGCGATCACAAGAGACCAGAGTACCAATTGTGCCGGTCCCAAGCCTAAATATGGAGACAGATGCATGAGGAAGGGCATCTGGGGTACAAACCCCATGGCAACTGAATGCAGATCACTGTTCTTTCTTGCACACAGGCTGTATCAAAATTGGGACTGAACGGGGACTAAATCCGGAACTAAAACAGGACCAAAACAAGACTATAATACGACAGAATCAGGATCAAACCACAAAGTGCCCATAGAAACAGTAAAAAGTTAGCCCAAAATGGTTAATTAAAATGTTGTACTACTCACTTGCATTGTCAAAAGGTATCTGTCTGCAGCTGTCAGTCTGTCCAGGCCAAGGGCAGTAGTAGACAGCCCCTGCCTCCACGATCCCCGGCTGGGATGTGTTTGCCTTTGGAGCCCCCACCAGCACGCTTACCCTAATTGGGGGGAAAAAAAGACAAGAAAAAAGCATGCAGAAGTAGTATGCAATGCAAGCCGTACATTCTCATATACAATCCATCCGTAACATGTGCGCACATTGTGGCTAAGTCATTCAGATCGCTTTCCTTCTGTTTTAATAATGATTAGTTGTGTGCTGTGGTAATCTGAGTGGTCCATGCTTTCTTTGCCCCATGCCAGGATATGGTCCAAGCAGTGGAATAACTTAACAAAAAATGATGGAGACTTGTAAGCAGGCTACAACACAAATTCATGTGCGTATTCAAATGCCTTTTGAGTGGGAAGAAGTTTGAATGGGAGGCTAGAGTTGTAATAACATTAAGTTATAAGTAAGTACTCACGTGTTGCTGTCCGTAGTAGGTTGATAGAAGTCCACAGAATAACCAAAATAACTTCCTTCGGGTCCCTTATAAACGCTAGGATGCTGTGCGTAAAGGTTAAAACTCCACACTGCATTTGGCGCCGGAGAAAGCACCGCTATCAATCCGAGAATAAACATCCCAGCGGAGGAAATAAAGTCCCGCGTGCACTCCATCCCCAGCTTTCTGCAGACTATTCCCAATCAGAGAAGTAGTAGTGGATGAGAGCGTGCCCCCCTCCTCCGCGCAGGTGAGGTAGTTCTGTCCCGAGCCGTGCGTTTTACTGGTGCGCCTAACCCGAGCTCTCCCCTCAACCGCAGGCTACTTCTGACAGCCTCCTTGAACCGGTCGCAGCACCAGGTCTGTCCAGAGCCAGACTACACTACACAGCCTCGCCCCCGCCCTCTGTACAAAACTTTACCCCCCTCTCTCTCTCACACACACACACACACACACACAAGCAGGCACAAACCACATCTGAGCGCGCAATGAGCCTGGCGCGTCACGGCTCCTTTTAGGGCGCAGGCGACGGAGTTTCTGGAACTATTTTGGCAACAATCCCAAACATATTACATGAAAATAGAATAGGTTATCATTGTTAAGCAAGAATATGACGATCAATGCATTTATTTAGCACGTTTTATGCAATAATTTTAGTTTACGCACGGTTCGGCATCTTTTTAAAAAAAAATCCTAGTTACTATCAAATTAATAGTTAAGTTATTGACGCATAAGTTACAATATCTCTCTCTAAATCTTCGGGTGTAAGATTGGCGAGTTCCTTCCTCAATTATTAAACCACTGCCTCCTTCCCTCGTGAATAATTGCGTGTAATTGTGTCACTAATTATTATGTCGGCCGAGAAGGAAAAATATGTGAAGCCAGTAGCAGTTTGGCCTGGCTTTCCATTTCACTCGTCACCCAGCGAAACTTTTGACGCAACGCACGTCGTTTATGTTGAAAATAATCTCATACGTGATGAAGACGTGACAGCCGGGTCACGAGAGGCTACTAAATCCACATTTTTGAACGAGAGCCCGGCGAAACTGCAACTTTGCGTGCACGTTTCGGATTCCCCGATAGTGGATGATGAGTTTCCCTCGTTTTGAGACTGAACTGATCACGTGATATGTTCCAGGATTGCTCCACAGTGTATTCAATTGGTTGTACTCTGGTATTTTGGCAAATCTAACCAACCAAAAATTTATAAGATGGTGCTGTTAACTGCAAATAATAAGAATAAATGTGTTCACTGACAAAACAACTGCGTGTTAATAGTTCATGTGAAACAACTTGGACATACCATTATTTTTAAGACATTTTTGGACACCCAAGCCTTAAATCTGTCAAGCTCTCCATTCAAGCCACTGTAAATTAAAACAGAACGATTTATGTTTTTCATTTGTGGGGAATAAAAGCAGACTTATTTGAATTTTTGCCATTAGGGTTATGCTTTGTGTCAAAAGAATTGATAATAATACCTCATGAAACAGCCCTGACTTGCCAAAAGGAAAAATTTCCCCCCCTCTGTCCCTCACTCATCTTTCCATTCACAGAAGACTTTTTTTGAATGACGTCCCACTCTTTATTGCTTTTTGACCCGTCTCAATATAAAAAGTTCAAGTAAAACTGGTCTGTTCTTCTTCAATGGATTTTACCTAAATCCAAAGAACAGATACAGTCTATGATGAAAATCCACAATAGTCAAGGACAAAACCGAAGCTCAAACCAGGACCAAATCATGAGTCCAGGACCAGAGACAGTAAGTTGTTCAAAAATGTAAATGCTATAATACTCACATGCTTTGTCAAATCATATCTGTCTGCAGCTGTCAGTCTGTCCGGGCCAAGGGAGTAGACACCTTCTCTCTGGCTGCTGGGGTGTTTGCCTTAAAATCGTCAAGGAGACATGCTGGAGGAGGTTTGTAGATAAAACTTTTGTATATAGACAGTGCAGGAATCAAAAGGGAACATTCTTCTTCTTTTCCTTTATGTATTTGAGATAGGAAAATGCACATTAATAAAAAAAATATAGCACAAAGCAATGCAAACATACCAGAGTTAGCAGTGGCGTATAATGAAGAGGCCATGGTCAATACAGACTTTGCTCCTGAGCCCTTTCTGTAGCATGCATACACTGGAACAAAATGCAGTGGAAATACAGCAGTTATTATTAGAATGAACACTGCTGATTAAGTTCATAATGAAAGTGTGATTACATTGATGGCACAGATATACAGGGGTGGATCAAACGTCGCTGTGGGCCCCATAGTCTGTACTGGACTGTCTGACCTGCCTGATGTCACGCCCATGAGAGTTCGCTGATTTGAGCTAATCATTTTGGGACCTGGAGCTGATTTTTGCCGGAGTTCTATGTAAATGTGCCTAATAAAAAAGAAAGAGTATCAAGTTTGAGAATAGACAGCATGCTCCTGCCCTGTTGACTTTATAAACAACACTGGCCGTAGCTGCACTGAAGCTCTAAACGGCTGATCTTGTGTCGTATGTATAAAGTATGTTTAGATATTATGCATGTAATTGTTGCTTGTAATCATTTTTCTCACTGTCCTGAATCAGATACATTTCACACAGATATTGAGTTTCCTCCAAATACGCACATTAAGTCGCATACTGTTCAGGTTACGCGCTTCTAAGTCACTCCGTGTTTTCAGATCTGCAGATTTACAGCAGGTCTTTCCGCATTGATTAAAGCACACATCTCTGTAAGACACAACACAGTGCTGCTTTTACACACTGCAGCCTCCGTCCCTTTTACAAACTCATAATGAGACTGTATCGCGCACTGTTATGCCAGATTAGGCCCACATCCTTGATCCATTAGAGGAATCCATTAAACACACACTCCCCTGCCAATACTACAATAACTCCATAGTATGGATACCGACAGGCTAGGGCAGAGAAATCAGTGCTAAATATTTAAACAATGTGGAGTGCTTTTAAATCAGTCAGCCATGCAAAGTCCAGTCATTTTTAGGCTCAGTTGGATAAGTATTTGTCTGTGAACCAGAGGGTAGCCAGTCCGATCCCCGCCAGATCAGATACAGTCATTGATTCTAGCTGTATGTTTGTTTACTAATACACTGGAGTCATGGGTGAACACAGTCCAAACGTATCTCAGGGGACAAACAGTGAAAAGGAAAGTCAATTGGGCCAAAGCAAATGTACGAAACATAATACACTGCTGCTTTAACTGAATTAGTGCAACTTTTGTTAAAAAACTTACATCAGTACATCCACGCAGCAGATTAAAATTTGATATTTACGGTGCACCAGGTTTGTCAAAAGTATCAAAAATCTATACCAAAAATTCTAGTGAAAGTAAATAATAGGGATGTAACAATAACCGAAATATCATGATATCGTATCGTAAAAGTCTCATAATAATATCACAGGCTGTCACAATATATTGAATTACAAGCTCCTTTGTTTAAATGCATGGGTTATAGTAGCAACAGCTTATGAACATGGGAAACTACATATCCCATGATTCATTTCAGTGCAGACAACATGAAGAGATATGTTTTTTACTTGAATTCTTGGGATTATGATGAAAATAATTCACACCAAAATCTTGTCAAGGTATTTTAAAAGCAGAAATGTGTCCTATCTACAATTATATTAGCCTCTCCAAAATATCACAATAAATACCGTGAGATGCATATCATGACAATATCGTACCGAGAGTTGGATATCGTTACATCCTTAGTAAATACTCATTTGTGTAGGTGTCAGTACTAAAAAAACACATTCACTGGATAGAAATGAACCTTTCCTGAATAGTTTTAGGATGATATTGAACCCACGGACCACTACAGAACCTAACTGGACAATTGAGGGATTACTTGGACAAAAGGCCACATTGTAGTATTAAAATTACATTCTATGGTCTAAAGAAAGAGTGTTTTTAATTATCATCACGGGATCAAAAACTGTATCGAGTATCAAGTTGAATCTTCAATAAAATGGAAAATCGACTCCAACTCTTGTCACATTGTTACATGTTCTGTTGTGTTTAACATTCTATCTATTTGTATAGTTTTGAGTTACCCAGAGTAAATACATCTTCAGGATTTAGTATCTCTGTGATTTAGAGACGCTGGACCCTCACTGGTGATTTAGAATGGACTTGCCCCAGAAAGACCTTAGACATCCTGAAACCCAAGGTGTCGAAAGATGTAGCAAGGGCAGGGACCAGCTCAAAACGACCAACGAGGCACATCAGTCAAACCAAAAAGTATTTATTACAGAGCCTTCTCAGAGTGATAATAAATACATAACTTCGCAGCCAAATGGAAAGGTGCAAGTCCCACCACCCGGATGCTGGCTGAGGAACACTGTAGAATGTCCAGCGGAGTGCGTGTGGGCTGGTCCCGAACGCTGTAAACGCTTCCCTTTATTACGGTCCCAAGTGTGAAAGGCTTTGGTAAGTTTTCCCTTGAACAGTGCTGTAGCTAAATGAGTCTTGTGTATTATCTGATATCCATGGCATGCACTCCCATTTCATAATACCTTCCTGTCTATCACTTAGAGGTGTATTGTGTAACTTTTCTTTTCTCCATTGTTACTGCTTTAGCTGGAATATTCAACAGTATGACATTTATTTTTATTTAACCTTTATTTAACCATAAAAGTCTTATATCTATCTCCATGAAGACACCACCAGGACAAGTTACAGTCCTGATCTGTGGAGATGTCAGCCCTTTCACAGTGAGAATGCACGGTTTTCAAGGTATTTCTAGCCACACAACACCCGTCATTTATTAAAAGAAAGATAGGTACATTCAATGCCATACTGTGGAATATTCTTGGCAAAGCAAAGCAACAAAATATACATGGAACAGGTGGAGGCCCACCCACTACAAATGTTATACCTGCCAGATGTTTTGAAAATAGGTTTGGTTCACAATTTTGAATTATATGTTGTCTTATTTCTTTATCGGTAATTCTCATTTCTTAAAAGATATCTGCAAATGGTCAATCTGACAAATTTAATAGAATACTTCCCTTTTTTTACACAGATGTTTTGTGTCAGTTTTTGCTTCATGTGGTCCAATAATTACAGAGAATTTAGCCATAGACCATGTCCAGATGTCTGCATTTCGACATTTAAATAGAAAATGCCACTGCAGAATAATTATCTAGCTGCTCATTTTGACTTTATCGCTTCTTTAGAATGTTGAAAACAACATGAACACAACCTCTGAACAGTAAATATTGACATGTCTGGTCCGTTTGCATCCTTTGTGACAGCTGAAGTGACAGTGGAATGGCAAAGGTGAGATTTTCAGTGGAATGTGTGAGTGCGACAATGGTTCGTCCATGAAGGTCTCGTGTACAGTTGTGTCTTCATTAACATTTTGTGAGCTTCAGTCTTTGTCATGTGCTGGACCTTTGCAGTCACTGTGCCCAGAGTCAGTGCCAGTTCAGTTGAGGGAGGGGGATCGGTCGGTGGTCCACAGCAGCTCGATGTAGGGCCACTTGGTTTGTAGACAGCGCTTCACCGGAGTGTCGTCCGTCCGAACCATGGGGTCCTCGAACCCTAGCACCACAGCGGTCCCCTCCACGTACTCCACCTGAGCCGTCAGAGTATATAGCACAAGTGTGTTAATGCACAGTTAGTATGGTTAAACAAATACACAAACATCAGCACTTTCAGCAGGCTTTGACAGGCTTCAACTCTATTAATCTGTTTTCCGGCCCGTCCTGAGAGGGGGCCTGGAGGAGGGCATGGGCGGACGCTCACAAACACATACCAGCTATGTGCATGGTCTGCTTTTCCCATTACAAACTATGGGAATGGAAATGCCATCATGACCTTATAGGCACTCTGTATGTTTTCCACTTGACACCTGGAGGTGCTCAGAGCTGTAACAACTTATCCAGTGACTATTTTAAAATAATTAAACTATTTGAGACAAATTCCAGCTGGTAGCAACTTTTTTGAAGAGAGATTTCGCTAATCCGACAATACTCTAATGTATCTAATCTAAGCATCTGGGTTCGGCTAACAGGCCACCCATGCCTTTCTCAGGGTATTTTCTAAAATACTCCCAGAAGGAATATTATCTGACCTGCAAGACATCTAATGGCCTGCAAGAATATTTGTGTAATTGTACTATATAAATTAGCAAATAAATAACACAAATTTGTCTTAAAACAATGGTAAAAAAAAAACAATCACTTAAATTTTAGGCATCTCAAAGCAGAACTTGATATTCCTGAGTACGGGCCATGTGACATTTCTCCATCACACTGGGCTCTCCTAATGACCTGTATGGGGCCATTCATCACAGAGCCGCTGACACTGGCCCCTGAGCTGAAACGCTGCAGAAACAGAAGGCTAAGCCAGGCTTTTTGGATGGATGGACGAGCTATTAGGCTTGTAATAGCTACTGTTTATTCTGGAGGAGCATGTGTGCGCCTCTGCATGAGTGATGGCAGAAGCAGACTGGAAATATTGGGACGAAACACAGGGATAACCCAAAAGCCAACATTAGTTACAGTGAAAAACGTGAAAATCCCTGGTCCTTACCCTCTCGTTGTGGTTGGACTGTTTGAGCCCATTGTAGTGGTAGACGGGAAATGAGTCTGGGATTCCTGAATCCTGAAACAGAGTGAAAAACATGCATGTTGTTGAAAGGCTTTGGAACAGGTTTTTCTTACATAGATGGAGGTAAGACCAACACAGAAAGAACATGGAAACCTACAGGAGGTCTCTGCCCATGACCAACGCTTCAGGTTAAATCTTCTGTGAAATTGAAAAGTATGTGACAATGTTTGTGTGTGCACGGGCAATTTATCATCTACAGTATGATATCATTGTAGTTCTGAAGGAATGCAGTTAGATTATCACATTTATTAAGGCTGCAACAAACAGTTATTTTAGCAGTCAACTAGCCAGCAATTATTTTTAGAGATCGACTGATTTGGGCTTTTTCATGGCCGATGCAGATACTGATTGTTTAGACTCCAGAGAAACAAATAGGCAATAAGTTCTGCTGATATTTTTAGGGATATAGGGATGATTTAGCCTGATTCATCAGCTTTGATTTGTGGAAACCATCTGACCTCGCAGCATTAGGATTAGTTTGCTCGACGTAGGCAGGTACTTTTTTATTTAACCAATCGCTGCTATGGTTGTGACGTATGTAATGCGCCAAATCCAGTAGGAAGAAGAGCGATAGCTTCTTTCCCCTTGATAAACATTCTCTTTGTTCCAGCTTTAAATCCTCAATCTCGGGAATCAAAAAAACACAAAATGTATGGCTTCGTCTAGATCCATCTCGACCTCTTTGTTTACTGTTGTGCTGTACGCCAAAAGGCACCCAGAGAGGCGCTTGAGTTTGACGTCATGGCTTCTCAGCTCTTTGCTGATTGGCCAGTGCGGGGTCTACAACTTCTGGGGTTCTTGCAAACTGTCTAGTGTATTCCGATTCTTGACCTAGTCGCTGGAGAGAAATGCCAGCCTCACTAGGGACGATTTAGATTGGATTTAGATTGAATCAGATTTAGATTTTCCCCAAATTCTATAATTCAAATACAAACTTGCCCAAAACCATTTTTATCATAAACATATAAGAGAGCTGTGTGGTCACGTTTTGTGCAGTTATCTCTGTTAAAATAAAGTTTTGTGTGTACTCAGACCTGTACAGCAGGTCGGCCAAAGCAAAATATGGGCTATATAGTGACTGAAGGCTTCTATACAGAGAATGTTTACAAATAAAACACATTACTGAAAATCGCAAATTGATTATTCTTTATTGACATGTCCTGACAATGACACTGAGCTTAAACACTTCCTGTAGGTTTGGCTCCGAGGTGCTAATGCTAACAGTGTGATGTCTGAGAGCGTGGCCGTTCTATGTTTATGTGAAACCCAAGCCCTCGCCCCATCCCAGTGTGTGTCTGTGTGTGTGTGCTGTGTGTGTGTCCAGTCGGCTAATGGTAGTATAATTTCTTTGCAGCTCCAGGCTCGTTCCTCTGCATTGTCCCTAAAGCCCTGATCACTTTAACACAGATTCCCCCCATCTCTATCTCTCCCCTCTCGCTCGATGTCTCTCCCTGTCTGTCGCTCTCTCTCCCTCTCAATGTCTGTATTCCTCTCTCTCCTATAGCTGTATCTATCTCTCCCTCGCTCTCCTCCTTTGTGTGAGTTTGTATATCCCTTTCTGACTCTCTCTCTTCCCGTCTGTCGCTCTCTGGGCAGTTCATGTTTTGACCATTGTTTTTTGTAAATAATGCGTATGCAAATCCTTGAGTATTTTTGTAAATAATATATGTCTTCCTGTCATCTCTCTCTTTCAATACGTACCATCTCCCTCCATCTCCTTATATGCACTGCCTCATAAAAGGTGTCTTACAATTCTGTCTCTGATTCCCGATCATAAAAAAACAGCGATCTCACATTCGCAGATTTCACATGAGACACCACAGGAATGCACTTTGACATAAAACCCTTTGATTTACAAAAAGAGTGCTTCCCATAGACTCTGGAAACTGTTTTTAGTGCACGTTCAACTCCAAGCTTGTGTTATAATTGTGAAGAATGACAAAGCGGGTGTAATTTTAAACACATACCTGATCAGGGAAGAACTCCAGCAGAAATGGGCCCAGAAGAATTACACCCAAACTCTCTGGATCCAACTTCGTCTTCACCAAATTGACACTGAAAAGATACAGATGCATTTCTATAAAAAGTATGCAGACATGTCTTCTGTATTTTAAACATCACATAAAATGGGGTGGGTGTACACAAGCTTTTATGTAGCAGAACAGAGAACAAATCCTTAAAGCAATCCCACATACATTCTGGAGGTGGCACATCATTTGAATCATTCCATGAAAAAAAATTTAAATAAACATAATTATGTTCTGAATTCTATGGCCGCACATTGTGTCCCTCTCAACCACAGAGGCCTTTGAAAGATTAATCCCAACATAATACAACCAAATTATAAAAAGCAGGTTAGGTCTGGACAGTATACAAATAATTGTTTCGGATAATTATGTTTTCATTTATGAATTAGAAAATCACAATTACAGTTTTCTTTCCATAACAGGGTAACTTAAAAGGTTCTGGAAAATGAGGCTGAACGATTCAACCTTTGCATCATAAAAACTAATTTTGTTGGAAGAAAACCATATGGAGGAAACTGCCAGGAACGCTATGTTTGTTAAATCAGACACCTTGTTAGATAGGAACAATGTGAAGAAACTAGGGATGCAAGAATATCGATAACGAATATCGGCGCTGATCCAGAAAAATGATTGATTCCATGATATCGGTTCAGCACATATTGATCTGGATGTAACCTTAATTGAATGTAATAAGAACATTTACTGGCTGATGTAGGCCCAGGACTTTTCATAATGTTTGAACTTTAATTGATACAAAGCTGTGATAAACAACAGGTACATAACATAACTGGATTTTATAAATTAAAAATGCCATTTTCAAACACTACACTGGTATCTTTTAATATCGGATATCAGCAAATACTTAAAAGGAACTGAAAAAGCTGGACTGGCACAGCCCTAGAAACAAATGCCTATCCCGAACAGTTCATTCTCAGTCATGGTTCAACTTTAGGGTAAATAAATAAATGTATAAATAAGCAACAGCAGAATAATGTTTTGACCTTAGTTAGAGTTGGTAAAACTATCTTAAGACTACAATATCATCCGTCAGTCTGGAGCATTAAAGTGTGTGTGTGTGCATATCTTAAGAATACTGTGGTACAACTAAATATACCTCTGTCAGACATTCCTACGCGTTGGATCCGTTTCATTATTATTTCACTGATAAAAAATAGGCAGATCAGATTGTCCTTTTAAGGTGTTGTGCAGAGCTGCCTGGTTCATGCCAAGACTGAGAGGTGAAAGTGTGACCACCTTTCAGCTTATTCACTTTACCAGACCAAATCCAGAGCTTTTGTGGCATACACAGTAGAAAAGTGTGTAGCCTTAGTTAGAAATGAGTTATCTGAGGTTTGTCCATGCCGCAGGCCCAATATAACTGCATGTGACTGCATTAAATAATAGACTGGAAATGAGCAGGGTGTCTTTCTTTTATCTGGTTTAATCATATGGTGTTGGTCTGTAGTCAGTTGGAACAAAAATCATGTCTTGTACAGGCTATAGAAAAGATAATTAGGACAAGTTTTGGCAGATTTTTAGATGGGCTGGCGCCACCTACTGCCCCCGCTCAATTTCATTTCTCTCCAGCGACTAGGTCAGGAATCAGAATACACTAGACGGCTTGCAAGAACCCCAGAAGTTGTAGACCGTGCACTGGTCAATCAGTGAAGAGCTGTGAAGCCATGATGTCAAACTCAATCGCCTGTCTGAGTCCCTTTTGTGGTACAGTACAACAGTAAACAAAGCGGTCGAGATGGATGTAGACGAAGCCATACATTCTGTGTTGGCAACGATTTCCGAGATCGAGGATTTAAAGCCGGAAGAAAGAGAATGTTTGGTGAATTTTATCAAGGGGAAAGATGTTATTGCCCTTCTTCCTACAGGATTTGGCGCATTACATACGTCATGACCAAATAGCAGCGATTGGTTAAATAAAAAACTTACCCGCCTACTGTTGAGCGAACAAAGATGTCAAACTGAACTGATTTTATTAACATAGGTGGAAAATCTTCTATTTTAGAGTCCCACAATCAGTTCACAGTGCACATTCCAAACACACTCCAAACAAGAGCATTAAGGAGATAGAGGAGCTACACAGTTGGAGGTTTATACTCTATACTATATACTATTCCATACAGTGAATCAAGTTTTGCACTCTGACAGTTTTTCCCGACGCTGAAAGCGGTTAAGTTCATGTTGTGTGGCATTATATATGTTTGTGGTGGGCTTGTTCTTCTCTGTTGTGATGCATTGGCCATCTGGAGGTCTGCAGTCTGGTCTTATGCACTCTGAGGCTTCAACGTTCCTCCAATGGGAAAGTGCTCCTGTGTGAAGCGGCACTTTAAAGAGATTTCCGCCCTCTCCCGCTTTTTCTTCCTGCTGTTAATGATCTCGCCCTAAGCCCATGTTTCAGACTCGCTTTCTGGGTTCTTAGTTTCTTCCTGGGCTTTTATAGTGGTCTTACTTTATAGCAGCGTGGTAGTGAAATACGAGCAAGGGGCTGATGACCTGGCCTGGCCGTGACTTAGGAGCTAGAACTTGAAACTTGCTACAGGTGCCACACACACACAAACACATTCTAAAACATACAAATACACAAACATTTTAAGGGTTGGTGATATTAAAAAAAAAAAAAAAAATGTCCTGGTTGTGACAAATGTGATTGGATTGTTTAAAAAAAAAAAACTATAAGAAGACACAAGTTTTTGTAATATTTTTTGAAATCCCATGGCAAGTTTTTCTTTATTCTTAGCTCTTTTTTGCACATTTTATAAGGTGACAATGTAACTTTTCTCAGGATGGTCTGCCATGGTCTCATTTATCTCCATGGAGACAACTAGCTAACACCACCAGGCTGGATCTGTGGAGAGGAGACCCCATCCTTTTTTAAGAATGAATGTTTTCAAGGTATTTTTTGAGAATAGGTAAAAATACTTATTATTGAACAAATGCAAATAAAGAGCTTTAATGCCATGCCTTGGAACATTTCTAGGCAAAGCAATGACATCTCCATAGAGACAAGCAGGTGATGTATCTTTCATCAGAAAAAGGACATAGCGCATCTTTAGTATTAGAGTAAATATGTGATCATTCCATATTCAGTATTATCTTGACATATCGTAAAAACCCTAAAAACATACACAAAAACGTAAACTTACTACTCTGGCTCGGACACCAGGTCGAGGGCTTTCATCACATCCTCCAGGAGAGATTCAGGGATGAAACCATTATCTGGAAAAGACAGAGACAGAGCACAGACCATAAACCACAGCCTTCACCCACATCCACACAACATCTGGGGGATTTATTGTGTCTCCTGTCCTGGGAATCTGCTCATCTGGACATTACACTCACACATGCACCTTGTCCTGTCGTTTCTGACCTACATTCCTTTGGCATGATGATGGCTTTACCTGAACGAGAGGCACTTTAAACACCCAAATGTGTGGAGACCAAACAGAACCCATGTGTCTGTCGGAGCACATACTGTTTCACTTTCATTTGCACTTGTCTTTGTGTGGGCTATTGTCTAAATGCGCTCATGATGCACCAGGCTAATGTTACAGGGACCTCCAACATTTACAGGTGAAACTGAATTTTTCAGTTTATTCTGAATCACAATCAATCAGTTTCTTGAAAAATTGACATTAAAACATAACTGCAGAATACTCTGAAGTATACTTTTACATATCTAAATTTACAAAATGTAATACCTGAGTGTCTATTGATTTGATGGCACTGGCAAATTGTATTTTCCTTCAGCACCTTCTTTTACTGCAACATTAGATCTCTCTCGCTTACACCTGATGCCCTGTAGCAACCAGCCAATTACAGTGAAGGCAATATGGGTTCAAATGGGTTAAGTGTTTCGCCCCAGTGGGATTCACTAGGCCAAAGTTAGGACCCTCTAGTTAATTCTTTGTTTATCATCGTGTTCAAGCCTCCATTTTTGACAAATTACATCAGTCCGTGATGACAGCAGCTAATAAACAGTATTTTATTAACTGCAAATCCTGAAGGAAGAACCATAAGCATCGCATAGATTCACTGATCAATGCAGATTCACCCTGAGTTTGTGAGAGCTAGGAACTAGTTAGATAAGCTTAAATGCCTTCTACTTCATTTCACGGTTGAAATTTCAGATAAGGCAACTTTAATCTACTATACAAAGACTTTGGGAAAACCCTTATTTAACGAGCATGCGGTGCACGTACTCTGGTTTCACACTATCAAATATCCCACTTTAGAGCCTATCCATAGTTACAAGTGACAGTGTAGAGATCGGAATACAGCACAGACAAAACAGTGACAGTGAGCAGATATTAAAGACATGTGTGTAGATGGAGGAGAAAGAGAGGATCCACTTGTGAGTGTCTGGCGCCCTGAATCTATAACACCGTGAGTGGTGCTGAGTTCATGTGCAACTCCAAGAGATTTATGAGGCTTTTATACAACGCGGTGTGAGCTAGTGTACTCCACGGTGTGTCAATACATGCTCCGGGAATAAGCATACAATAAATACCAGACGCGTGTGAGGAGGAGGACCATATGGTTTAGAGCAGATTTGCAACATATTGACTAACAGATGACAAAAACTGAACAACAACGTACACATTTTTGCTCTGTGCATAAGGAAGTCTATAGATGTAATTGCTATTTTGGACGACAAAAATAACAGCTGGACATTTCTTGAACACATCATAATGTAAACAAATATGCATTCTTGTATTGGAGCCATAGAATGAATAATGCTGTTTGTGGGGACAAACTGTGTTCAAGTATCATCCAAGTCCAACAAACTCCTCATAAACTCTTGATGTTATGGTTCAAGTGCAGCTAATCTGGGTTAATTCAATCAATGTTCACTTCAGGACAAGCATGTGCCTCGCAAATGCAAAACCTAATAAGACTAAGAAGAGTCTGATAAATTAATTACAAAGAAAAAAGTTAGTTTTAAAGGACATTTATTTGTTTTAATAAAGTTCTAACCTAATCATAACTCACAATCAGATATATTGGGATATAATATAATGGGAAATGTAGTTTGAGCGAAGAGGTGGTTCATGGGAATCAGATTTTTCAATTTGGATGAGTTAAGTGGCTGGGATCTTACAGTGTAAATATAGAACCTGAAAGAAGGTTTTTTTTTAGAAACACTTTTTAATACAACAACAAAATGATAAAAGAATTAAATGTCTTCAAATCTTCCTTTGTGCACTTTGTATGTCTCCATAGAAATGTTACTGCTTCCTTTTGAATGTTCCACTGTATGGCATTCAATTTGATTATCTCCATGGAAACAAGAGACCAAGGCCAAGTCAGATCTGTGGAGAGTTGACCAGTGCCTGTTTTCCAAGGTATTATGAGCAACAAAAACAACCGTAATTCAATAAATACAAAATACATGCTATATTTCATCTCAATGAAGACAAGGAGTTAACGTATGCTCCTCCAGAAAAGTTACAGAGTACACCTTTAATGAATGCAGTGGTTTATTATAGCTGGAAATTATGTAATACTGACAGCAATGTAATTTTTTGTATGCACTGGTGCAACAAATCCTAGAGTCAGCTTAGGGGAGGAGCAATCACTGACTTTCATATCGATTTGGGAGATATTTAAACTATATGGAACTGCAGTATCAGCAGTCAAGCAGTGACCTACATTCTGCAACTACATAAACATCTTTGACCCTCACGGTGGACCCTCACTTTAGTTCTTCTGTTGTCACTGTGTCACATTTTGTGAACTTCCCCTTTACCTTTACCCCAGTCACCTTGAAGTGACAAGAACAAAACGGGGGAAAAAACAATGGAGAAAGAGAAGAAAAGAGAGGGACAGTTGATTCAGCTGTTTAAGGATCTGATCTCACCAAGCAAAACAACAACAGTCAAGATGAGAGAGGGCTGAAACAGAGCTTGGTTCCTCTTGTAGAGAATGAAAAGACCCATTTAAAAATTTGTGCTAGAGAAATATTTGGATTAATTATACCACATCTGTGTAGCATGTTTGGTATAGCCGCCATATTAACAGTCAAATAAACCATAATGGCCAATAAAAACGTGAATGAAATGAGTAATGATCACATGTTTGCCATACGGTAAATACAGTACACTTTTATTACCTTCAGGATCAAATGACTGGAAGACCCTCCTTGCTTGTTCAGAAGGTGACTCAGGACCCACCAGGGACATCTCCTGCAAACAAAGGACATTGTGTGTTTTTATCAGTTCATGGCTTTGTGCACATGCAACATGAGTGACCATAGCAATCACCGCAATCCTTAGTGTTATTAACTGATCTGCTGATAAAGTTGACAGTTTGTTTTTATTCAAAACACGCAATCAGGAAATCCAGTCTTGGTGTGACTCATGACGAGCTGTACGGTGTTTGCGGGGGAATTTTAGAAAGAGCAATGATGGCATATATACATAAATTATGGTGATGCCTTCTGATGCTGTTTGATTACACAGTGAAACAGGCCTGACTGGACTTATAGCCTGCTGTAGAGCCCAAGTCTTTGCTGTAAATGCAATGCGACAGGCAGGTTGACCAGAACTCCCACAAAGCTGTTTTCCTAAGTTTATTTAATCAGTCATCAGATTCTAATAAGAGTCTGGGCAAAGCTATTTAATCAAGCATAGCAAAAATGTAAGGCCAAAGCATTTGAATAGTGAAGAATGTAAATTAAAACAGAAGGAATATTATTAATGTATGGCAATAAATCCCATACGTACACCCATTAACTATTTCAATTGAAGCAACCTTCTCATAAAGTGGAGCAACTAAAACAGCTGGGGGAACACATTGTGACTTGACACATATGTAACAGGTAAAATACATCACATTTCTTTAAAATGAGCCTATGGAATTTGTCTGGTGACTTCCACTGAAGTGAGCACAATCCAAAACACTCATATTTTTAATTTATATAGTAATATTTTAAAATTCACAATGCACTTAACACATACAAATGTCAAAGCACTACACAAAAGATGAAAGAACACGGCACATTCTTTAAAAAGAATTCAAAAAATAAAAAAACAAAACAAATTTAACCAACTTCTGAGCTATGGGTTTTGAAAGGATTGCAATATAGCCTTCGTATTATGTTCAGAAAACATTTAACAATTTGTATGTTTATCAAATGAAATCGAGACATTACTAACAATTTGAGTTCAGAGCCTTGTCTGGCCACATGTGCAGCCAGTCAAAAGGTTCACACTGCCCCTCCATAAAAACGAGGGAGGGGAACCTGTATTTATGACAACCAAGTGCTGGACAAACACAGCCTGTTTTTGGAGAGCCAGTGAAGCCTGCTCATCTCCTTTAGCTGGCCTTTATTAAAGCTTGAGCCTGCAGATCCACATGGACTGCTTGGGTTTCATGCTTATTACTGTACTGGGGGCTAACTATGAGAAGAAGACAAGAGATGACTCCCAGCTGCTGCCTCTTCATATGCAAAGAAAAACAGAGAAGCGAAAGAACGCACTCGCACTCTGCATCACTGGATATGTTAACACTACAGCTCCATAAATTAGTGTGAAAATTTGTCTCTAGTTTGACAGGGCGAGGTTGCACTTATAGGGGTGGACAGGGGTCACTGTATTGTCTCAGGAGGAGTTAAGTGTTAAACGTGTCTCATAGGAGTCACAATGTTGACGAATGACACTGTAAATGAGATTTAACATAAGCTATGCACTTTGAAAAATGAGCTGTCTTCATTTCAAGCGAAGACAATGTGTTTCTCTTACACTGACGAATAGGTTAATTGATCTTGGGTTTCCAGATGAAGTCCGCGTATATGGGTTCAAATTCCTGAGGTGCACGTCGGCCACAACCCCGCGGTTTACAATGTGCAAAATGAGCTTGTTCTGTGTAAATCACCTGGTTCCAGGATGTCAACAAAGCGGCAGACTGGTAAGTGGTCCTCCTCAGACACACATGAACAAAACATATGATTAGCTCCAGCCCATACGTTCTAACACAGGCCTAATGAGCGCAGAGAGAAGAATAGTGAGTCATAGAAGATCCAGATTTTGACATAATGCCGGCGTACTGTTAGTGGGTGTGATGACAGGTCTGCCCCGCTGCCTTTCATCTGTGTTTTATTAGAGGCCCGAGGAAGATGCTGCGGAGTTGGAAAACATGTCGTGGGGCTGGGCGCTCCACAGGGGAGGTGTATGTGTCCGCTCTTTAACCTGAAGGGTTTTTGTAAGTTTGTGTCAAGAACAGAGAATGTCATACGCTGAATTTAAGTTTCTGTGCACTGACTTGCAAAGTGGTAAAAAAAAAAATCTCAAAAACAATTACTAGTTTAGGAACACTTAATAAAAAGTATTCAAAACAATATTCAGACATTATAGAGATAATTACAACTAGTTTCGTCTTCAGAGAGTTCACGCTTCACTGTGATTAGTTAAATCCGCCTGTCACTTATTCAGAGCATGACAGAGACTGACCAGTACGAGGCGTGGTTGGGTATCTGTTTTTCTGTTTAGTGCAGCTCTATGCTCAATGACACTAAATCAGAATCAATAAAATAACATATTGTGACAAGGATCATTTCACAACTTAAAATTTAGAGTTCACCTTTCACCGTGATTTGACTAAATTCATCACTAAATGACGATTGTACTTCTGCCATGTTTTCATTTCTTCAATTGTGAATTACAATCTCTGGAGTCCAAGTTTTGTGCACACATCATTGACCCCCCTCCCCACCCACTGCAACAACAAGGTAAAAACAACACACCAGGACACCCGCACTCCGGGAAATTAAACAAATACGCAAGCTTAATTTCAACCATTTTGAAAAACAATGAAGCATATCTTAGTTTAGGAGCCAACAATTTTAAGTGCTAAGTTTCAAAAAGTAAGCAGTTTTTGTGTTATGAAACTACACTTTTCTTACAACACAGAAACATATTGAGTGTCCCATGACTTTTTTCCACTCTCATCATTATTGTAGTAAAAGAACAACAATGTCCTTTTCCTGCTCCACAGATTTCCTCCCGGCTTCTTCCTTTGAACCTTTTCTAAATGCTTTCTTTATTTTTGGAGTACTTCCCTTGCTCCCTCCTTCGTCTTTATTGTCAATACTGGTTTCTCCATTCATTCTTTATCTTTTGGTCCAGGCCCTACATTAGTAAAGAAAAGCGACAGGACAGATAGACATGCTTTACTAGAGTTACCCTTTCTGATTCTTCCAAAGGACTTTTTGTTTGCGCTGAGAGCTTCTGAGTGGCCATAGAGTGCGTCTGTGGAGATCAGTTTTCTGAGAGACAAAGCAGAGGTCTTGGGTCTGTGTGTCCTGTCTTGTACCTACTGAGTAATGACATCCCTTGACCACAACAACACAACACTCAAAAGTTATTTATTTTAAAAAGGCCATTATACACTAGTCTGAAATAGTTTAAAAGTCTGACAACTAGCCTTTCCTCAAAACGATGAGTCATGGAAGGACGAGGACAAGAACTGCACTTGGCAATGCAATGAAAGGTGGAGAAGTTTATAAGAAGCTAAAACAATAGTTAATACAGATGCACAATATAACCTTTCTAATGGAGGGTAAGTCGCCTCCTTGTCACCATGGAGATGTAACTCCTTTGCCTGGAATGTTCCACAGTCAATTATTACAGCTGTTTTTATTGCTCAAAAATATCTTGAAAAACATTCATTCCTGTTTTGAGTGTCTGCAGATCTGAACTCTTAGTTGGTCTGGTGGAGTTACGTGCATATAATCATGATGTTATTTTAGCTTAATGCCATACTATGTAACATTCCAAACAAAACATTAACATGCAGACAAGCAGGTGGTAGCCCTCCACCAAAAAAGTTACATAATAAACCTTGGAAAAATGGAAGTCATGGTCAAATTTAGAGATAGAGATTGACTAATTATGCTAGATTAATGAACAGTGTATGAAAGTCCAGTTCAGGCATATTGAAACTGAGAATACTGAATATAAAACGCAACATGATTAAAAGTAAAAGGTCATTTGAGTACAGAATATGGCCTTGAAGTCAATTTACATGAGTACCTTGGTATGCTTGCTTGCTTATTTGTTTTACCTAAAGTAGCCTACATCTTTTTATGATGACAGTGAACAATAGCTGAACTTGTAATAGGCTTTATCCATTATATATCTGATATGTTCCAGGGATGACTTACAACAAAGTAGTGATTGATGAGACTGTCACAGATCAGAAAGGCAGTGTCTCCACAGAAAGGGAGACATGACACCAGAGGATACTTGTACAGTACACTAATGGGGGAACAGCACACCGGGGACCACCACAACAATATAACACACACAGAAACATGGGCTGGTTTTCACAAGATTACAATGCTCTTTAGTCCTGCCTGTCAAAAGTTATTAATGACTTGAGGTACAATGCTTTGTAAATTGTGTGGGTAAGCGGCATCCACACTTTGATTGTGAGAACATTTTTATAACCTATTCTAGGCATTATTAAAGTTGTTCATGGTTACAGAGCAATTTACATCAAGTTGAGTTTTAGACTGTACTAAGTATGGTTAAATTAGCTCCTACTTGCATGAATGCCTCATTTAGTCCATTATTACATTTTGGGACTTATCTTGAATAGTTACACAGCAGAAATATATTATTAGCTCTGGCAAAAATAGGCGCTTTAATCTTGTAATCAAAAAGATCCAGATGGCATAAAGTACTTTTCCTGTGTTATCTTATCAGGCTCACTACAGTTATTTTATGCTTAACTGCTGCAACAGCACCCCAATCAAAAGGCACACTTTTTCATTTAAGTTTCTTCTTTATTTCCATGATTATTTGTATTATAGATTCTCACTGAATGTATCCAATCTATGAATACACAGACATGAACTTGATTAAGATAAAAAGAAATTATTTAAAAAAAGCCACCCTTTATTTTGAGCCTGGTTTGTACTTTTGGGCCTATCATACATACTGTCATGAAGAGTTAAACTTACCATATGGTCTAACTGTAATTCTAGGTCTTTATAATTAACACAGCTGGAGCCAAGCGTGCTTGAAAGTGTCTGACCTATAGCAGACACTGAAGGACATTTCTGAGTGTCCAGACAAGAGCGGGTGTCTTCATAGGCTGGGTGCGCCACAGGTGCTCCTCTCCGTAAATCTGACCCACACCACGACTACACAACAGCTCACACTACAGCAGACATTTGCACACAAAAACTCACACAAAGTTCCCCAGAGAGTTTGATAAGCTGCCTGCAAACCTCATCACTCAGCAAAGCTACAAGAGGAGGAGGCCCTATGATTCTTTTCCAGACTGACCACCACACTGCACTAATGCATCCTTCATTTTCTCTACCCCCTTTACACTCCCATGGGGGCCTATAAGCAGTGAATAGGGTAGCACTGGAAATATCTGACTTGGGCAAATTGGAAACCTGCTTCAAATGCAAGAAAATGAACCTCATGCACAACCTCAAAGTGGGTAATATTGATAAAAAAGAATATACATCTCATAAATATATTTTTGATTATCCAGATGACAATATTCAGATGATATTAAAACAACCATCAGACATGTGGTAAAATGTTTCTATAAATGTAAAATGACTGTAAAGCTATCCATTAAAGTGCAGAAATATCACATTATGTCCCTATTTCATTACAATTATTATTTTTTATTATTATTATTTTTAATTTTTTAATCAGCTTTTTGTATTTTTTTGGAAATATTTAATTTTTGCATATCACCCAAACAGCAACTGCGATATAATCTGTTTTTCGGTATATTACCCGCCTCTAGTTTGATCAAATGCATCTTTCATTCAACATCTGCCCTTTTCTCCGTTTTCTCACAAACTTAAAAATTCATTGCACACCAGCCTCCACACTCGAATACACACATTATCACAGCCGTGTGTTTGGGGGCAGTCAGAGAAAGTGGAATGGCCTTTGTGTGGGTAGATTAGATAAAAACACTAATACTATTACAGTGATGGTCTAAAAGCAGTGGCCACACACTGGTGGGGACTCATGGGAATAGAACACACAGCAGTCCCCAGACACATCAGAGGGCGGGATCAGGTTTGCTGCTTTTGTGGCTCGATATCACATCTAAAAGCTGTATAACCAGGTAATGTGTATTTTTGTGTTGGAGCATGGGAAATCTTTTTTCCCTTAGTGTGCTTCAAAATAGCTGCTCCTTTCAAGGACAAGAGGTGGCTGAGTGAAGCCTCTGAGCAGATGCCATTGTGTTATATACTCTGTTTCAAAGTGCTAAAGGCCATTAGTGCCTATAGTGTGAAGCCTGTGCATGGCTAAATGTGTGGATGTGTGTAACACAGACAGTTCCCACTCTGCTTCGGCACAAATGGAACCAGATGGGAACTACGGACTCACATTCCCTACAGGAAGTCATCCACCTGAAGACACACATACAAAGCTAATGCTAATCAGGATTAGGTTCCCTGTTCTGAGGAATGCACTTGTAAGAGTTAAACTATGTATCTGTGTATATGTGAACATGTCACCGTTGCCAGGGGAGGGGGGTCATCAATGCGCATGACGACGTTCATCAGAGGACCAACATATGATCCACGTGCCCCGCACACAGCTACATGTGTAACCGAGCTTTAATCAATGCCGTATTAAGGGCATTGCTTTATAATGAAGATGATTGCGGGGGATTTTTTGGCCTCTTCAGTGCCATTTCCACAACAGCAGGGAGAATCGATTTACTCTCACTATACCAGCTGAAGTAATGGATTAAATTACGGTAAACTTCTGCGATGATAAACAGGCTTGTTTGAATGCAAACTGGAGAGCAAGCACCAACTGACACAAGCACAGCCATCTGATGACTCATACTTCAAAGTGTCTCCTGGAGTAGAGTTGACCTCATGGTATGCTTTGCATTCTAGCTCAGGGTTGTCCCATATGTTTCTGTGTGCATAATTGCATTTGCATGTTGGTTTGCTGAATGAAGATATGGGTATTTTCCAAGTACCAAGACATCATTTGGTGACCAGAAAAATGTATTCAGTGACAATAATTCTACCCGTATACACCGAGGGTCACACTGATTTGACCCTGTTAAGTTGGTGCCGTATTTATTACACATATAACATAGCAAAACAAATTGCTGGCAGAAAAAGTCTGCAAACTTGATGTTACGTTATCAGATGTTTTGCCATGATTTCGTTGTTAGAGAATTAGCTTTACTTCCTGTGCTGTTTCTCATTCTTTTTCTGGAATTTGTTAGCCAACAGAAACAAATATAGAATTCATATGACCCAATTACTACAATGTATGGAAGTCTTTCTGAAGCTGTTTACATTACAACCAACATACATTTCAGTTTATAAAATTTCACAGATTAACAAACCAAAAAAATATATAAAGTGAATGATTTCTTTGAAATAGTGAACACTTCTAAAGGTTTCAGACTAACCATATATGACTACCTGACATGTGCACCCCTCCCCTTTTCTCCACACATTGATATCTGACCTGCTCTATATTAAATCTCTAAAGCACATTCCATATTTTGGTTTTCCTAACCTGCAGGGAAGTCTGGCTTATGTTCCACACAAGGTCCTAGTGTTTGAAATATACTTTTGGATGACTGAGCTACACTTACCTTGGTGAAGAACACTGAGAGGTGAGTTTCACTGCCAAGGATCCAAATAGGGTATTTTGGAGATTTGAGGAATGCCCCAACCTACAACAATGAATTAGGTTTAAAGTGACTGAATGTTCATGCACTAGCAAATCATGTAAAATATGTGTTTAATCATCCCATGTTTTATTATTTTATTTCCAAGATGCAAGTGATTGCAAATGCCAGAATATGTAGTGAGAATAAATATGAAGGTTGGAAATTTTATCCATTGTAAATCCCAGAACCAAACACATTTACACATGAGAACTCACTTACGTATGAGTTTAACTATTTTGAATGACTTTTTAATTTATAATAGCCATCCAGATTGTTATTCTTATAATTACACGCACATGAGCTGCTTAAAATACTTTAGTCTAACTTGAGTACAATTTTTGTTAACTCTCTTCACCTCTGCACATCAGCAACAAGGGACAACTCCAATTATGCCACTTTAAAACTAGATTTATCTGGTATGCATTGATAATACTTAGCTTTACCTTGCAGTAGCGAAGAGATTCCATGAGGGTTAAGAAACCAACCATTGCCTGCTTGTGTATTCCATGTAGTTCTGCAAAAGAGGAAAAGGACTTGAAGTAAGACGCACTGCACAATTATAGACAAATGGTATTGATTTGTATGACTAAGCAGCGTGTAGGATTTATAGTATCTGGTGAATATTACAGAGATTTAATGCCTCAGAAAGAAGATCTGTGAGATTTCTGATCTAATCTCTGTTTTGTACAACATTTGAGAGCAAGCGTAATGTGTAATGTAATTTTATTCTTACTCATGCCAGAACATTCCCTGTCTCCATCCCACACATTCGAAACGGCATGGCCAGTAACAAGAAGGTTAACCAGGCTTTGGCTACAAAAATAGAAATTGAGTACAACAAGTTTTACAATATTAGTAACTGATTTTCTAACAAACATCTCTGAATTAAATTGGTAAAGAATATTATATACCTGCCATGGCCATGCACTGGGTCTATTAGAGGCTCCAATGTGTCCTGGATTTCATTCCTTATATTCTCTATTCCCTGCACCACAAAATATGACAAGATTTAAACAGAATCAATGCAACATACAGTACAGTACATTTCCAGCACTTAACTAATTTTACCTTAGTGAAAATCACAGAATAAAGGAAAAGCAAGACCCCACAGCACCCCCTCCAGGTGTGGTAAAGAGACAGCACCTCCTCTCTAAGATCAGCTACTGACATGATAGATCGTTTACTGCAAAAACAGAACAGATAAGAATTCAAAACATTTTCTTAAGTACATGGAAGTAATTTGAGATCTATAAAATATTCTTCTGGTTGTTTCCATTGTTGTGAAACTGTCTTTATTTATTACCATGGTACATATTCACTGTGAGTCAGCAGTAGCTTTTTGCTGACAGATAGTATTCTGCGCAATGAAAGTTCAATACTGCTCTGGCAGACGCAGTTGCATTCATTTTGTTTGTGTGACACACAGTTGGAACGCTAAGACTTATATTTGTGTAAAGCAACCAGTGCAGAGTCAGCATCTACTTGATCGCAAATATATATTTATAATAGGTTTGTCATGGGCTGTCTGTTATAAGAAAAGGTAAATCATGACAATAATGATGAAACATCACACACAGGTAAAACTTACTGAAGCACACTGTGAAATCTTTCAAAGCCAAACTCTTCAACAGCCAAAGCAGCTTCAGGAAAAAAACAAAAAAACAAAACACATACAGTTTAGAATCGCTGACAGTAACAAACACATTGGGATTTGAATATGGCACATTTTAGACTCACAGGGCTGTTCTTGTGCTGGCTGGCTACTCTCTGGCTCTGGTACATCCTGTGAGTTTGGCTGGGTTTGTTCTTGTGTGTTTGTGTGCGTGCTGCTAGCATGTGGGCTCTGTCCCTTGGCCCACGTCACTAAGCAGTAGCCTGTGGAGGGACTGGAGCAAGCGGATTCCAAGATCTCTGTTAGTGTTGAACACAGCGCGGTTTTCTGTTCTTCCTCTAAAAAAAAAAAAAAAAAAAAAAAAAAAAAAAAAAGGTTTTATGAAAATCATGATTAATATTTTGGAAGCGTTTCAAATTATTTACCAGGCATCTGTCTCCAATTGGGACTTTCGCTGTTGAATAGAATGTTCTTTAGGAGGAATGCCTGTAACAAATACACATGCATTACTTACAAACAGTTTAAAGTTAAATAATATGTATATAAATCATATAATATCAAACCTGAACAGGTGCAATGACAGCACATGGACCTCCTTCAAACTGCTCCAGTGCTGTGGGCTCGTGCTCGCTGAAGACAAATCCTGTGGTGACAACATAAGAAACGCACATGGATATCTCAGAAGCTAACAATTAGTAATGTGTTAATAATGACAGCTATTAGCCACAGTTGTTGAATAATTCCAAACAATGTTCGGCCTACACATACCTTGGGTCCATCTCTGAAAGATGGATGCAGACACTACTCCATTGGAGGGCTTCCCCCAAACCAAATCCACCACTTCTTTATTCACCTCAGACATGGTCTTTCACCAGTGACAGGTCCACAGATGCTTCAGAGTGAACGCCACGAGCGGACAGCAGAGCTCCGATGAGACCTGCAGGGACTTTCAGGGGGTGACCGACCACTTCTCTGGGCAGACCGATCCTGCGGCATTGGCCACGAGCTTTCAGCGTGGGACGATTCAGTCTGATAGTTTGAGTTGGCGATAAACTGGCGACAGGGGTGGTCATCAATGTAGCCAGCAACTATAATGGAATGAAATATTAACATAGTTTAACAATTATAGCAAACGGAAATATACCTTCAAATAAAGTACTCTAAATATTAATGATAGGGCAGGGGTTAATTGAAACATTGTCCACATTTGTAGCTCATACAGCCTTGAATCATATGTTGCTCGATACGACCTCTACACAATAGATGGCTTAGCCTTTGTCTATGCGTTAATCCTATAAGGTGCGACTGAATCGTAATAAAAACGATTTAGGTTGTACAGTAGCTCCCCATGCCAGCACTTAGCTAGCTTTAGCATAACTAGCAGCTAATGATTCATTGCATTCTTTGATTCATTTACCTCTTATTCATCCGCCTCGGGAGATGCTAATATGCTCACACAAGCTATCTACAAGCTAGTTAGAAATTGGAACAAAAATAATTACCTGAAAGGAGCTTGGCTGTTCAAATCGCTTTTGATTTGATCGGTATTTTGGAGCAATTTCACTATCATCAACGTCTCTGTCATTCGTTTATTTACATCAGATTTACAAAAAACGGTGCGTACAACGTGACGTACTCGCTCATTGGTCAAAATCTAGAATGTTCTCGATACGTCACAGAGGTGGCGGTTTTTCCTGTCTTCTGATTGGCTGTTGTCTGTGTCCATCAAATAGCCCGCCCACAGAAAGAAGCGCTCGAGTACCATTCATGTATTTTACAAAAAAAAAAACCTCTCCAAAAAAATCACACATACGCCTATAAAATTGTAATTTTATTACAAAGCATATCTTTATTTCACAATAAAGAGCAGCCACACCGAACAAGGGTTTTTTTTCATTTAAAATCGTGCTGCCTAACAGTTATGTCCGCAAATGCTATCCGTAGCAGCCGCTATGCTTTTCCTCTCTGAGCATGCGCACTTGCGGCCCTGTGTTAGCACGCGTGTTGGTGTTTGGAACATGGATCTGGTTTGGAATTGTAATTACACATTGTAAACAGTGAAATATTGCATTTAAATAATTTCCATTCATCACTATGGGAGGGCAGGCAAAAGGCAAGAAGAAAAACAAACCTAAGAAGAAAGAGAACCGGCCTAACAGGGGTAATTCCTGCAATTTTCATTAAACGCACTGTTCATAAGTTATAACATACTGAGAGACTGAACCCAATGTTTGCATTTATTAGTTTACTGGTTGGGACAATTTGCTATTTCAAATGTGTGATGTTTTCTCGTCAACACAGATCCAGCAATAGTTGGATTGTCACCTCAAGAAAGGATGAAAGTAAGGATACATGTGAAAGCCAAGAAGAAGACAGCTGAGAAGTACTCTGTGCAACAACTTTTGGAAAAGGTAATACATACTTGTTGTTCCGGGCATAATGTTGAATGGTCACTCTATCCTAAATGATTGGGCTGATGTATTATGAATTCACAAGCCTACAGTATAATATACTTGGCTAGACTAACTCACCAGATTGGATCTTTCACTAATAATTGCATTTTCACTAAATTATCATTATCTGTCATGTAATAGAACTCCAAGCCCTTGTATTAAATACATTCTCAAACAAACATAATGTATGCTTGACCTCTTCAGACAGAGGAATACATGGACAGCTTTGACTTTGAGATGGCCTCACTATTTTGTCAACGAGCTCTGGACCTGGAAGCCACCAATCTTCAAGCTCTGGACATGCTCGGACATATCTATTCAGAAATGGGGGATACACTAAAAGCTAAGGAAGTATCCTTTTGCATGTCTGTTGGGTGTTATCAGCTATAGGTTTTAAATGTATGCTGCAATTAATTAATTAGACCATTAATCAACAGTTAATTTTAGTCCTATCAAGTCAAAGTTAAAAATATGTGGAAAATATGGTGATTGTTCAAATACTTTTCTACTTGATTTCTTGAGTTAGTTGTTGCAGACAGAATACTTTAATTATAGTATAAATTAACAGTCATATAAATTTCATCATCTGGACACAGAAAACCTTGACTAACATCCAGGTTTTTCAAAGAGCAGTGGAGCTGAGCCCCAACATTGGCCACAGGAAGTACATGTCTTTGGGACAGATACACACAGGACAAGAGGCTGTGGACTTCTATCTAAAAGGAATACAAGTTCTGCTTTCTGCACTGGAAAAGCAAGAAAAGACAACAGTGGGTTCATACGTGCATTTATATATCCACTCTCATGTATATTTCTTTTACATTATAATGTAACAACATAACATTGTCACTAGGGGGCAATGTTGAAATATATACTGAACTGAACCAAGTAAGGTTTAGCTTGTCTGAAGATAGTCTAGTTCTAAACTGCATTAGAATTAAGAAAAAAAGTTAATAAGTCATTCTATTTAACATGTTTTTATTGCTCTTTTGCTAGATAAACATTCAATGTAATACATTTTTTTATTGCTGGGGTGATTTAGGGGCCCCTTGGAGCTTCAGCCTTCCCAGAGGAGGACACAGATCTGCCAACGGAGAGAGACGTGAGCGTGGCGTACTGCTCCATCGCTGAAATTTACCTGACAGACCTTTGGTACTTTACTTTGACTCCTTGTTACCTCATGACATCTGTTGTAAATTGGCCCAGATTTTTTGAGAAAAATTTGCAAGTGCCATTTTAATGCTCTAGTAGGGAACATTTTTGTATGATATTACTATTCAGTATTAGAGAGTTGAATAATTTTATCTACAGATGCCTCCATGGTTGTGCATATTACACTTTTATAAGGTTATAGTGTCAGTGGCAGAGTTATGCAATAAGAGCAATCACATTAATTTTGTAGCTTTATATCACACATCAGAATTTGTTATTGTGTCAGGCCTAGTTGTAAGTTGCTTTTTGCATTCCAGTATGGAGGAGGGTGCAGCGGACAAATGTAAGGAGTTCATTGAGCGAGCTTTACACTATCACCATGACAACCCAGAGGCTCTGCAGCTCATGGCGAGTTACCTGTTCAGCGCTGACAGAAACCAGGTCAGGACATGCACTTCCTCCACATTAGAGCTGGATTCTGCTGACTTAATTATTCTGAGCAAATTGGATTGTATGCACTTTATTAACAGATGAGCCCTTACATTAACATGCACACACAGAGAGATTGCCCGAAAGGAAGTCAATTATTGGGTCAATCTTTAAGGTCATCCATGTGGCAAAGGAGACGTGCAGCTAGTTATGTTGTGAAGAACTGACTAATAATGGAAATATCTTTGCATTTTATTGGTTTTTGTATTTATTTTTTATATACCATTTTGCTTATTTCATCCCAGATGTTGTATTTCCATGTTTACAGCTAAAAACAAGTCTATATATAAATACACATTCTTTGCAGTGTGCTGACAAATGTTGCTCTAGGTTTATATTTTAATGAAGGAATGTGGTTTATAAGTCTGAATGTAGTCCTATATGGATACAGACTTGACTAATGTTACTTGCTGTAGCATATTTTTATCAGTGCTTTTCAAATGATACATATTATAAGTAATATGCATATGTATGAACAATGGAAAATATTGTGTGTGCACATAATACATCCACATACATAATACAGTGATTTGAAGATACACACAATCTGAGTCAATATTTGAGCCAATTTTTAATTTATTTTCCAATCCAATGCTCAGGTTAATCTTCACATCAGTTTATCAGATTTTGGAGAACCTCTCCTCCCCATTGTCCATTTATGATGCAGCATACTGGTAGGCAAAATCAGATCATTATCAGATTTCTGGAGTTACAAGACTATTAAAATAACATGTAAACAGCAAAATCATTGGATTTTTTTCCTGATCATTGTGTCTCTGGCTACCCACAGATTTTGTGGTTTGCATGTCATTTAAATGTTATAGGTCCAGAAATCAGATGATAATCAGTGTGCATATGAACAAAGCCAGTGTTTGGTGGTGGTTGGAGAGGCAGCAAAATTTGCCACATCTGTATCACGGACATTTGGGTGATTGGAATGACTTCGATGGAACTGTTTAGGGACACTTTTATTTTCTCCTTTGCATATAATAATGGTTTCTTTTCTAGTATTTCTTCCAGTAGTTTCACGACGATGTCAAAATCTTCCTTTAGGTAAGCCATCTCCTTTAAGAGACAGGCTATAGTTTCTTGAAGCTCAGCATTTGTCGCCCTGAGGTACATGCTCTTATTAGAAGTTCAATTCTTCTTACTTTGCAGTCTTTAGGATGCTTTAGATTTGAGATGGTATTTTCTCAAACAAGTTTGGTGTTTTCCAATTTCAGCCGTGCATTTTTGTCAGCATAATCAAGACTTATCAGTAATTGTGCCGCCTACTTGTCCTCCAGGTCTTCTATAAATGTGAACATTTGCCAAACTCTAAAGCTTCAATTTTCTCATTTTGGCTTGAGATTTTATTTTGAATATTGGTGTTTTCACATTTTAGTTGATAAATCTCATAAATGTGATCTTGATTTGGCTTTTCTTGAGACACACAGTTCTTTATACCGTATCATGAAAAGCTACAGTTTGTCTTTCAAAGTTGGACACATTTTTCTCGAAATCCTGATTTGCCAATTGTTGTTGTTCTATTTCTCCAGGAATACTCTCTTGACAGACAATCCACACCAACTAAAACCTTGAAATTTTCATTTTTTGTTTCTGGCAAGTTAAGTGAAGATTTGGTATTGAGGCTCTGATTGGTGAATTTGAACAGCTCAGTTTTCTCTTTTTGCATCTGGAGTTTTCTTTCCAGATCCTGAATGGTCTTTTTCTGCTTTTCCACTTCGCTGATGTTCCTGTGGTTGCGTTTACAGTTTCTTCTGTCACCTGAAGATCAAGGACCACCATCTTCAGCTCTGAATTCCTCCTTTGAGATTCACACAATGCATCTTTAAGCTGAGCAATTTCTGCTTCGTATTTCTCTTTTGGGGTTTTTGATTCTTGGTTCAAAACACTTTTGACTTCCCTTGTGATTGGCAAGTACCATTTGGAGGTCCATGACATCACCTTGGGTCTCCTGACTGAGCTCTCCAAGCTCTTCGTTCTTCAATTTAAGGGGCTGTAACCCTTTTTCAGCATGCTTTGCTGAATATTCTGCAGCCCTTCTTTGATCTTAGATGTGGCCAGTGCATATTTAGTCAAATTGTGGGTCAGTTTTGGGAGCTCATTGGAATTGTCTTGGTGTTTTTGGTCTTGGGTACACACATTCATATCTTTCTTTGCTAAGTCATCATCAGAGAGCAAAAGTTCAGAATTATCCCAGTCCTCCAGATCTGTTTGACACAGGGATGGTGAGAAGGACCAGGGTTCTTGAAACTCTGATATGAAAATTACAGTGATGTCTTCCATTTGTTATCTTCTTTAAAGTTATATGAAGTTGGTGAAAAAAGTGTATAGGCTAAAATTAGTAGTATCTGTGGTCTTTCTCTGGAATGTTCCATGGTATAACATTAAACATATCCATCCAACATTTGATCATTACGGGTATTTCTATCGCTCAAAAATAGAATAATTCCTTCTGTGAATAGGGACGACTCCGCAGATCTGAATTGTAATGTAGGTTAGTGCTGTAACCTGCTTGTCTCCCTCGTGTAGGTGTAGGTTTAATCTGTGCTATGGATCATTCTAGATGGCAACATTTCCATGGACACAATGTTATGGAGTCCCCCTTTAAAGTGCATATGCAAGGTTTAATTTTTTTTCCCTAATTATTAATTGGTTTGGTGGGATAGTACCTGTGGTAAATATTTATCATAGTTTTACATTAGTCAAGTGGCAGTGAAGAAATTTGAGAAAAGCACAAGAATATACTAAAACATTATATCCAAAAAAGCAGGGAAATTTCAGTGCTGTGTATTGTACTTTTCTGGCAGTTCAAACTGTTGGTGTCTGTCATTTATTTTTATTAGTCTATTCATAAATATTATACAATTTAGACAAGTTTTGGTCTGTGCTAACAGACAAAACAAATCTTATATCACTATCTGTTAGAGATCAGATCGACAAACCCACCATTGTAGTCTAATTTTTTAAAGTCCTTTCAACTGACGGCTATCATGCCTTTACAGTTTAATAATGCCACCAATTTCTGAAGCTAATTTGAAAAATAATATTTAGAAAAAACACCTTTGGTAATTTATACTAACAGAAGACTTTTACCTTTTCTGCCAGATTTTGTTACATGGATAGACCCAGTAATTGCAGAGATATTAAACATAATCCAGGTCAACATATCTGCAAAATGACAGTTTTACTATGGATATTATACCATAGAATTTTTACTTGTCTTTCAGATTAACTTTAAGATATAGTTATTCTAGAAAGTTTTACCTTCTGACAAATCCAAATTCAGGGTTACACTTTATGATAGCTTGTAATACTGTATTGATCCACATAAAGAAAAAATGTAGAGTGTATTTGACACATCGTTCAATGCCACTTGTGCAATCTGTAAATAGCAGTGGGTTACCATCTTAAAAAAACACAGAAGACCATCATGGTGATAACATATAAGGCCATCTGTTAGATTACTGTGTAAAATTGAATAATATGACTTCCCTTGTTATGTTATGTTTGTGTAATTTTTCAAACATAAATTGGAAAGTGTAACTTGTAATATGTACTCTAGGGGGCAGCCTGACTCCAGTTTGGTGCATGTTCAGAAATACCTCAACATTTCAGTGCCTGGAGATTGTGCATGTTGGTTTGCAGCTGTCAAACGAAACTAAAAGGAAACGGGAGAGAAATGTGCAAATGTTTTATAAGCTGCATGCAATATATCTGCTTAAATATTTGTATTGGATTTTTTTTTTTTCAGGAAGGCAAAGAGTACTTGTTAAAAAGTGTGGCTGGATGGCTACCTTCTCAGAAAGCTGCATCAGGCTTAGAAGAGGATTTACAGGTATGCTATGTCTTTCTTTATTTCTCTCCCAGAGTTTGAAAATATATGCAGATAAATTGATTCTTCTAGTGTTGGATTCAGCAAATAAAACACCAGAATATACACAGAGAAGCAGGGCATTGTAAAATATGAGCAAATTAAAGAAGACATACAGTGCTTTTTCGTGGTTATTTAATATTAAACTATAACACAGGTAGAAAAGAAACAAGTCTATCCACTCCCTGTTCAAAACTGCAGTGCCAATAAACCCCAATGTTTCATAGTGGCATTTCTCCGTAACAGGCAGTTGGTTTGGGTTGGAACAGAGCATTTTAAGCTTTGGAGATATAAACAAACTAATAATAAAGGATTACTCAGACATGTGTGAATGAAACAAAACACAACTCCAGGTTTGTTCTAATTCTAATATATGCTAAAAGCTAACGAGAATCCATTTGTTTAAGGGACAATTTTGTTTTTCTTTAAGTACAAAGCAGTGGGCGAAGATAGGGAGTAGATGACATTTTGTGAATGGAGGACAATACAGGATTATTTAAACATTATTGAATCAGTCAAAATACATTACAGGAATGAGCTTATGATAGAATAGCATTAGAGCATTAAAACTCAATTAATAACTTAATAAAAGACTATTTTTACATAATATCTCCCCTTTACAGGTCCTATATTATGCAAAACATATGTGGAGTTGTGTTTTGTTTCATTCACACGTGTTTGAGTAACCCTTTATTACTAGTCTGCCTACATCTCCAAAGCTCAAAATGCTCTGCTCCCCCTTGTGATGTCATGTAGTAGTAGTTTTCAAGTTAACAGCTTTTACACTGTGTTCATTAGACCCTGGCATTTCCAGGGTTTAAATCATCCAAATAAGCCTAATGTCCTAGAGTTTTCTGTGTAAGAGTAAGTATCTTAAATATGCAAGATTTGTGTATTAAACATATGTGAATGTCACAAAACACTCTCTGGTTTGTGTTTGTGATGAGGAAAAGACATTATAACATCATAAAATAGTGTAATATGGGCCCTTTAAATTATTTGCATTTGACATCTAGGCACACAACAGTTCATTTAAAACCCCCAAAGAATATGGCAAAGTTTTTAAAGGACAAGGAAGCAGATCCTAACAGGAAGAATCTGACATAAATTGCTTTTTGTCAAGGTGAGGATGAGGTTTCAATGAATAAATGGTATTGGGATTACACAAAGATTTTGGATGGGTGATGATAGCACACAGAATTCCCACTGCTGCCGCTGGTATGACTCTTATCTTTCTGCGCAGCTTGATCTGAATCCAGGGCCCTGACACTTCCACTATGATTAACAGCCACATCGCCAGAGCACATTTTGTAGCTTGAAATTAGATGCTGTTATCACCAGACAAAGGAGGAACCCTGTTTGAGGATGTTTGTGTACACATTCAGGCTCCAATGTTGTTGTCCTCTCCCCGCAGAATATTGAGATCCCTCCCTATGAGTCTCGCATCACCACGGCCAAACTGCTCATCGAGGCGGAAGAATATGAGGTAAACATGCTCTGTGTGCGTTTAGTCCTTGTTGGGTCCACGTGACACTAAGGCATATAATGATAAAATCTAATCTACTTCCTATGACGATACACTATTTTCGTAATAGTGTTGCAACAGGATTCTCTGTATAATAGTGTCATATCATTAAAATTTCAAACTCGATTTTAATTTTGATACTAAGGAATAGAACACTGATTACGAAACCACTATGATAATATAAAAACACTCTTTATATGGAGAATAGAATGTCATTTTCAACATTAAATCATGGTACTTTCATTTATATGTAGCCTTATATCTGTATAATCCCTCTGTAATCCAGGTATGTCCCAGAGTGGTTCATGGGTGCACATACTAGTCTATGTGACCTTTATACTTCTTCAGTTACAGCTCAAGATCATTCATTCAGGAAAGGTTTATTTCTGTCCTGTGAATGTGACTTCTTTAGTATTAATACCTGCTCAAATGAGTATCTGGTTCGATACTAATTTTAGTATTGATTAATATCGGATTTTTTATACTTGACAATTTTACTATATAATGCAGTAGGGGTGTAACAGTATCCAAGTCTCACGATACAATATCATCACAGTATAAACCTCACGGTACGATATTTATTGAGATATTGGAGCTTCACAAAACTGTTAATATTCTACTTTTTCCTCTTAAAATTACTTAACAAGACTTAATCCAAAGAACTAAGATTTAAAAGTGCTCAGAACTGTTATTTCTTCTTGTAGTCTATGCTGAAATGGAGCAAAGGATCATGGTCTATGTAGTTCCCTCTGTCATTTTTGCTATTGCTGCACCATAACTCTTAATTTAAGCTAAGAGACTTGTAATTTGATATATTGTGATGGTTCACGATATTATTGTGAGAACTTTGATAATACGATATCACGATATTTTGGTTACTGTTACATTCCTCTAATGCAGCTCTGTGAACAAATACAGACACTTTTCTCTATCCTTTCCTTCCTTATTGGTCTGCCTTGATCATGCTCTGAGTGACAGGTGGATTGAACCAATAGCAGTGTAGTGTGAACTTTCAGCAGCAATGTAGTTTTACTTAACTCTTAAACACAATAAATAGTAACTGCATGAATTGTGATAGAATCAAAAATTGGGATCTGCCTCCAAAAAAATTGTGAGCCCAATTTTTTTCATATGACCGAGTTCATGTGTTGAGCTGAGGTGAGTGAACGTGAGAGTTCAGAGTTCAAAAATGGCTTTTAACTATCAAAATGTAGATATGTTGACCTGATTTATGATGAATAACTCTGTAATTACTAACAATCTAAAATTAAGTAAAAGCTTTCATGAAGGTCAGATTCTTTATAGTTTGAGTGACAGTCAACTACAGTTACTTGCGCTTGTAAGTTTTGTTTGATTATGTGTGGTTTAAAGACATTTTCAAATTAGCAAAAAAATAAAAAGCATTATAAGTCCAGACTTAAAACTAAAAGTGCTTAAATAATACAATTTACAGGAAGGAAATGTATGTATGTAACCACTTGATGTTATTTAGAGGGAAACTGTGTCTCCAATCTGTCTCTGTTTGTGTGTATCGAACACATTCATGAGGTCACACTTAATAGTCCGGTATTTTCTTCGTGGTAGGTCACCATGGCATTTGTATGTGTTTGTCCATGTCTCCTTCTTTTCGCCCTCTTTCTACAGAATAGCTCTGAAGGTGGAAAGGTGGCCCTGCCTGGTCTTTATACCCGCCACAATCCACTGTCAATAATTGAAGAGTGGTATTTACAAAGAGGCGAAGGGGTAACGCGGGCACACTGGGGACAGGAGGCGGGATGAGGAGACAAAATGGAATAAATAGGTGCAGGCAGGGAAAGATGGCCGTCCTATTCTATCTTCACCCGTCTTCGAAATCACACATCAATTTCTCACTATTAATGGTCTTGAATTTAGTGTCTCGCCATCTTCTGTTCGGCACTAAAACTCCTAACAGTCATTAATGCGCCAAGTCATTTTCTGCGATTACTGCTAGCCAACATCTGAGTGATTCATTTGTAGTCACTCTTGTCGAGCTCTTTATGGTTATTACGGACAGGAAATGAGAGCAGTGTCCCCTCTCTTGCCTCTCTGCAAACAGCTCAGTGGACATTGTGTTTTTGTGTATGCAGTGTGTGTATAGGCTGTCAGGTGTAGCAGTAAAATGACAACTTCCCCGGCTACACTTTCTGACACATCGTTTGTCTTCATCGCGCCGTTGGTGTCGTTAACCACACATATCCTAGGAGAGTTTTACATGTTGGATGGCTATATCGCCCTGGGAGCCTTAATGTAAGAAATGAATAGATGCATATAAAGTACTTTTATTTAATGGCACAGTAATGTGTTCTGTTCTAATGTGATTTTATTATGTCTATTAAAGGTGCATCATGTAACCTTTGTATTGGAGGGTCTGCCACCTGCTTGTCTCCCTTGAGGTACCATTACTTTGCCTGGTTCCACGGTTCGGCTTTAAAATGAACTTTTTTACATTACATTGACTTTTTTATCTCCATGGAGACAAGCAGCTGACGCCACCAGGACAAATTATAGGTCAGATCTGTCAAAAGATGTCAAAGTTTTTTTGAGCTGTAAAAAAATCTGAACTTGAAAAAAATGTTTTTTTACCATAATGTGGCATATTACAGGCAGAGCAATAACATTTTTATGAGGACAAACTGGTGGTGAGCCCCCCACCTGGAAAATGACACAGTGTGCCTTTAATTAATTATATTTCCCTCTTTAAGTATTCAGCTGTTTCTCTGTCAGCTGTGTCTTTTTTTGTTCCTCTTGGTACCTTTTATTTTAAAACCTTTTTTAACACAAAGCCAATTAACATCTGTTTTAACAATGGTGCTAATACCGGCTAGTTAAAAACTTAATTAGGAAGAACTTTTCCAGGGCATTTAAGAGGCAGTATTCAGGAAATGGTTGATTAATTAAATTATTTGATTAAAGCCACAGATTTCTCTTATATTTTTCCCTCCAAAATGGCTCTTAGATTTTGCAAGTTGATCTTAATTACAGGAATGGTTGCTTGTTTTCTTCAGTAAAAACAACTTTTTAATGTGTTTTAATTCTTTAATGATACCTGTGAGGAATGTTATGTTTTTTTTCTAATTACTAATATTGACTAAGGAGGAAATTCTTTTCAGGTGTTGGTGAAAGATGATATTTCTCAACCAAGGACAGGACATGCTTAGGCACTTCAGCCCTAACAGCTCAATAAAAGAAAAAGTTGTTTTAGTAGATCTTCATCATTCTGAGATGCAATAAAACATTTTATTCAATCAGAAAAGACCTATTCAATTCAAATTGTCAAAAGTAATGACTAATCGATAGTAACACTACTATCACTAGATACTCATTTGAGCAAGTATCAATACTAAGATCACATTGCAGAGAGAAAAAAAACCTTTCCTGAATAGCTTTAGAATGATCTTGAGCTGTTTCAGAACAAGTATAAGAGCGCATAGACTGAAGGATTACACAGATATAAGGCCACATGGTAAAATAAAAGGCTATGATTTAATGTAGGAAGCTTTTTTATTATCAATGTGGCTTTGAGCATCAAGTCCAGTCCTTAGTATTGCAGCTGAGTTTGAAATTGTCGTATCATGAAAACACTATACCAGAGTAATAATAAAAAACGAATTTTTCATACAGTGAAATGTAATTTTCATCACAAAATAATGCTTGTTTCTTTAATATTACCATGTGGTTCTATAGTAGATCTGATATAGCTCCAGACTATTATAAAATATTCAGGAAAGTTTTGCCTTATTTTTTTTTTTTTCGGTATACTTGTTCAAATGAGAATCTAGTTTCAATGTTAGTTTTAGAAGTGAGTAGTATTGTTTTCTTTTTTCTGACAACCTTGACTGAATGACTGCATCAGTGTGTTGGTGGAGCGCTGCGTACTTGGTTTTACTTGTAAAGCTATAGCTCGTGCTTTATTCTTTGTAATAATCTCATCAACACTGCTCAACAAATGTTTTGCTTCTTGGAAAATAACACAATTGTTTTTCCCCTCTTGTTTTGATTGTTCTAACGAGTAGCACTTGAGTATGTTCCAGACTTTGTGGTAGAAATTGACAAAGAACAGATAATTAAAACAGTCAGTGAAACAGAAATAGATAAGTGTTGCTTTTGCTGCACCCTTGATTTAATTATGCTTTGTTTCAGATTAACCAAGAATAAGAACAAACTAATCATACATAAGTAGTCTTGTTTGGAGAGATAGATGATGCTCGGTCTTATAATATTGTGCAGGGGAGTGGGGTACGATGAGAGACTTTTTTTCTTAGACAAAGTCACAGTTTTGATTGTATCACTATTCTTACACACAGTAGCTTTGCGTCGCTTTATGAGGTATTACAAGCTCCTTAGTGCTAACAAATCACAGCTAATGTTAAATCCACCTATCGCCCACTCAGAGCAGGTCCGAGAGTGGCCAATAGGGGGACTTGCATGGGAACATTTATGCTATAACAACAACTCCAAATTGGTCTGTCGTCACAGGGATTGCCTACTATATATATCAGGGGTTTCTAACTGTTTTCTTCCAATGAACTATTTGGCAGAGTAGGTCAATTTAAGGGTCACAAAAAATCTGGTATATGTAAGAGAGCCACGGCCCGCCTTACACAGGCTACAGTCAGATGCCTTTAGAGTTGAGCATCAAAATTATACAGTTGTAATAGGTATGTGAGAAATCCACTTTGAGTTATTCAGCATAATATGTATAATTCAGAAATCCCTTGGTGAGCTACTTGGAAAGGGGAAAGAGTTACTGGTAGCTCCTGAGCTACAGGTTGGACACATCTGATATGCTTTATATAAGACAAAATGTGCAAAAGCAATATAATTAATCTGTGTTGGGAAGTAACTGAATACATTAACCAATATTATGTATTCAAAATACACTGTATTCTGGTACAGTTACTCTTTCATTTGGTATTCTGAATACAACTACTTTCCCAAAACAAAGGAATACATTGTACAACTTGATCACACAATTTAGGCTTCAAACTAGACACCTTTATTGAGAAAAGCAGAAATCGCTGCTCTTGTGGTGAGTGCATATTTGATTTTTTCTTCTCCAGTGATGGGAAATGCATAACAAATGGTGAAATGAACATTATTTGTATTTTTATGTGTTCAGAAAACAGTACTGTGATTGGACAAAGTAATGGATAATGTTACAAAATAAATTGAATGCATTGTATTAAGTATAGACAATTAATTATATTTATTTATGTGTTTGTTTGTTTGAACAGGGACCATGCACATTAATGAACAGTGTCCGTATAAGCTACGAAGCTAATGCTCTACTGTAGCCCTTAGGCGTGATGTAGAGATGAGATACAGAAAACACAGTAGTGTCCAGAGCCTTTACCCTATTATTGCTAATTTGTTTTAGACTATTTATGTTTATGTTTATTTATTAAATATGGGACAGTGCACATTAATCAACATGTGTTAGAACAGCATGTAAATGTGCCAGAGATAGCCATGTGGACTAATTTTAATCCATAGTCCCATTGGCAGGTTGATGGCAAAACAAAAAACAGGACATAGGCACAATAACATTCAGTCCATCACACATGTCAAAAGACATTACGATCAGTAAATATTTACTGTAGTCATATTAGTAAAATTAGGGCATCCAAATCCAAATTCACTTTATTTATGTAGCACATTTTACAAACAAAGCAGTTTCCAAAGTGCTGCACAGAGATCAATAAAATTAAGACAACAAAAAGGTAAATTGCTAAAATTTGGCCATACCAGTCCAAAAACAATAAAACCAGTAAAATCAAGTACAAGCAAAAACCATAAAATCATAAAATAGCACTAAATAAGTAAAACATGCTAATAGCACACACAGTACACAGATTATAGACAATAGACACAAATCACAAACACACAACAAGACAGAGACATTTGTTATGTGACGTTAAAACACAGATTAGTTATGTTCACATGTCTGATTGTCCAGAAGCTGCTGTTTCACAGATCTACTAAAACTATTGATAGAGGTCATGTTTCTTATTTCTGTGGGAACCAGGAGTGCCGACTGTCCAAATGAAGTCTTTCTGAATGGGTTTTTACAGTCTCCTCTGCTCGATGCTCGAATGTTTGTATTTAAATTCAACTGTATGAACTCTTTTGATGGGGGTGGAGCAAGATCATGGAGGGTTTTATAGACCAGAATAATGTCTTAGCAAATACTTATGTTTTTCCAATTTAAATATTTATATTTGGTCAATATTTTACAGTGATGATATGAGTTTGATTTTTGATATGTTTTCAGAGTCTGCTTGTAGAGCCTTTCTATAGGCAGCAGTGTGGTCTTGTTTGCCTGACTCCAGCTTGTCAGACAGTAGTTTATATGATACCCAAATGGTGGCATTTAGATACAATTCTGAAGCCTCTGTAATTAAATTTTGTCTGTGTTTTTCTTTAGTGTTTAAAATTCACCAAATTAAATTAAATTACATTTAGTTTTAAACATTTTTGATATGCTTTTTAAATGATAATTGAGAGTCCATTGTGACCTAAATACTTCAGTACTCTTGCCCATCTATCATAGCTATTGAATCTCTCTCTGCAGACTTTGCGAAAAATGCACACTTAAGCCTTGTTTCCACAGGCCGAGTGTTTCCACTATCAATAAAAGGCATGAGCCGTAACAGAGAAATAACAGAATAAACTAATAATTAGGACCTTGTGTTGTTGCATAAAATTATGCCCTTTTGAGCCCATAAATATATTGTTGCAACTTAAACAATAAATCAAACTTATAGATATTGTGACAGATCCTTTGCTGTGATTTTACATTTTGAGCATCTGCAGAGTGTCATGATCAGTGTTTAAGCTGCTCAATGTTAGCCATAGTTGTAATGAGCATGCAAATAGTATATCAATATATCATTAGCTATGCGATACGGCCCGGCTCTACTGTAACCCTGACCTTCATCAGCTTGGGTTGACAGACAAGCGACCTCTCCTGACGCGTTAATATTTCTGCTATTTTTTCCACTGATGGACAGTTGATCTATGAGCTTGTGTCGCTCTGGTTTGCCTCCACTGCATTTTTCTGTCTCTAAATTCAGCTTAAAGCCTCCTCTCTGGTGCCGCTTGGATGTACGGTTGGAGCTGACACGTTGGATTTATTTACTTAAGTGCAGATGTCCTGGTTTGTGTATGCGAGCGTGTTCAGGCTTCTGTGTGTTACAGATACGGGCTGCCCTCCCTTGTACAGTGATTTGTCTTTCTCCTGTCTCCACTGTGCGCGCTGGCAAAATGATTCTGTTAAACAAAATTGCCTGAAGATTACGTGCACAGACACACAGCGGATGCATGCACAAACACACACGCACACACATGAACAATGGCGGTTATAAATGAGCTCCCCTCCAGAATGCAGTGTTTTGCTTAAACAGGTTAAAAAAGAGGACAGGCTGCAAAGTGTGGTATACATTATTGTTCATGGACTGCATTTGCATTGTTTACACAAATACTTTTTAACCCAGCTTTTCCTCCATACCACTTATTTTCTACACTTCCACATGAGAATATTAATCTTGTTGTTTAGAGCGTGAAGCGGCTTTAGAAATCTCTGCATCTTTAATCACTTGCCCCTGGGTTGACCAGTGTCGTTAGGAGAAAGTGCGGCTGCAGATGATATAATGCTTATCAGCGTTCACTTATCTTAGCTCCCAGAAATCTCTTGTTCTATTTCTGTAGCTCGGAAAGTGCCCGTTGTATCAATTGTTTAATATCCACACAGATCTTGGCTCTTATCTCTTCTATCGAGTGGCTTAGCTCGATTTACTGTGCGCGTCACACTGGGGTGATGCAGTGAAAGTCAAGTAGATAATACCCAGGCTAGACTTGAACCATTTATCAAAGGCTGATTTCAGGTGTTTTTGTTTGTGTATTTTAGTCGCTCACTCTTTCATTAGGAGTGTGCATCTGCAGTTTATAATTGGTTTGATCAGTCAGCTGACTCTGACTTTACAAACATTAATAAGATGCTCTCAATTAACCCGAGCTGCTCCAGTCCTTCCTGCACAGACTTCTGTGCTGCTAAAACCACACCTGCCTAATGAAAAGAGAAGAGGAGCTCAAAGAGCGCCAGGAAAAAACAGGAGGCTCTCCAACTAATAAGACTGCTTTAACAAGAGAAGAGGGGGGCTTGTTGTGCTCGCTGGCCTGTGCAGCCTTTGCTCTGGTGTTTAAGTACACTCACAGGCGTGTGCATGTCTTTTATTCTTGCCCTTCACCACGGGTGATTGGCTAACAGTCGCCTCCAACCTGAAGTTGACAAAAATCAATATATCATCACCTGAGGCCTGAGGCCTCACCAACGCACACACCACGACCACAGGATCCACACGCACACGCACCAAAACAAACACACAGCCACTTTAGTCCAGGGCTGTTTTCTGTAATAGAAACTTCCCACAGAAACTGACCCAGACAGTGACGCCAAAGCAAAGGTCACCAAACATTAAACTCCACTGAGACTCAAAGCTCCTCTGTGCTGCAGCTCTGAGGAAATCAGAGCGCTGTGAACGGGTCAGCCTGACATTTAGGTTTATCCTCTGCCTTTGGATGGCTGCTGATACTAAAGAATCTATTGAGTGTTAATGTAACTAAATGGATTAAAAGGGCTGTGGAGCAGAGCGGTGCAAGTGACTATTGACTCTGCGATAAGCACTGGCGAGTGTGTGTATTGACGCCTGTGTCTGGTGCCTTGTTGGTATTGATGGTGTTGTTGATTGGACAATGGCCCCATAGACTCTTATCAGGACTCTGAGCAGACACATCTGCTTATGTTAACAGTGAAATAAATGACAATTATAACATTAATTTATATTATTTTTTCAGACTGCTGTGGATGTCTTAGAAGGTCTTCTGGAGGAGGACGACGAAGTTGTCCAAGTAAGTAGCATTTCATTTTTGTTTAAAGAAGACACGCATTTACTATTTAGTATTAAACTATAACATAAGTAGTTATTTACATTTTGTTCACTGTAAACTGGCAATATTGATCTAAAAACATAGAAACGTAGAAACCATTGACTTCCTGTTCAAAACTGCAAAAATTTTTATTGTTGCAAGCAGCTAAACAAAATGCAGAGTGATAAGAGGTAGGTGAAAACAGGATGATTCTTACAACTCTATCCTTGAATGCTGGACAATCAAAATATAACTGAACACCTTTATAACACGGTTAGAAGCTCAAAAAAGTTTTATTTTCCTCATATGTCCCCTCTTTCTTGCAACTATTGTGTACTCTAGAGGATTGTTCCATCAGTTTGTGAATGTGAACTGAAGCCTCCCGTCCCGTTGCTGTTCACACGTACACTGAGTGATAACTTGATGCTTCTCAGAGGCTCTAAACTGTGGGGTTTTGTGTCTTTGTGTGAGTCTGTACTGGACGTGCGCAGAAGTGTTGTCATGATACTATCTATTTTAACGCATACAGTAAGCGGTCAATACCCAATTACCTGATCACTGATTTTGAAACTACAACGAAAAAAAAAAAGACTGAAGGTGCAATGGCTGTGTCCCTTTTATATCTCTCTTGTCTCATTTGCTATCACCAGTTACCATGCCATTTTTATACATATACAATACAATATAAATTCAATATAATATGGTTGCACAAAAAGATACCCAGATACTAGGGGTGTAACGATATCCAAGTCTCACGATATGATATCGTCACGGTATGAACCTCATGGTACGATATTTATTGAGATATCATAGGAAAGCTCATGATATGGTGGGGAGGCTCACGATTAGGAATGTAACAATATCGAAATTTCTCTGTACGATATTTTCACGATATACATCTCACGGTACGATTTATTGCGATATTTTGTGGAGGCTAACAAAACTGTTAATATGCTTCTTTTTCCCCTTAAAATTGACAAGACTTAATCCAAAGAACTAAGACTTAAAAGTGCTTAGAACTGTTATTTCTTCATGTAGTCTACACTGAATTGGAGCAAAGGATCATGGTCTATGTAGTTCCCTCTGTCTTTTTTTTTTTAGCTGTTGTGGCACCGTAACTCTTAATTTAAGCAGGGTAGCCGCGGGGTCTTAAAAGTCTTAAAAAGGTCTTAAATTTCAACTTCCTAAATTAAGGCCTTAAAAGTCTTAAATTATGTCCAAGTCTTATTTTTTTCACAATGATCTTAAATTTCATTAGCCTATTTTTTGTATACTCAACCGAGCTGCAAAAACAATAATGTGAAATCACGTAATGTGGCAGAAATTAGTAAAATCAGTACAGAGGAAGACATTGGATGGATCATGGGGAAGTGTAGGTTTAATCCACAGTGGCTCTTAGATTCTAGATATAGTAGTTGGTTGGTCATTATTAGAATTAGATCTGGTGTTTCTTGCCCGCATAATGGGTGTGATGTTGGTCTTAATTTTCATATAAGCGGTTTTAAAAAGGTCTTAAAAAAGTCTTAAATTTGGGGTAGTCAAACCTGGGGATACCCTGTTAAGCAAAGAAACTTGGTCCATGATATTATTGTGAGAACTTTGACAATATGATATCACAATATTTCAGTTACTGTTAACATCCCTACCAGATACAAATTGGTACTAAATCTAAAAAAAAATAAATTAAAAAATCATATTGATTGGCCAAACCCTTTTCTGTATGGTTTTAATGTTCTTGACTGGTAAGATGGTAATACTACATGGGCTGTAATAATGCAAAACCTGTTTTGCCCCAGTACTGCATCTCTTAGGATCAAAATGAGACCACTGTAAGCTGTGCCTAATTAGACACAGCTTACAGTGGTCTCATTTTTGACTGCTTTTATCCTCATAAGCCGAGGAAGTAAGGCTGGTTCGATGTTAGGGTGATAGTTATATGTTACCATCATTCTGACAGCAAAATTAGTTATTATCAGTATTTTTGATAGCTGTTTTACTATTTTTTATTTTTTTTCTGTGCAGTGAATGTCAGTGTCCCCACCCCACCTCCCTCGGGCTCAGTCCCTTCTCTCCCTTAGTCCCCGTTACCCCTCTCCCCTTCGGCCCACCCCCTCCTCACCCTCTCAGCTGACAGATTGAGAGCAGTCATCGGGGGGCTGAACTTTTAAACTAGCTCCAGAGACGCACAGCTGCGCCACTCCGTTCGAGCAGGCCTACAGCCAATCACATATGCATAAAGTCAGCAACTCCGGTGGTCAGGGCATATTTCGTTTATGCCGCATTAGTGTTGTCACAGTTCCAGAACAGGCTTTTTATACTTTTATTACTCTGTCTTTTTTAATTCTCTCCCTCTCTCTGTCCAAGTATATATTATTTTTTTTTTTATTTTAAGTTGAGGAAGATAAAAAAGTTCCTGCCTCTGCCTTCTGTCTTTTGCGTGTGAGCATCTCTTAAAGGAGCCTTCACATGCGGTGTTATCTCGGCACAAACAACTGCACTATTTTCCTGCAAATCTAGCTTCAAAGGTATTCACTTGATTCATGGCACTTTTGTTCCTGCTCGAGCTGCGCCATATGGGAAGTAAGATGTGAGTTCACTTTGAAATAACAGGAGTGGCTGTGATTTGATTGACAGACTGCTCTAGTCAGTTTTATTGTCTCCTCCTGTCTGGGGTTGTCCGAGGGCAGTGTTTGTCTGAAGTTCTTAATTAACCAATTCCCTCAGGTTTTAATTCTTGTTCCATATGCACTGAATCATACATGCAGCTACAAAACAGTTCTCGCCTTTGTTCTGAAGGCTTTCAAGTGACAACCTGTCAAAATTTGAATGTAATTGGCTTTATTTGAGTGTCAGAAATATCCTTAAATATACAATATACAAATATACTTCCCCCTCGCTCCTCCAGGAAATGTTGAAGTGATAGAAAGAGTATTGCGATGATGTGGAAACTCCATTTATCCGGGGCTGCTGTTGTTCTGATAAGTATAGCTGCAGGGGGTGGCCTCCCACTCGGCATGCTGAGCGCCAATCCAGTATTCAGTGTGGCATGCCTTGATGTGTTTGTTAGCTAAATGGTTGATTTGGCAGAGGTGCCGGCTCCGCTGCCTCTGCCCTCCATGAATAATGAATAAAGCTAATATTCCTATCTCCGTGCTGGAAGAACAGTGGGTGGGTGGGTGATCTCTGGCCCTAGATTACAGTCTCACACCTCCAAGTTCACTTATAGTTGGATTTTCTTTTTAGATGGAGAAGTAAGCTAACTAAACTTGCTGTATACAATTTGAGAAATATTTATCTTATGAATAACTTAACTTAACTAGGGATCCTCCATATCAGAGCTAATATCAGTACTGATGTTCATGATATTGTGGGTTTTATCTAGGCATCGGTATCGCTCTGATATAGAAAATAAAAAAAAGTGTATTGCCCAGTTTGTCCTGTATATGTGTGTATTGGGCTGTCTTCAAGGCTACTGAGTTCAAATGGAAACTGCAAAGCAATTAAGCTGAAAATGGTAGCAATATAGAATAGTAGAGCTGATTCTATTATTTCACAGAAAGTTCATTTGAATTTTGTAAATCACCCCACACTAGGAGGATTTACTGTAGAAATACTGAAAGGAAAGAACAAACAAGCTTATATTGTAGCATCAAGTGCCGTTTATTGTCTATTCAGCTGTTTTGTTATTCCAAGTGAAGTTTTGTTTGTGTCTGTTCTTCACATTTTATTACCAACTTACAGAAGAGGGATGACTAACTTTGTGAGCCTTTGAGGATGATAACAAGTCCCTTTGCTAAAGTGAGGCATTTTATTATTATCAGAAATGTTCAGTGCATTTTGAATTATACCATGGTCAGTGAAAATTATAACGACGTGCATTATTCTTGTATAACCTTCAAATAAAACTTGCTTCAAATAAAACAGAAATAACTAATGCCTTGAAAATCCATGGCCAGCCAAAAGGTTGTCACAATTCAAAATGAACTATTTTCATGGTAGGCTGTAAAGGGAGTTGTTTAACCCTCACTTCAAACAAGTGTAGTGACACAAAATCACATGTGATATGTGCACTGATAACATGGGCAAAAAGTGTTATAAATCCTGGCCTGGTTGATTTGACCTGTTAAAAAGTCTGATTTGAATTTGGATCATTTTCATCAGTGATAATCTAATTATCATGGTTAGTTTGACCACGATTTGTTCTGAAAATTACAGTTTTGCTTACTTTAGAAGAGGACTTCAGGAAGAGTAGCCATTGTCAAGGCAATGGCTATAATCAGATCCTATTAAACAAGACACCAGAGTTTGAACACATTTTTTTTTTTTTTTTTTTTTTTCAAACGTTTAATATTTTTATTCCTCCTTCTCCTACTTGGACGGTCTTGTACTTGATGACAGGCACCCACTGACTTACTACAAATGCCAGACATTTGGAGTTGTCATGTTAGAATCCGAGATGATGCACTTTTAACAATTTGACTCTTACAATCAATCCAATTACAGTCTATCCTGTCATGTACCAGGCATAAATCTTGTAGTTCAAGTGGATCTCCCTTTGGCTTCTTCTATTGGTGATGCACACTACCAACTAAAGGATTAAGTAAAAGGACTGCACAATGTATCAACATTATCCCTATTGCGATAGAGCAAAGTACAATATTCACATTGCAAGAAGCAAGTCAGATGACAATAATGTTAAGGGTCTCCATCTCCAGACCTTTTTTTTTTTTTTATGTAAAAATAGTCCATCATTTTGTGTCAGTCATTTTGAATGATTGTATTGCTCTAACTTAATATGGTTTGTGAACATTATTCTTAGATCATTTCCATTTTTACTCAAATATAACCTAGTTTATGCTGTTTTTAAAAAGTATTTCACAATATTGTAATACTTTAGTGGTAAAACTCAATAATTATCTAACATCACATTTTGTCAGTTTCCATCACACTTGCAGTCCTAAACATTAACATGGGAAGATTCAAACTCTAGAATAAACAAACCTATAGCTAAAAGAACCAACTGCTTCTAACAATTCTTTTTATTTCCCCCTATAAGTTCAGTTTATTAGGCTGTATCATAAAAACAAAAGGGAGTCAACATCTCATCACTACAACTTTAATGCCCCGGTTATGACTTGTTTTGGAGCAGGGGTGGTTTGGTACTCTTGATGTTTCCATGGTGACATACCTCTGGGAGAGAGGAGTAGAGGCAAGCTCCCGCATTAGACCACAAATCCTCACATGGGACCTGCACATTTATTTAGATTTTTATGTTCTATTTGTTTTAGAGCAGGGAGGTAGTGAAAAATATGCACTGGTATAAAAAGAAGAAATGACATCTTTGAAAAAAAAAATCCCAAAAACATATAATCGTCAACAAAACATGTTTTCTTTCCCCCTTTTTTATCAACACGGCAGAGAGGGAGTTTGCAATACTAATTGCATATTTGTCCAAGGAAGTTTTCCAGATGATACATTAGTTGATCATTTTGAATAAGTAATCAAGACATAATGAAAATAAATTGTCGTCTGTAGATGTCTTTGTTTTGAAGTCACAGTGAGGCCCTATATACAAATAGGATCTCCTTGACAGATTTGAAAATGACTCCACTATATCTTTTGCTGACAGTCATTATATGAGTGATGTATGGGCTGTGTGTGTATGTGGGTGCATCCCCATTCTTGGTGTAGAAAACATTTGTCATAGGATTTGCAGGAGACAGACTTTTTGAGTGTTATAAATCTGTCGCACTTGTCACAGTTTACTTAATGCAATGGAGCTGTTTTTTTTGCTGGTTCATTTTTGGGATCTCTGGATTTTTACCTTGCATTCTCCTATCTAGTTTCGAAAGCAATACCTCATACTCATCCTATTTAGCATCACATCTAAAGTTGGAGGATGTTTTTTACTCATTTTGATTTATCACCTTTTTGTCTTTATGAAATACATTGGCTTTTAATGTTAATTTCCTTAACAAAACTATAAAAAACATTTAATCAATGTCATTTAACACAAAAAAAGTAGCTGAATTTCCACGGCCAAAGTCTGAACTCTGCTCCAATACAAATGGTTTTACTGAAAAACCTCAATTAAAAATACCTAAGCTGATCCTGGATGATTATTAGAAACGACTGACTTTCGAGCTTGACTTTTTTACTTTTGGTTAAGTATTGCGCTTAACAAGCTGTAAAACATTTTCTGACTGTTAAAACAGCTTTTTGAACATTTCCTCAACTGGTTCTTTTGAAAAACAGGATTTAACTTTCTCGAGTAGGAGTGGAGCAGGTGGAAGCAGGAACAACTGTTTTTAGCAGAGATTAAAAGATTACAGAAGCATGGGTGCAGAGAACGAAATGTAATAATATGTATGTTTTTTTAATGAAGAGACGGCTTTCTAATAATACTCCAGTGAAATAGTTTTCATCACATTATAATAAGGTGAGATGTATATACGGATTAGCTTGAAACTAAATATAGAATACTTGCACAGAAGAAATATTAGATCACATAGAATGCCTTGTTTCTGTCTGGGCCCCTCCCAAATGTCTCTTTCTCTGTGTCTCCTCAGGTGTGGTATCTGTCTGGCTGGGTCTGCTACCTCCAGCTGCAGAGGGCAAAAGAGCTCCTACAAAGAGAAGCCAGAGAAGCAACGGAAGAGGAGAGAGAGGAGGGCAAGGCACTGGAGGAGGCTGCCCGATCCTACCTGACCAATGCTAAGAAGGTAAAGAAAACATGACATAGTGTACAAATGTGTTCCAGTTACAAAATACTTTTATTGTTTATTAAGGTTAAGTTAGTGAAACCAGAAATGCCCCATTTTCATTGACTCTAAGAAAAACTCTAAAACAGAATCCAGCTTGTATTTGGTTTCTGAAAAGCATTTAACCTCTCACCGCTTCTCGTTGGAAACCGATTTTAGCCTTGGCCATTTTTTTATTCAAAAGATCAGAAGATCAGGACCAGCTAATCCACCTATTCACTTTGATTTAGAATTGGGGAATTTTTGGGCAGTTTCAGACTGAATATTGACTTTTTTAAATTAGTTTCATAAAATTTGAAAAAGTTGTGCCCTACTATTCACAGGCAAAATGTAATATAAAATACGGTACTGTCTTAAAACAAGCAAAACAGAAGGAGTCAATTTTGAATAGTTTGTCTTGGTACAAAGCAATTTGTCACTTTTCTAACACAGGTTGTAAGGGCTTTTCACACCTTTCACAACAGTGCACCAGCATTACTCCCTTAGCTTTCAAAATCTAAAAAAAAAACAAAGCAAAAACCAAAATGCCTTATTAGACTGAGACAGCACACAGTAGTCTCATTTTGACCCTAAGAACTGTTTTTACAATAAATCTGGACTGGGACAACAGAAATGTGACTTTATTACTTGAAAAAAATCAGGTTTAGCCTCCTTTTAATAAGTCTGTATCATATTGTGAATAAACTATTTTGATACAGGTCATTAAGCCAGATTTCTTGTCCATTTAAGAGATGATATAAGGTCTATGACACTGTATATTGAAATGTAACATGAGGGGTCCCATTGTAGACAAGGAAATCTCTATTGCTTTACATACACGCCCCCCCTTTCTTCTCCTCCTTCTCCTCTCCCCTTCCTCTCCCCCCTTGTGTACTGGTACTGCAGGACTGATGCGTCTCGTTCGCTCCGTCACTCCGTCAGAGAGAAATGCCGCTATTGAGCTGTGATTCATGTTGGTCTAAAATCCAATAGGCTTGTAAATCAGACAGCGCAGACTGAGCGATGCCAGGCCTGTACCTTCCTTGTGCTTTCCCTCTCCTTGTCACTCCCCCCCTCCTCCCCTCCTCGCCCGCCCCTGTTGTGTTGCCTCCTCCATAGATGAGTAGGGCCAATGTATTGATGTATGTCTCTCTGGCCAGCAAGTGTAGTGACAGGCCTGTCTAAGCAGCAGCAGCCTCCACTGGGGATGTCCACACAGCTGAGGGCACAGTGAGCTTTGAGCTGCCAAGAGAGAGAGAAAGAGAGAAAGAGAGAGGAAAAAAAGCAAGAGTGCATGGAGGGAATTAAGGACACCGTATGCATAGAGATGTAAGATGCTGGCTACGTCGAAAAAATGGATTAAAGCAGAAAATATATACGCGGTACATCAATGAATGACAAGATGAAAAAGTCCGTTCAGTGGTTCAATTCATAGTGAAAGGCACGTACGGTAAATGAAAGAGTATTTTATAAGGTGTTAAAGAGGTTTATTATGACTGAGATGGGTAATATGATATAATAGTCTAACAGCATGGGTATACTCCATTGTAGGCAGCATATCTGAGGCAAGCAGGATAGTGTAACATGAGTGGAGGCAAATTTATGGGCTATAAAGAGAAACAGAGATGGCGCAATGGACATCTTGATAATGTGAATGTTGTATGTAGTTATGCACAGTTTGAATAATGGTATATAATGCAGAATTTAATAAATACATTTTGTTTTTATTTGAGCAATTTGTTACACTAAGAAAACACTTTTAAAAATGAAATACTGCAAAAAGTGAGATAGTTTTAAGTCCAATCACATTTGTCTGATAAACTTTTTAGCACATTTCTGTTGGACTGACATTAAATATATTGTTTTATTACCTTTTCAATAACTATTTATCAGAGTAAATTGATTTAAACCTATTCCCTGTATGACAACAACCTCGTCAAGGCGCCAAATTGTGTTACAATACAAGGTACACAAAGTTAAACAAATCAATGCATTTCACTTCACCTTGGTACTCTAGTGAAGTTTCTCTGCATACAACAATGAAAATAACAAGTTGCGTTGAAGTACTTTTACGGGTATAGAATAATTGAAAAGGTTAGAAGAGGCTTTCAGGGCATGACAAGTAAACAACTTTGCTGCTTCTTTGTGGAATGAGTCAAAACACAGAGGAAAGTTAAAGGGTAGATTCACTGAGACCTTGAAAAGATGCCTACAACATGTCTCCTTGTGGAGCACTTATAGTTTAGATTCAAACATTCTTCCACTCTTAAGAACTTTGCATGCATTCGTTTTGAAGATAGGACTTACCCTTGTTTATATCACAGGCTTTGTTTCTGAGCCTTGCTGTGAGTGTTAATAATTAACAATGAGTCAGTCTGCTAGTTAAAACGAGCTCCAACATGGAAATGAGGCCTCAAAGCCCCAGCAGCTTGTTTTGGCGCCAGTCCACTTCTCTGCATACTTTATGACTGTGCTAAATAAGTGTGCGGGCGTGTGCGCTAGTGCTACCGATAGATGGTGAGAGAAAACATGCGGCCAAGCGTAGGTGCACCTTATGTTGAACGCACACATATTTAATTGCTGTTCTGGTGCCAACTTGCATATCTAATTATTTTGAGAAAGAAATCTTCATTATTCATTGGCTCTGCGGTCGATATTAGCAAACTCGGTATCAAGTGGTAGAATCTGGTGGAATGGATGGGTTGAGAGGTGCAGAAAAAGAGAGAGAGAATGGAGAAAGGGGAGCAGGAGGGCGAGTGAAAGTGGTAGAATGAAAAGCAAGGTGAGGAGGAAGGAGGCAGATTGGATGTGCGGTGTGTGTGTCTGCGTGCGTGTGTGTGTATGTGTGTGCATTTGTGCGTGCTGGAGATGGTGAATAGTGGCAAGGGTAAAATCAATAGTAAACCGGACGTGAAATGGAATTTGAGTGTGGTCCAGATAGGGTGTGAGTGTGAGCGGATGTGCTGCGTTTGCATGGGGGGAGTGTGCGGACAGCCAGGGCAGGCGGAGGTCAAAATCTTTACTATTTGATGTGGCTTAAAGGGCGTCCCATGAGCAAAGCCTGAGCACAGAGGTGGTCTGAGGTGTGCCAGTCATGTAATTTTAATAGCTGTAACTGGAGGGCTGGTAAAGAGTGTGTGCAGGTGCCAGCGCTCTGTCTGCTCGCTCCAGATGACTACTGATAACTTATTTCGTGCAAAAAAAATCCAAAGGGAAGGAATAATGTTAAATGATTAAACATTAATTTAGAAAATTATTGTATTTATTCCTACTTGACATTTTATTTAAAACGTTTTTTTTTTTTTTTTTTTTTATAAAATCACTTCCATGTTTTATTTTTGTTTCAATGTGCAACATAATATAATGCTAGATACTGAAAAATTCTGCAATTCAAATTCACCATACAGACTGAAAAGAAAAAATAATTGCTGTTGCTTCAGACTTTTCAGTTTCCATTTTTCCTACCCAAAATTTGTCTTGCAACAGTATAGATTTAATTTATAAGCAGCTAATAAGAAGTCAAAATATGTCTACTACATGCTGTCTGCTGTCTGTGTCAAATTATAAAGCATTTTATTGTGTTTATTATTATCAGGAAGTTCAAGCTTTATCATCACCGCAGAACTCTGGAATGCTGTGAAAAGCGCTTCTAAAGTCATAGCGTTGAATAATTAGGATGTCCCAAATGCATAATGTAAGCGAGGAATATCTTTGGACCACTGCAGACTGTTTAAAATGACCTTGTTCTGTTTTTCACGTTTTTAAGAAATCAGATTCAAAGCCTTTAACAGTAAACACGCTCAGCTCTGGGATTTCTTATTTTATTAATCTTTAATGTGCACATATTAAGATTATTACCGATGTGATTCATTTTCATCTTCAATTCCTCGATACAGTCAGAGAGAAAAACGGCAACAAACACGATGCAACAACTCACCAGCTCAGTCAATGTACGTACAATTATAGATCATTTGAAGTTAGAAGTTAAACCAACAAGCTCTCAATATAAAAATGTCATTTGCCATACATGGTGATATATTTGACGCTCCAACAGCCATTGTTTCAGAGCTTTAGAAAATGGTGCCAAGTGTTGAGAGCTCTTGTATATGAGCGGGCACTGTGGTCTGACGTGCTCGATAAGCAAAAGATAGTTGCTCAAAAGTATACACAAAAACAAAGGATAAGACCTGTACAGTTGTAATTTTACAGTAAAGATCAAAAAATGAAAATGTGAATAAGCCTACATACTTTTACTGACATGCCACAGCCACTCTGTGAAAGCCCTAATCTCCACTTGAGCCGCTGTAGACCGCCTCTCTGTTGGACTGTGTTGGACAAGGGTTAAGAGGCAGAAAGCAGCTTGTTTAATCAACTCTGAAATGCCCCATGCCCTGCAGAAGTATTTTGTAGTGAGCCAGAGAGCACAGCACAGTGGAGAAAAAAGAACAAGCACAAGTTTGAGGCACAACTTTGGTCCCATTCTGTACGCTGCCTTCATGTCGCAATCGTGTACTGGTTGAAAGTTTGAAGCGGTATCTATCACTCAGACAGCAAGGTCATTTGGTGCAAGTGTACAAGTGCAATAGAAAAAAAGCCAAAGATGGAGTGAATGAGAGGGAAATAAGCGGGAGATGAGCCCTGTAAATTGAAGCTTTAGGAAATCGGATGGAGAGTTGAAATGAAAGGGGAAGTTTAGCGCAGATGTGGGACAGAAGGTGAACAATGATGAAATGATTAGGCCCCAGCGCATAATCAGCCCGTCTTTATTCTGCTCTGTGAGTTCTCAGAAAAGACTCCGCAGGGAAATGGATCAATTTTTATGTGAAGGCTGCATTATAGCCCATTACCATTTATTATATAGTGGACAAAGGATCATTCTTTATAATCTGTACTGTATGAATGTGCTCACTAAATATAGAAAAAAATAAAACCCTATCTAATTCTGCTGTTTGATTTTATTGCTTATTGCAACCATCCTTGCACTAAGAAGACCATAAAGTGAGCCCCATTCAAACTCAATGGAAGCAAATAAAATTCCTGTTTGCATTAAACTCTAAAAGCCTATTCAATTTTGGCACAAAGGACTGAAGTGGCTACTCTCATTATCTTGAAGCCAGACTAACTCTATAAAAGTTTCTGTGCAGTGAATGCCGTCATGATGTATATGGCACCGTGCCACTAAACGCTAAAAACTCTGGACTCAGAAGTTTTGGGTTCTGGGGGTGAGTGGCTGGCACTCCCTGGAGAAGCTGAATTTCTAATAAAGGATCAAAATGTGTAGTTGATTACTGTTGTCAGTCTGTTGGACAGGTTAATAATCTAAAGTTTATTTACACGCTTCACCTCTTAAATCTAATCTAGAGTCTCTCAGAGGGACTGGCCAGTGCAGTGTATGATGTGTTAAACATATGGAGTGGTTGTGACAGTGGTCCTGTGCTTCAGCCCATGACTGGAGCTGGAGCAGAGCTGAGTGGACCATGAAGAAGTCGTGCGATTGCCCCCTCCTCTCTGGGGGTGGATGGAGGAGGGCGGATCTGTGGGCCGTGAAAGTGAGGAGCTAAACACTGCCTGCACTAAATGAGAAATGCCTGTTTTTTGTGATGGCTGTGCTGAGATCAGCAGCTGGGTGTAGAATGTAAAGAATAGCTCCTATTTGTTTAGCTGAAAGCATCACTATGAATAATCACGCCTCATCCTGCTCTATTGATCCACACCACACTAATAAATACAACAGCCTTAATACATCTTTTCAGCACAATCTGATACAGTTTAAGGAAAAGAGTTCACAAGTTTTTTTTTCTAATGCAGTTTGTCTAAAACTCTTCTACCTTTTACCTTTAGGCTTCGATGTGCAATTACTTTTTGTATTGAACCAATAACATTGTGAACAATAAACTTTATTCAGAAAACTCATTGTGGATAAACATCTACAGGCATTTTCCTGTGACACTGGCAGAATAATAATAAGTTTGTGTTTGTTTGAAGCATGTTTGGTGCGGTCACTCTGCTGAGGAGGTCAGCTCCCCTGAGGTCAGGCCAGGTCCTGTGTCGTGCTCTGTCTCTTCAGCTCTGACCAGCAGCACTGCCTCCACTTAAGAACAGCTCCGGCCTCAGAGCTCACAGCTCAGAGCTCAGTCCAAATGAGCTCTCCAGGGAGCAAGTCGCTCCTGTCCCTCCAGTCGCTCCTGTCGCTCCTGCCGTGGCTCAGACTAATCGGAGGTTCGGCAGGCGCACATCCTCATCACACTTTTACTCAGAGTGATAGCTCTCGGCTGCCTGTGTCAGGCCTCTGTGACGGCTGCTGTCTTCAACTCTTTGGAGAGGAATTCCTGGATCATTCTCCATGTTCTTAGTGTGTTGTTTTTACCCCTGGTACCGGGAAAGAAAAGACTAAATATAAACAGTCATAAATTGCTGGTTCCTTAGAGCGCAGTGGTGCATGCAGAGAGTGTTGTTGCTGCTGTCCTTAGTGGTTGTGAAAGTAGTTTTATCACGCGGCTCCACTTTGCGCTGGGTAATTACATACAGCCAGAGTATTTTACAGAGATAAATCTGCAGGCGGCTCGGAGAACAGACTTTTTTATCTTACACTTTCACAGCATATTTCACTGAGATAACAACACTGATTATAGCGCGCTGTTCATGCACATGGAGCTGCAGAGCCATGCGTGCTGCAGGATATGTTGCCTTCTGAGCGTGTGTGCCTGAGTAGGAGCAGGGAGAGGGAGATAAGTGCTCCTCTGTCTCCTGTGCAGCCAAATGTTGTATTAAATGTGCTGATTCGCTAAATGAACGACAAAAAGTGTTTACTAGCATTTTGCGAGTCTTGCTGACATAACACAGCTGCCATTAAGCATTTTTAGGACCTAACCAGCACTAAAAAGACTCACAACCTCAAAGCAACTAACACCACCGATCTCTGTACTTTCACCCTTTCAAATGTATCGACGAAACCAGGGATTTCTACAACTGTTAATTGTCCGTGTCTTTTTTGACTCTACTGTCAATCCAAAATCTATGAGCGTGTGAGTGCCAATTATAGATTATCTCTTATTACATTTGAATCAGATACAGGCTTAATGTGCTCCACAGACTTTTGAATTAAACTCTACTGTTCTATTTAGTGAAGTTCAAAGCGAGAAATTGACCGTAACATTGGGATTAGGGAGCACAGGTTTTTGCTTCTGCTGGTTGTGCACAGCCATTCAGGGAAGCACAAGAGTCTATTGGAAATTCTCAGTTTGCTATGAATCATAAATTGTATACTTGTGTGTCAAACTTTACAAAAGCATGTACTGTTTTTACCTTTTACAGCATGATATTAGCTCAAAAAAGTCTGTTTGGACTAAATAGGCAATCATCCATCCAATGTTAAAACAATGGACATAGTTTTCTATTTTATAATTGTATTTTTTATATGCTAATGACCTTATTCAAACAATATTATCACTATTCATCAATAATTTATTTTTGTTTTCAAATAAATGGCCCATGTTATTCTGTTTTCTGATCTATATTAGTATGTTTCCTTATCACAAACACACCTGGAGTTGCGTTTTATTTCATTCACACATGTTTTACACACAAACCCTGCATATATTTAGTTTTTCTTGCAAACAGAACTCTTTTCAACCTGGTGATGTCCTGTGGTAATACAGGAAGTGCTCCACTGTGTTTTTAAACTCCATTCACTTTCACTAGAATCATTTGGATAACTTCAGACCTGTAATTGCCAATCCCTACTGAACCAAAAGTAAATTGAAACCTACCACTTCATGACATCAGAAGGTGGAAAAGGGCAATTTAAGCTTTTGAGATGTAAACAGAGTAATAATAAAGGGTTAGTCAAGCATGTGAATGAAACAAAACATAACTCTGGGTATGTTTTAGATGAGGAAACACCATTTTAACATGGTTTAAAACACAAAAACTCACAAAACTCACAAGAGTCAATTTTGCATATAGGACCTTCATCTCTTTGCAGCCTTTTTAAGAACACATTTTGCATGATTAAATTAACAATTGCGATATTTTCAATCTTTTGATATTTCTACCACGTCAACATCTATTTTCTATATTTTTTCTTAAGCTGTACAACAAACTACGGTGTGACGACCAGCCCATGTTGGAGCATGTGGAACAACTGTTGGGAGAACTGGGAGGAGAGCTGGAAGAGGAGGAGGAGGTGGCCGAGGAAGACTTCGATCCGTGCAGTGATGATGAAGAGGACACAGACGCCCCTATGGAACACTGACCACACCCTTCCTGTTTTTATCCATGATTACTTCTCCTCTTGTAGTGTAAATCTTTCTGTGTATGTGCCTCATCAAGTGCCTTCCTCTGTCTATTCTTTATCCACCCATTTGTCAAAGCAGAAATTTGGATGCAAGAAGCGGCATTAAAAGCTCAAGTCGACTCCATAGTTGTGGTTTGTTTAATGCTTTCGCAGAACTAAGTGCATACTCGTGTAATGCTAGCTTTAATCTGCCTGACAGATGTTGATGACAGAAATTAGTTTTAGAGCTTTACTTCTTAGCGGCAGCCAAAGCAAAAGTCTCCCAATCCTTTTACCTCTTACCTATCTTTAATGTTCCCGTGTGCCAACAGTAGATCCTTTTTATTACACCTGAATCAGATCCAGGTTTAATGTGCTGCTCTAAAACTTAAAAAAAATCTCCTTTGCTACTGAAGTCTTTGTACCTTACAACAATAGCAGCAAAAGCAAGGAATTGACAGATGCATAAGGAACATACATTTGTGCTTTTGCTATTTTGCTAGTTTCTCACAGCTTTTCAAGAAGAAGGACAAGAGGCCATTGAATTCATAAAAAAATCCTGTCGGCAATGGTGCAGAAATGGTGGATGTTGGAATAATGGTACATGGGAATAATGGGCCAATGCTTTTACAACCCTATGGTATTTATTTTTGAAAGCGTGGAGGTGAACAGACAAATGCCTAAATGTCAACTTAAAAGAGGTTTGAAAGAATTCTCAAAGTCAAGGATTCACTGCTGACAGTTCTACAAGGTTTTAGCTTTTTTGGTGGAGGGTCCAGAGATGTTATGGCTTTTCCTTGAATATTTCACAGTATTGCATTAAACTCTTCTTTCATTCTGCATGGAGACAAGAAGGTGACACCACTCAGTCACGTTACAAATCAATTCAAATCAGTGGTGGCCCCAATCACTGTAAGAATCTATGTTATTTGAGGTATTTATTAGGAAAAGAAAGATCTGTAATGAAATAAATATTACCATACATAGGGACATAATATAGTTTCTAAACACATCTATTAGTTGCATGAAATTCACAAAGCAAAATGTTCTGAATTTGCCCTATTTTGCAACTGTACAGAGAAAAAAAATGTGACATTGACCTTTTGAGTTTTTATTTCTATACATTTACACTGAAAGCCTTCTCTTGTCCAACCTTGTGATAATATGTGGAGCTGCATTACTGGCAAGAACTCTGTTAAGATGAAAAACATTAAATAACTAAAAAATAATTGCATACATACAAGTCATAATCTTGTTTCTCACTTCTGTAAAAATTGAATCAACATCAGTTTACAACACACTCTTCCTCTCAGCTCATTTTACCTGCATCAGCTAAAAACAGCACAGCTTGTCCAATACCCTTGTGGTCCAGATAAGGGATCAGGCCACAACCTGTCAGAGGATACAGATGCTTAATTCAAACGTAACATGATGTGCGATTGTTGTGGCCTGGCTTTCGCTCGACCAACACAAATATTCATGTCCGTGTAGCTCAGAGTATGATAATAGCGCAGGAGAGGAGACCTTGAGGACTGCGTACCTGGGGCTCTCCTGTCATGCAGCATTTGGCTTTGTAATTAAACAGGACTGCAGTGTTTGTGTGTTTTCCTGTGTGTTTTGTGTGTAGCTTGCGCGTTGTTTAGTTGTAACACTGTGCTTTGTGATGAATGGCTGCAGGGCGTTGCGGAGTGGTTATTCTGAGCTGACCCGCGGTGCGCAGGGCAGAGTGGACACGCGGGCCTCAGGTGATCTCTCTCTCTCACCTGTACGTCAGAGCGGGAGAGCAGGAGAACGCCGCGGGAGAGTTTGTGCTGCCCCAGAGTTTGGAGACAAGGGCACTTTCAGGTACAAGCAGCACTGTCTGAGGTTTTCATACACACATAATCAGCTTAGAACAACTATATGAATTGATTTTGTTCTGGTATTTAGTACTAAACTATAGTATTAGTATTAAATCTGAGAATCCCCAGGTTTGACTACCCCAAATTTAAGATGTTTGTAAGACCTTTTTAAGACCACTTAAATGAAAATTAAGACCAACATCGCACCCATTATGCGGGCGAAAAACACAAGATCCAATTCTAATAATGACCAACCAACTACTATATCTAGAATCTAAGAGCCACTATGGATTAAACCTACACTTCCCCATGATCCCTCCAACGTCTTCCTTCACTGTACTGATTGTTTACTCATTGCCGCCAGTGCCAGAAACCACAGTATTGTTTGCACATACTCCAAATTAGACGTACATTCGCTTTATGTGATTTCATGTTTTTGTTTTTCCCTCCCTCAATTTAACATTGCACTGCAGCCTGGTTGAGTATACAAAAAATAAGATAATGAAATTGAAGACCTTTGTGAAAAAAAATAAGACTTTACATAACATAATTTAAGACTTTTTAAGGCCTTAATTTAGGAAGTTGAAATTTAAGACCTTTTTAAGACTTTTAAGACCTATGGCTACCCTGTAAATGTATGTATTGAGTATGAAACTGTATTATAACTACATATGTTGATCATTATTTTACATTTTGTTCATTGTAAACGGCAATATTGATCCAAAACAGCTTAACGGGCTCATTGACTTTCTATTCATAACTGCAGAAGCTCCGCCCTGTCATAATTGCATTCCACTGTAGCAACCAGCTGAAGCTTGAGATTTTTTTTATCGTTGATGAAATGATTACATGTCATTTTTGAACCCTACATGTTTGACCTGGATCAGAATTTTTTTCAGTTATTATCACAGAGAAGTGGGCAGGGATACGGGATAGGTGAGGCTTCAAATGCGATACAATACAGAGACTAATCAATCAAAAAACTAATCTGATAAAGTTATTTATGATGGAAAATTGTTATAACATGATTAAAAGCTCATGAAAGTAGATTTTTCCATAACAGATCCCCTTTAAGACCTAAGTAACTTTGTAATTTTCGTTTTAGGTGGGCAAATATCTTTTCACATCATGTACCACAAACATGATTACATTTGTTATTTGGGCTCGTCTAAGTGTTCTTGATTAAATGCAGTCCCAAGTGGCCTTTAAAAGTAGCTGCAGTAGTAATGACTAATAGTAAGTAGTATTTTGTACCATAATCGTAGCATGGCCAACCAACATAATGGTTTGTTGGCCTCTTTTGGGAAGAATCTGTAATTGCGATTAGATTTATTTTTGCTCTCAAGCTTGAGAGCGCACTCAAATTATCAACAGAATTATGAACTGCCAGACAAATACAAGAAGGTTTTTGGAGAGCTCTAAACTACAGGGTTAGAAGGATTTATTCATAACAAGGCCCATTGGGGTGGGATCATTTGTTTGTTCAATTTGTGTAATTTATGTCAGTATGGTTGTGATTGCTCTTGGAGGGATAGAGGAAGTAGTAACTGTGGTTAGTAGTGTCTGCATGTGGTGAAGTAGGACTCACATGTACTAGTACACATTATACAGACAAACATACACGTACACATTTTCATTACAAACAAATTATGTCGTTTTTCATGTTAGAATCTTTAGTAAAAATACTGTCAGTTGTTTTTACCATTCATGCACTATAACCAGTACTTTTTGCAATATGGAGTACTTAATATTGCTGAAAGAAACTTGATTTTGTCTTAGAGCTTCATATTTAACAAACCTGTGTAAATGAATGGATCTTTAATAATAGACTTTCATAAATTGCTTCACCTGTGACAGAAGATATCTCTGTACTTTTCTCCGCTCGTGTCCATCTCCAGGGAAACGGCTCCATAATTAGTAAGAGAGCGTGCGTGCACACCCGCGCTCCTATGTGTTTTTAATAATCGGCGTTAATGAGATGAGTAGAGAGGAGAATAATCCTGGATTAACATCAGAAAAAATCCATGTGTCGTCATAACAACGGCCCGATGGAACTTTAATTATTGAAATGCTCCCACACAAAAGCTCATATAGACTCCATATATAGACATGGCATCTCTGCAGTCACCACCACTGCGAACATCAGATACAACAGAGCTATGTGTGTACGTGTGCGTGTGCGTATGTCTGTGTGTGTGTGTGTCTGTGTGTGTATTGTTGACTTAATTAGAGAGTTAAACAGGGAGCCCCTCTGAAGGGATTAGAGGGAAATTATTAGGATCTGGAGGTTTAAAGCTGTTAAATGGAAACAGGAGGAAGCCGTGGCTCTGGAGAGTTGGACACACACTTACACTGTACACACACGTTTGACTTTTGTAAAGGACTCTAACTATCAGGGCTGTGATCAGAGGGGGAGATTTGAATCTGTTGTAAGGTCAACACACGAGAAATCAATATGTGAATGAATACACTAGAGTTCTGTAATTTAACATGGTTTTATAAAATGGGAAATGGACAACATGTAACTTTTTATGCTTAGTTATAAGGCTACTTACTTACAATTACAAGAGTAGGAGTATTTTGAGACAATAGACACAAAAGTCTTGCAGCTTGAACCACTAACAAATCAGCGCATCTTTACTTCTGTTTAGTAAGTACTTCATTAAAAATTAGAAAGAAGAGCTGCAAGATATATTGTAATGAAATTATAAGAATGTTGCCATACTATACCAACTTTATTTATAAAGCACTTTAAAAACTCTACAGCTGGCCAAAGTGCGTTACACAAACATCAAATAGACAAGGACAATGTCAGTACAAGAAAATACAAACACAATAAAACTACTAAAAAAAACAAAACATAGAAAACAATAAGATACTCAACAACAAAAAATGTATGTCACTTGTTAAAAGCCAGTGAAAAAAGGTGCATTTTTAGGAGTGATTTAAAAACAAGTACAGACTCTGCCTGTCTGATCTGTAATAGTAACTGGTTCCAGAGCCATGGGGCAGCAACAGAAAACGCACGACCCCCTCGAAGCGGCGTTCAGTCTTTGGGACGGTGAGCTGGAGGTGGTCTGCTGACCTGAGAGTGCGAGGGGGTGTAAGGGTGGATCACGTCAGTGAGATAGGAGAGCGCTAGGCCGTGTAAACACTCAAAAGTAAATAAAATAATTTTTAAATCGACTCTAAAAGACACTGGGAGCCAATGGTTGCAATTATCAGTTTGCAAAGATTGTAATTATTTAAAGAACATGATTTTCTAATACATATATCAAATATCCCGTCATTTTCTGTGTAAAACTCAATTTTCAACTCTGTAGTCTTGAAGATGTTCTGAAATGCATGAGATTTTTGTAGCTTTATAGTTCATGTTCTTCTCTTAAATGTTAATGCCCCTGCAGTTTAAAATTAGCACTTTGAAAAGAATACTGTGAATTCATGAATCGAAAATCTAATCGCAATTGCATTGCCTGTCAGAAAAATCGCTAATAGATCTTTCTTTCTAAACCGCATAGCTTTGAAAACAAGTGAATTTCCACCTCAAACTGCCTTTAAAGCCTCAATAGATATTCATAGGGCTAAATGCTGATGTTACCTGAAGAAGGTGAGGGAAAATTGACCCAGGATCGATTGTCTTTCCTGGTCTGATAAGAGGCGCGTGCTCTCATCTGCTCATCTGCATTCTGTCCTCCTCCCTGTGTCTGTGCATGGCTGTGGATGAATTAATGACAAAAGAGGAGTGATGTTATCTGACCCAAGGGTTGATCCTGACGGCTTCAGTTAAAAGCCATAAACTAAGTGACCTTTATAAGCTATACGAGTACCATTTACTGCTCAGGATTAAACTCTGTGGTTAGATATAGGGGGAAGATATGGGTGATGGATGACGCTAAGGGTTAATAGTCACAGAACAGTGGGACATTATTGGATTTTTAAAAGGTAATAGAGATTTTAAAGGCCATGATTTTAAAACAATGTACGCCATTCTTTCAATCGATACAGCGAGAAGGACTACATGATGTGGTCTAAAAATCAAACATCTGTTGGACAAAAATACAATGTTTTCCTCTGTATTGTGTTTGCAGCAAAATCATTTTTCATAATTAACTCGGAGGGATGTTGTGTTTGTCATTGATCTGCATAGCCCGTCGATACAGCTATTTTGGACCCTCCCGGCGGTGCTATTGTCTGAGGATTGAATGTGATCAGGCATCTCTACATGTGCACGCAGGGTTTATGATGGTCTGTGTGTGTGTGTGCGAGTTGTAATCTTTGAGAGGAACATCTGTCTCTCGTAGATAACATTAGCCATGCTGTCTTACAACCGAGCGTCACATCTTAACCATTAAACCCTCCTAAATTATAGCCATTACGGCCCAGTGTACAGGCAGGTGGGGCGCTGCTGGCGGCGCGTGTCCTTGGGCAAAAGTCTAAGGTTAGATACTGCAGGTAAAAACATTATTGCTGCATTCAGAGGTCATTTATGAGATGTGTTCTCGTTCTATTGCATATTGCTTCCTTACTGAAATAATGAAAATGTGTAAATTGTATCACTAAAATATAAAAACTTTAAAAAATTTAAAATGAAATATCAATGACATATCAAAGCAAATGAGTTACCTTCACAGTCCTGTCAATAAAATATAAGAAAAACTAAGAGAAACCTTATTTGTCCCACAATGGAAGAATTCTAATGTTGCAACACAAAGAACATAACACACAAAAAATACATTTAAATTTACCCATTTAATTAGAATATAGAACATTCAATGAAAACTTCACATTTTTGAATGCAAATGTGTCTATGTTTAAAGCCCCACTGTGAAATCTTTTTATTGCTCTGAAAACATGCGTCCTTACTGTATGCATGTGTGGCATGACCGGCTTTGAGGGTCTAGGCTGCAGGTGCTCTTACCTGGCGTTCCGTGGCGCTGCGCTGGTGGGCTATTTAAGCGCTCCCTTCTCAGTCGTTCCCCCTTTTGGCTCACACGCTCTTCCGGGCCTCTCCTTGTGGCCGCTCTGTCCTCCCGCTCAGGTAACTTCACTTGGTAACTTCCATGGCCGTTATATCTAAATTTCCATCCACGTCTCTTTTTAGTGCCGCTGCTTGGCCACTGCTTGGCCGGTGCTCTGCACCGCATCAGTCCCTCGCTCCTCCGAGTCGCGGAGCACCTAGGGCGCGCTTTCATCTCCTCTGACCAAGGTAATGCACGCCCGATACTCCTCCACTCATTCATTCGTGCCCATACTTAAACCGGTGTCTCTCGGTAGCTCCACGGGTAAGACGAGTGAATCCCTCCCCATTGCGCTTGGCTGTGCGCCGCCGTGTCCCGTAAACCGCGGCGGCAGGTAACCAAAACCCTATTCCCACGTGCTACCTGTGCCAAACAATTCTCAAAATTGTCTGTTTATAGCGTGTGCCGGTCCACATTGTTGGACCACGTCTGGACGCAGTTGTTCTATGTAGAGTTGCCTTCGATTCAGCCTGGGGATTGCGCACTGTCACACTCAACCACGGTATGTTTGGCCCAGATCCTTACGCTGCAGGCTCTGAGTTTAATCCCAAAATTTAACTTTTCAGGTGTCGGCGGGGGCCTGCAGCGGCGTGAGGACACCACCTCTGCTGTTTTGCTTTTGTTTTGCTTGTAGTTTTATTTTGTTTCGCTTTTAGTTTTATTTTGTTTTGCTCTGTTTTGTTTGTTGGGTTCTGTTTGCTTTGTTTCAGTTTTGCTTTGGGTTTTGGGGTTTTGTTTTGCACTTTCAATATTGTGTACCTGTTCACCCACTGTAGTGTTTTACTGGTTGCCTATTTTTATGAATGTAGCTACTTTTAGCATTTAAATCTGTCTTTTAAAACAACAGAAAATCAATAAAGATTGTGTAATTGATGGAACCTGGCTCCCTCTCCCTCTATGATATACTTACCTGTGTGCCTTACATTTACTTAATTTCCCCAAACTAGATTTGGGGTGGCGTTGTTGCAGCAACATATTATCACACTTAAACAATTCCCGGAGCGTTAACCCCTCGGTTGCCACACATGTATGTGTCTTTATTTGTCCCTTTGACTATAATATTCTAGTCAGGCTGGCGCCACCTAGTGCCTCCTCTCAATTTCATTTCTCGCCAGCGACTAGGTCAGGAATCAAAATACACTAGACCAGGGCTGTCAAACTCAAATTCACAGAGGGCCAAAATTAAAAACTGGGACTAAGTCGTGGGCCAAACTAAATATTTCATGAATAGTTATTCAACAACATCTGCATGTTTTCTCTTCTTTCGAGATACGTAATTTGAAACCTTTTCATATTAAAATTAATATTTAATAATAATTTTGCTTAAACACTGAATCCAGAACAAGCATAATATAAAATAATAACAATTTTAAATAAATAATTTCTCTATAGCCTATCTGTAGCCAGTGGGCCAGCTCTAATACATATTTGATATGAACTCGCAGGCCAAATATAATAATATTGATGGCCAAATTTGGCCCATGGGCCTGAGTTTGACATGTTTGCACTTGATCACAAAAACCCCGGACGTGCGAGTCTTTGCTGACTCTCCGCGAGTCAACGAAGAGCCATACATTCTGTGTTGGCAACAATTCCCAAGATCGAGGATTTAAAGCCGAAACAAAGAGAATGTTTGGTGAATTTTATCAAGGGGAAAGACGTCATTGCCCTTCTTCCTACATGATTTGGGAAAAGTTTAATATACCAGTTAGCCCTGTTAGCGGTCCATTATATACGTCACGACCAAATAGCAGCGATTGGTTAAATAAAAAAAAGTACCCGCCTACCCGTTGTGTGAACGAATCCTAATGCTGCGAGGTTTCCACAAAGTGAAACCGGCTGATGAATCATGTTAATAATATTCCACATATGGCTTAAAACTATCTAAAAATCTATCTGCATGGAGAATGCTCTGAGGATTGATTTCAATCTCTTTTCACAAAATCATGAAGGTGACATGCCACCCCCAGAAAGTTACATGGTGTTGCTTTAAATAGATGGTGTCAAAGTTGCACCTCCAATCTGTTTTTCCCCCACCAAACACAGTAACCTTTTAAGTTGATGCCACCTGTAGTGTCACCTTAAAAGCGTCATCGCCCCCACTACCTGTTATAATCCAATGAGAATAATGCTATTTTCCTAAGTCTTTGAAGTGAGTGGTAAAGCATGTTTCTCTAGGTGTGTGTCCTATACACCAGTGTTATATGTGTTTGATGTGATCGCTCTAAACAGCCCCGAGCCACTAAACTCCACATTCCTGCGCCTGCCGCAGCGCCTGCCTCTCCTGCCGCCTCAGTGGTGACAGATCATGCTTTGAACTACACTTTTATCTGCTCTGTTCAAAGGCTCCAAAAGTTCATAAAGTTACGTATCGCCACATTAAAATTACATGCAATGCTTTAAATTAGTCACCGACAATACAGGCAAATGTTTTTACATAAAGGCCTTGTACACCAGTCGGTTTGGCCGGTGGCAGTCATGAGATAAACATTTCAACCCTTTATTTAAGACAGTAGAAAAGGTTTAGTGTGCATACATCCATTTATAATTAAAGATTCATTATACATATTTTATGGCTCATGGATTGGCACTTGCTGATGTTCTTGCTGTATCTGAAATTTCCACAGCATGGCATTACACCTGTCTATCTTCATGGAGACGAGCATGTGGTGCCACCAGGCCAAGTTATGGATCACATCTGTGTAGAGGCAACCCTGTTCATTCATTTGTTCATGTTTTTACAAGTTATTTCTGAGCACCCCCCATGGCTCAAGGTCCACTCACCTTTGTAAAGTTTTGTCAAAGTGTGTGGTTCTGGCTGGCCAGCTAAGTTGTATAGTGCACTTTATTTTATTAGGATATTTAAAAACGTTATATGCACATGAATGGAGAAAAAATCCCATCAAGACCTGGAAGCAATCTGTGATCAGATTTATTCTTTTTATTTTTATTGAAAGACATAAAACGCCCATGGTGAAAGTGAAGGTGCCCATGGAAACACAACTTTCTTTCATGTGCAACAGTTAAGCGTCAAGGTAGTGCGTATAAACATGTCAAATAAATTGAGCATGTAGTTTAAGCAGAATGCAGTTTTGATTAGTACTGAATATTTGATGCTTTTTTATTCAATGTAGAGACATATTTTGATGCATTTACACTCCCGGTTTGGTCCTATTTTGTTGTAGTCTTGGTTGATTCTGGTTTGGTCCAAGTTTAGTTTCAGTTTTGAAGTACTATGTGTGGGTGTAAATTAGAACTTTTGTGGTTTAATAAGCAAAATATTTAATTAAAACTTTGCTCCAGTATGACTTTTCTTCCAATATGTGTTTTTTGAAGAGGAGGTAAAAGTATTATTCACAACTTTAGTGTGTTTTTTTCAAGGTGTCTTTTATATCTGAGGATTTGTCTCCATAGAGATTTGTATCCTGTAATGTTCCACAGTATGACATTATGAAACCATCCTGCTCCTTGAAAACCACGCCAAGTTACAGGTCAGATCTGTGGCAACTCTGAGTACATTATTCATTAAAGCATGTAAGTTTCATGTTATATTGTGGGACAAGGCAAAGCAATGGCAGCTCCGTGGATACAAGCATGAGGTAGATTAACAAAATACGGCTGGGCATTTTTATTATTGTTAAGTGAGAGATTAAGCCATATCATTTTGACCCTGATCTATATGACTAGTCTGAGCTTTGGCTGTCACTGTGTGGTTTCCGGAGGGCCGTTACGATTATTCTTCAGACTGTAAATGTTAGTACTTTCCCTGACTGCTGCAAAAACGCTGTGAAAAGATGGAAATTGCAGTGGAACCGGCTGGTAGCTCCTGTATGTCACATCGCCACGACTCAAGCAAACTTTTAATGAATGTCACCCAGAAAGAAAGGTATGGCGAAGCGGTTTTTGTGTGAAATAATATTACCGTGAAGCACAATGTAGGAAAACTAGAGTGCACTGTAATCCACTTCTCCACTGCGTAAATGATGGCGGCACTCAATAAGGCGAATTCACAGGACAAAGTGTTTTTATATTCAATGCCCAGGGAGAGAAACATAACTCTTGTGACCTGGTTGAATCAAAGCCACAAACGACCACTGCATCACCAAAAAGAAACTTCCAAGTGTCTAATTTACGCAGCGCAGCAATTTGGGTCAATGGCTTTCTGCAAGTAGCCGTGAGGGGCTCCAGTCTCAACTACCCCCCGAACAGTGGAACAATCAAATCTACTGCCAATATCTGTGTGCGTGTGAGCGAGAGAGCCAGCCTTTCTTTTTTATACCTCATTAATTCACCGAAGAGATTGACGAGAGGAAAGCGCTTATTTCACGACATAAATCAAAGCTATACTGTGCTCTGGGGATGCACATACAAAGCAGTTATACAGTGGGGGTGATCTCAGGATCCTATTAATATGAATGACTAAATATACTTATAATGTGATCGCTGTATTACTCCTGTCCAGCTGTGAAGGGATGAGGAGGTACATTTATTAAGGGTTTTTGGAGTAAATTAGTTGCCAGGCGAGCCAGTTCCTCCTACTACATTCTGTTCGATAGCAGGTGGGTCTTTTCCAGCACATATCTGCACGTGTCAGTGTTTCCCAAATGCAAAAAAGAAAAAAAAAATTTTTTAAAAGACAACATAATGGTTTCAAAACTTTATCTTGTGAGAGAATAAGACATTTCCGTATATTGTTTTGTTTTATACTTATGAAACAAATTCTTACATTTTTATTTTATGTATTAGGGATGTAACAATAAGTGAAATTTTGTGATATCGTATCGTCAAAGTTCTCAATAATATCGTATTGGACCATCACGATATATTATAGAATTACAAGTCTCTTTGCTTAAATTAAGTGTTATGATGCAGCAATAGAGGGGACAACATAGACCATGATCCTTTGCTCCATTTCAGTGCAGACTACATGAAGAAATAACAGTTCTAAGCACTTTTAAGTCATAGTTTTTTGGACTAAGTCTTGTCAAGGCTTTTTAAGAGGAAAAAGTAGCATATTAACAGTTTTATTAGCCTCCACAAAATATTGCAATAAATATTTTACTGTGAGATGTATATCTCTCTGTGTGAAAATATCACACAGAGAGATTTGGATGTTGTTACATCCCTAATCGTGAGACTCCCCACGATATCTCAGTAAATATCGTACTGTGAGGTTCATACCGTGACAATATCATATCGTGAGACTTGAATATTGTTAGTGTAACTTTTCTGGTTGAGTGTCTGCTACCTGCTTGTCTCCATGGAGATGTTATTGCTTTCTCTGGAATGTTCCATGGTATGACTGTAAACATACACTTACTGTACATCTGCCATTTATTCATTAAGGGTGTTTCTATTGCTCAGAAATACAGTATTTTTTTTCTGTGAGGGGCGACTCTCCGCAGACCTGACTTGTAATGTAGTATTGTGCTGTAACCTGTTTGCTTCCCTCATGTTAGGTAGATTTAAACTGTAGTGTGGAACATTCTAGACCAGGAGTGAGCTACCTTTACAAAACAAAAATGCCAGAGAGCTGCTAGTTTTAGCGGTCACAAGAAAGTGAGTAAATATAAGAGCCAGAGCGAGCTTTAGATGAGGT